ACAAGCTGTTAAAGGTCCTATCTTACACAAAAAAATCTATGTGTTTCTGTCCCTATTGAAATAAACAAGAAATAAACCCCTGTCATTTGCCATAATATTCAGTGTCCCCATTTTCAGGCTGGTTGCATTCAGGCTACCCCATAATGGCACACAATGACGAAGCTGAAACCTTTGTGATGGCAAAAGAACACCTGTGATTTGTGGGGTCCAGTACATGAACTGGGACACAATCAGCAGAGAGGATGCTGGGAGTTTCGCCCTCACACCACTGAGGCCACATGCAACCTGTGGTCTGTGTATGTGCACGAGACTGTACTGAAGATCCCCAGAGAGAAGGTAAGGTTACGCAATACACTTTAATGTCTGAAATGAATGAAGATGAAGGTCTGTTTTGTCCTACACAGGCTCACGAGATGTTGAGTTCAGCAAATCGAAAAAATCATATTAAGACTTACATCAAAAACGGCAGAAATCTGAACGACTGGCATGTGTGGGTGGCACTGATAACATACTTACAGGTAAAATGTTTATCCTGTAAAGTTAGTCTTTCAAGGGTACATTGGTAATTCTGGACTTCCTTTTACAGATTAAATTTATAGATTTGCATTTTTTTAATTTAATCTTGCAATGATTCTAGTCAACTTTGTGTTTTGAAGTGGCTATCCTTGATTTTGTTTGATATAATGTATTTTTGCCCCAAATAAGACGGCTGTGTGCTGTCTAAATATAAAGTGATTTTAATTGGCCACAAACCAGTAGGTAAGGCTGGTGCACTGTTAGCATGCTAGTTGCTATCAACATTGGTGTGACAGCAAAACTCCAATCAGGCCTCTAAAAGTTTTAAGACGATATTTTCTGATTTGTGTTCTAATGTTATTTCCTCATCACAAACAGACCTGGAGTGGTGTTTTGTTTCATTCACACATTTAACACACAAACCTGCATATTTAGACTCAAACAGAAAATACTTTATTTCACCTTGTGCTGTCATGTGGTTATACATGAAATGCTCCACTGTGTTTTGAAAATCCATCTTCACTAGAACTGCCCAAGACTAATGCCTTGAAAAGAACTGTTATGTATAGAGCGATAGTGCTTTGGAAGACGCTCCCCCAAACCTTAACTTTTCATAAGCATGAACCAAGTTTTAAGAAAATGTTAAAGAAATATATTGGAAATTGTACATAATTATATTTAGTCACTAGCTATGTATTGTAATTTATTGGATATATTATAATTGTAGTATTGTAGTGTAGTGTAGTGCAGTGTACTATGGAACAGGACTGTATGAACTTATGTGTGAACTTTTTTGTTATTATAATGGAACATTTTATTGTAAATTATGCCAACTTGGACCCAAGGAAGAATAGTCTTTACCCCAGTAAAGACTAATAGGGATCCAATAAATAAATAAATCATTTAGATCATTTCAGAACTGGAAGTGCCAGTCTCTTCTGGATTAAAGGTAAAAGGAGCTGTTAACTTGAAAACTACCACTACACTGACATTACAAGGTGGAACAAAGCATTTTGAAATGTAGACAGGTTTACAAAACAAAAAACATGTGAATGAAACAAAACACAACTCCAGGTATGTTTTTGATGAAGTAAGAACATTCTAACATGGCTAAAACTTCACATGACTCAATTTTGAATAGGACCTTTAAGATGATAAAATCAGGTACAATTGTCTTATGTTTTGCAGCTCCAGGAGAAGTTTGGCTGGGCTCCCTTTAAAAGTGTGTTTAGAGCCTATCACACAATCAACAATGTCCCCAGTGACAACAAAGGCAAGATGAACCTGTACTGTGTGACCTTCTCTGAGACCGTGGGGATGAATCTGAGTGGGTTTTTCAAGGCCTGGGGTTGGCCAATAGAGGGCGCCACTGAGACAAAACTCTCCAACCTGCCAGCCTGGACCGACCACCCCATGGCCGAATATAAACTAAAATGCATGCTTCAGTTCCCTCGTGAGTTTAACAGACCAAGTGTTTGTAGTTTAAATGGAAGTAAAGTAACAATTTGCAGAGTAACTGAAATAAATGCAATATCACTGTTTATGTTTTTTCTCATAGTTAACCAGGTTGCTGTCAGTGTGGGATCTAATTTGCCTTAATTATCCACATATATATTTCAAATGTATTTAGAATGAATCAAGAATGTAATAAAAGAGAGTGCAATTAAACATAAACGCAGTGTCCTTGCTTCATTGAAATATCACATTCTCCAAAGCTCAAAATACTCTGTATGACCTTGTGATGTCATGAAGCAGTAGTTTTCAAGTAAACCAATACATTTAAGTTCAGTAGAGTTTGGTAATTCCAGGGACCTGCATGAAGTTGGCCTTGCATCAACCGCAATTGTTTGTGCTGTTTTGTGCTGCAAAATGTTTTGTTTGTGCTGTTTTAGTTTTGGGGATATTAATGATTCTTTTGTAGGGTATATTAGGGTCAGCCAGCCACCAGGAAGCTTAAAAATGCTTCAAAACTGCCCAAAATTGTGTCAATCATTTGTGCTTTGTTTGTACTGTAAAAAGTTTCATTTGTGCGATATGATTCTTAAAATATTAGCAGTTTTATTTTTGGCCAGTGACGTCATCCAGCTCCTCAAAATGTCAAATAGCCTCAAAACAGGCAGAACATTATACAAAAGGTTTAAGCAGAAATTACATCATGTAATTTCCGCAAAAAAGATAATACATTTTAGAAATATATTAGCACAACTGAAAATTGCCACAGCAAAAAACAGCACAAACTAAGCACAAACAATTGACACCATTTAGAGCCTAGAAAGCCCTCTCTGTTAGCGGATATCCAAAATGGGCCTTCAACAAAACCAAGAGAACTGAAAAACAGAACAACAGAGAATCAGAACCCTGAAGAAAAGGGGTAACTATTCCTTACATGGCTGGTGTTTCTGAAAAACTACAGAGGATCTTCAGACAACATGAGATCCTGGTCTATTTCAAACCTACAAACACTCTAAAACAGAGCCTGGTCCACCCAAAGGACAAAACACCAAGCCACAAACAAAGCAATCGGGTCTACTCCATTCAGTGCAGTGAAGACTGCAGTGAACGCTACATTGGAGAAACTAAACAGCTACTTCACAAGAAGATGTACCAACACAGACGAGAGAGCAGCAGTGGACCTCAGTCTGCTGTACATCTCCACTTAAAAGCCACGGGCCACTCATTTGAGGACAGTGAGGTACAGATTTTAGCCAGAGAAAAGAATTGGTTTGAGAGGGGAGTGAAAGAAGCAATTTTTGTTAAGAAAGAGAATCCTTCTTTAAAAAGAAATGGAGGACTCAGACACCATCTATCTCCTCTTTACAACTCCATCCTCAAACGTAAATCAAAAGAGAACAACAGGTGTAGCCAGATCAGATCCAGAGGTGTGGAAGCTCCATTATGGCCAGGAATTATTATGTTAATGAGACCCCACACCCTGTACAGGTCAATAGGCCGAACTGACAAACAGAAACTGTAAACAAGTAGGTGTGTTAGTTTCAGTTAGTTAGCTCCTCCCTGCAGATATAAGGAAGTGTCCACCAGCGTCTGACCAAAACTGAAGAAGGAGCCTGGATGAGCTGCTAAACGTCTTCAACCAAACTAACTTTGGCCTGTTAATAGTTATTTATTTTAATATTGATTGTTCTCTCACTTTGGATTGCAACACTGAAATGTTCCCGTTGTGGGGCAAAAAAAGATGATAGTTCATAAAGACTCACCTGATTTATAATATGGAGCAGACACAGCTTTATGAACTATGACCTCTGCTCCTGTCACCTGAGTTCTAGGAGGAGCTATCAGGTAAATGAGCCCGCCCCAAAGGTTGTGCACCAGCATCTTCTCAGAAGTGACTGGGAATCTCTCAAAGACACATGGGGCCCTCTTTAAGTTCTTGTGTCTGAGGAAGTCTGTATGGCAACTGATCTGCACCTAGGAATATCAAAACAACAGAACTAAATACTAAAACAAGAAACGATAATATGAACACAATACAGCAACAATAATCATGAAAAAAATAAAAAAATAACAATTCTTTGCATGAACTCCTCCCTGCTGTTTAGTCTCTACCTGCCATCTTCCCTGTGCCACAATATTAGTTGGTACGGATATATAAGTCTTCATCCCAGGAGAAAGATACAGGCCGGTACTGAGCCACTCCGCACCACCTACCAAAATGATGAGCTGTTTTGTTTGATTAATTTGTTCGACTGTGCAGAGCAGCGCAATAGGAACGTCTTCTGTAGAACTCTGTGATTGTCCCAATTATCTGGAGGAGCTCGGAGTAGAGCCGCTGCTCCTCCACGTCGAGAGGAGCCAGTTGAGGTGGCTCGGGGCATCTGTTCCGGATGCCTCCTGGACGCCTCCTTCGGGAGGTGTTCCGGGCATGTCCCACCAGAAGGAGGCCCCGGGGAAGATCCAGGACACTTTGGAGGGACTATGTCTCTCGGCTGGCCTGGGAATGCCTCGGGGTCCCCCCGGAGGAGCTGGAGGATGTGTCTGGGGTGAAGGAAGTCTGGGAGTCCCTGCTTAGACTACTGCCCCCGCGACCCGGCCCCGGAAAAATGGATGGATGGATGATTTTAAGGTGAATTATGTAACTTTTCTGTTGGAAGGTCAGCCATCTGCTTGTCTACATGGAGATGTTATGGATGTTATGTTATTTTGCCTGGGATATTTCAGCATGTTAATCTTGTTTATCTCCATGAAGACAAGAAGGCCACAATTTACAGATCTACTCACTGCCCACATTTAGCACGTAAGAATGTTTTTTTTTAGCAATATTAACATGACAAGCAGGTGAAAAGTTACATAGTGCACCTAAAATCTTCAACACAAGTCTATAACAAAAATGATAGAAAAAAGAAAACTTTGTTCAGACATTCTCATATTTGACATATTATTGTTAGAAACAAATATTTTTTTAAATTTTAAACATCTGATGCCACATTCCTCTTTGCTGTTGAAATAGGTTGCTGGTTTCGACATCGATGGCTGCATCATCACCACTAAGTCTGGAAAAGTGTTTCCCACAGCACCAGACGACTGGAGGTGAGTATTGACAGATGATGTTGAAACGTACGTCTGCGCAGGAGATTATGGGTTCAATCAGTGCATGATCTGCAGAGTGTCTGCCACTATCAAAAGACATGTTTGAGTTCATTTTCCCCTCCTTAGTTAATAATTGTAAAAGACCATAATTGCCTTAAAGGTGCTATAATACACAAAATTGACTCTTGTGAGCTTTAAGCCATGTTAGAATGTTGTTACCTCCTCAGAAACATAAATAGAATTGTGTTTTGTTTCATTCAGACATCTTTGAGTAACCCTTTATTATTAGTATGTCTATATCTCCAAAACAGCTGCCTTTTACTTTTAGTTCAATAGACATTGGTAATTCCAGGGCTGAAATGGTCCAAATGTCCATATATGACTACAGAGAAATACTCCATAAACCATAATACTGAAAATACTGAAAATATCACTGACAGAATAACAGTAAACCATTTTAAAATAGACAGTATCATTAAAAGGACTGAGCTGGAACAAATGAACAGCAGAATGAACCAATAATTAGCCATAGAAGTTATTTATTCAATCCTTATTGTATCACAGCAGATTATATTGTTCCAGCTTTCATATATTGAACGATAAGTTGATATAGAAATGATTGTGACAGGCCTTTTGACTCGTAGTGCATGGAACCAGTTGACATGGATAAATGCTTACCGATATGTTACAGGCAAATAAGGAAATCAAGCGTTCTGTAGAATGCCGAGGTAGAATATGCAAATTCTGTGGCGTGCACTCTGATAACCAACAGAAACGAGATAAATAAGCAAGAGGCAAATGCAAACTTATGTAATTAAAACATAACAGTGTATTGTACAAGAAATTATTGAAATGCTTGAAGTGGTACAGTGAGTGTGTGCTTACAGTAGGCCAAATGTGTCTTGTGAAAGATCAACACGTACCACAAAGAACATAAAATATGCAAGATTAAGAATATGAAGTCGAAGTTTTTTCCACAGTGCAAATAACAACCCCACAGCCACACTCCAAGACAGTTAGAGCTGAGTCACTTTACACCTGCAACTGCTCATCTACATGGTGCCTCCATCTGTTACTCACTAGAATTCTAAAGTCCTTACTCAACCGTTTGCTGTCACCACTTGCTTGCATAGTCATGTTAACTTTAATCTGGAACATTCTCATGAGCTTTGAAAACTACGTTCATCAAGACTGCTCTTCTTTCGGAGCACTGAGCAGTTCTCAGTCCATCTCAAATCTGCCCCTTTTTCTTATTCTGTAAAGTATTTTGAATTACGTTGTGTACCTTGTGCTATACAGATAAACTTGCCTTGCCTATTACTGTATGTGTCAGAAGTGGTTGTTAGAAAGACTGGAAAGAACCAATGTTTTAGTTCCACATTTCCATGTGTGCCTAGTTAACTTATCACTCTGTTTTGCAGCTGCTTTTTTGTCGTGCATTATTGATCTGAAAGCCACACATCACACACTCATTGTGCCTTTTTCTTCTGCTACTATTAAAGAACATTCTCAGTTCATCCAGTCTCCTGAGTCTCTGACCGGAATCAACTGGTCTGTACTGGCCCCTCCAATCAGCATTGTTCTTATTAAGCTAATGTAGACATCACAAGTGGTTAAAGGAAAAAGCAGAGGCCTGTATGGTCCAGTCAAAGAAACACTTCCGAAAAGTTTAACATTTTGTTTTGTACAGGGTTTGCATATTAGACAGGTAGCTGTTATGCTAAGCCTGACTACTGTAGATGACATTTAAAACAAACTAGATAGGATATCTTGGTGTTTTATTGTACTTTTCCTATGTATCGTGCTCCTATCTGTATATCTGTGTTTTTGTCGACTTCTAGGTGAAGTACTTTGGTCAACTGAAGTTGTTTTAAATGAGCTATATTAATAAAATTTAACTGAAGTAAATAAAATGATCAGTTTTCTCTGTGTTTCAGGTTTTTGTAGCGAGTGGTCCTGGCATATACAGGAAGCCAGTGGTGGGAATGTGGACCCATTTGTGTGAGAAGGTTGTTTTAACAGCTTATTCTATTATTTTGACTGACAGCACACAGGTTTAACATACTAGTGGTGTGTCTGTTCACAGGCTAATGAAAGCATTCCTGTTGACAAGGCACAGAGTTTCTATGTTGGGGGTAAGACATTTTTGGACTAGTTTTACATATAGTGTTTGTTATTGTTTTAATGAAAAGAAAAGATAAAGTGTATTTATCAGGAACAGTGAATGAAGATTAAAAAAAAAAACACTTTGTCATAATACAGAAGTTAAAATGCAAATCTGAATTTGTAGCTGGTTAGTAAACAACACTATCTATTCTCTCCAGACACCAAACTCTTGCAACGGCAAATGGTACCCTATCATTATAGCTAAAAATGAACAAAATACAGTTTTGCAAAGCACAGTTTTTGTAAGAACTGATAAAACTTATACACATAATTTATTGTATCACTTTCTTCTATAGACGCTGCAGGAAGGCCAGAAAACTGGGCTCCTGGGAAAAAGAAGAAGGATTTCTCCTGTAGCGACAGATGTGTAAGATTATATTTAACATGTTTGCATTTCCATTTACTTTATTATGCAGAATTAACAAAAAACTACACACAAATATGTACTAGAAACGTGTGCACAAACCTCTAACTAATAGATTTTCTTTTCAAGTTTGCCCTCAACATTGGACTACAGTTCCACACTCCTGAGGAGTACTTTCTAGGATGGAAGAGCGCCCCCTACAATCTGCCTGAGTTTGACCCTGTAAGAAATAAGTATTTCAATTTACCATTGATTTAACCATTTTGATCTTATTCATATTTTTTTGATATATTTATATAAAACACTACCTATGAAATATATGATGTTATTATTATACATTTATGTGTAATGTGTAAATATAATGTTTGATTTTTCTTTTGTAAATATTTGATTCTTTTCATTTCTCCAGAGAAAGCTTAACTATAACGCCAGACTGTACGACCCACCATCAGCCTCTCTCATCTCAGACAAAACAGAAGTTATTGTTGCTGTGGGTTACCCTGCATGTAAGTATAATCAAGTTATAAATATGATGGATAGGAAGAAAAGGACAAAGTTCCCTATGTAAGAATCTGGAGATCTTATAGAATGGATTTGTAGATGCTCTGAATTAATTTTGAAATAAGATTTCAATTTCAATTATTTTTTATATGATTTCTTCTACCAAAGTCTGACCTCTGCTCTAAACCTGAACATTGGCTGCAGATCTCTCCATTAAAAACAGACAGGCATATCATTGAAAATTAGACATGACTGAATTGTAACCTTGATTAAAGTTCAGACAATTGCACTGCCTTAAGTGCAAGTTCGGAAAATCCTTTTGTAAGATTTCAAAAGAATAATAATCACATTTTCAATTGCTTTTTTCCCCCTTGTTCACAGCTGGAAAATCAACATTCTTTCACTCTCATGTTATTCCAAAGGGCTACGTGTATGTAAACAGAGTAAGTGATCAGTCTGCTATTAATTTAACCTTTTCAGATTCACAGGTGAGACACTTCAGTTTGTAGCTGTGGTATAAGCGCATTAAAGGTGCTATATTACAGAAAATAGACTCTTGTGAGCTTTAAGTCATGTTATAATGCTGTTACCTGCTCAAAAACAGACCTGGAGTTGTGATTTGTTTCATTCACACATGTTTGAGTAATCCTCTGTTATTAGTCTGTGTACATTTCCAAAGCTCAAAATGTTCTGTTCCACCTTGTGATGTCATGTACTGGTAGTTTTCAAGTTAACAGCTACTATTATCTTTAGTTCAGTAGAGATTGACAGTTCCAGAGCTGAAATGATCCAAATGATTCGAGTGCAGGTGTGTAGAGTTTAAAAACATAGTGGAGCTCTACCTGTATTACCACATGACATAAGGTGGAGTGTTTACTGCTTGAGAGAAGAACTCAGCCTAAATATGCAGGGTTTGTGTGTTAAACTTGTGTGACTGAAACAAAGCACAACGCAGGTATGTTTGTGATGAGGAAACAACTTTACAACATATAGATTTTTAAAAAAGCGTAATATGGGCCCTTTAAACAATTTTGCATTTGGCATAACACAGCTCCTTCTTGTTTAATGTTTACTTGAAACATAGACATGTAATATTCAGTCTATGTTTAGGACACATTGGGGTCGTGGCAGAGTTGTGTTGCAGCCTGTGAGCGTGCGCTGAAAGAAGGACGCAGCGTTGCGGTGGACAACACCAACCCAGACCCAGAGTCACGGAAACGGTAAAACTAAAATACTGATACTTGACATGACACTGGTGGTGTTCTACATTTATCTCTATTGGCGGAATGTTCAGCCGTTACCTTGGTGACACAATGCACACATTAGCAAACACAGACAAAAAAGTTTTTAAGATACTCTGAAAATTCAAGAAAAAATACAAAATGGGCGTTCATGGTCCTGTTTACGGGTTTAATTTTTAACCAAAAAGGTGAGAGTGACTAACTGAAAAACTGCTGGCTATTGCTAGAGACTTGTTGAAGTGCACAAGTCATATATTCACCTGTTCGAGTTCCAACTAAGTCAGCTCTTTCCTATAAGATTAAAATAAAGATCAGATGAATCTAGAATAGAGCATCTTTCTCTTTGAGATTAACCTAGTCTTTGCACTGTCCTTGTTTGGTTAAATAAATAAATAAAATAAAATACTTAGAAGCTCTAAGAGCACATTACTATTATAAATCCAGCCATTCTATATTGATTAAATAAACAGTATTAATAGAAGCTCTAGAACATCACAATTTTGAAATTTGAATTTATAAATTTGACAATAAATTCAGGAAAGAATTTCAGTAATAGACATGACAACCAAAGACAACATGCTCTTCACATCTCCTGTTCTGCAACTTCACACTCTTGCACAGATAAAGGCTTCTCTTACTGTGCATAGTCCTCTAACTGTTTATGTGCATGTCAAATACTGTGTTAAAGCCACAGTATGTAACTTTTTAGTAAACAATTCAGTTTTATTGTTGATGTTATTGTATTACACTGAAAAACATGTATTCTTACCACTGTTGGGCAAGTTACTTTGAAACTGTAATGCGTTATTTATTACCTGTTACTGTCATTTCAAAGTTATTCGTTACATTACAATATTACTGCATTTAAAATGTAAGGCATTACATTACTATTGCATTACTTTAAGTTACTCTCACCAAAATAACTTTTGCGCTGTATAATGGACTGAACCAGGACTAAAACCAGGTCTAAACCAGGACTAAACCAGAAGTGAACTAGGACTAAACTAGAACTGAACTAGGACTAAAACAGGACTCACTGTAGGGACGGGCTCGAAGGTGACCGCAGGAGAAAGGAGCGGCTCTGCTCCGCACCTCACGGAGGTAAGAGCGGCTGTTGCCCGATCGCTCTTTATGGTCACCGTGCTCCGCGGGCTCGCGGCCCTGATTTCAGCAACTATTTGCAGGTACCCGAGCCGGTGCAAGAGTCTGTTACAGCGCGTAACTTCTACCTTCCTTCAGCGTGTCCAGAAGTCCAACTTTTTGTGTGATGGTTTGCATCTTCCTCTGCCTTTTGGGTGCGAGCGCAGGAGCCTTTGTCGGTGCAGAACGTTTCGTCGACGTTGTGGGTTTCGTCGGGGAGAAAACTTGCAACCGTACAGCACTTCAGAATCACACTGCTAGAGACTGAACATGTATTTAAATTTGGCAGTGAACACATTCTGTACTGTACAGGAGACAGGAGTCCCTTGGCCAGTCAGGACGCAGCGGGAGGAATGCAATACGCATTCATACAATGTAAAAAAAAAAAAAAGGGCATGCAAAATTGCACAAAAAAATAAAAAATCTGCGAAACAGCGAGACCGCGAAAAGTGAACTGCGATAGAGGGAGGGACGAGTGTAAACCAGGTCTAAACCAGAACTGACAGGGTCAGTCTGGAGCTGGCCAAACACAACAACAGGGTAAGACTGTGTTGCCCTTATGTATGTGTGTGTGTGCGTGTGCGTGTCCGTGTGCGTCCGTGTGTGTGCACTCCTTATTCAGGTTTGGAATACCTTTTTGTTTTTACAGTTTCGAGAAATGGCACCATCAGAAAACAAACATCTCAAGGTCAACGATATGGTTTTCTACAGTTACAAGTAAGATTATTTTAAGATGCATTTGAAATTAAAGCTGCATTGTGTGACATTCTGGCAGAGGCACTCCACCTGCATGATTCTATGGAAACAGAAAGTTTGATAGATTTTTCTTAATAGAATGTGTGGCCTGATCTTAGATCCAACTATTACAAGACTCAGCAGAATTACAGATCACAGTGCTACCCTTATTTACAATATTTACTAACAATGTGGACAATAATATTATTGGTCTAATGATCTGTGACATAACAGATCACTTACCAGTATTCTCACTTCATGGTGAAAGAGTTAAAAAGAACCACAATGTTGACAATTATGTATAGAAACAATGAATCCTTAATGATCAGGACTGGAGTTCAGTGTACTTGGAGAATGACGTTGACAGAGCCTATAATCATTTTTTAGATAAAATATTTCTGACACTATACAATAAACACTGTCCTGTTCAACAATGTAGAACCAAAAAAAGAAACCCAAATTGTCCTTGGTTAATGAAGGGGCTACCAAAATAATCTTTACAGACTATTTATAAAATTGAAAACAAAGGATTCAGAGAGGAGGTACAAATTATTTAACAATAAACCCACAGATATTATAAGAACCAGTATATTATAATAAATAACTTGAAAGTAATAAAAAGTCTGTAAAAAAAAATGAGATACATTGAATAATTAAAGAAGGCTCTAAAAAGAACTCATACCTTTAATTATTTTGTTGATGAGGATGGTGTGAAAGATGACAGGCCCAGTATTGTTAACCATGTTTATGATTTATGATTAAACAAGCTCCATGATACAAGATGAAACACATAACAAACATAGTTGTGTTTTGTTTCATTCACACAAACCCTGCATATTTAGAATTCTTCTCTCAGAAGGAAAAACACTCTGTTACAGGAAGTGCTCCATTATGTTTCTAAACTCCATACACCTTCACTAGAATCATCTGGATAATTACAGCCCTGGAAAGAGTCAATTTTGAGTAACACAGAACCTTTAATCAACTAATTAAATTAATTCAATGACTGAAACAAGACAATTGCCACTGCATTTTTTTTTTTTTAGTCTTTACAAACATGAACAGTTTACAGTTTATATGTTTCCCACTGGATTTGTCCATCTTGTCATAATGTTTTTGAAGTTTTCATTTTCTAATTGGTGAAAGAGTCTGTCAGTCCTCTCCCTGGAGAAAGGTCAGGCAGGTACTGTTGGCTTGGCTTCAAACTATACATAATCTTTAATGATGTTTTTTTGTATCTTCAACAGGAAACACTTTGTGGCTCCTACGCTTTCAGAGGGATTTTCTGAGATACTTCAAATCCACTTTGTGCCTAATTTCAAAGACAGCCAATCAGAAGCCCTGTTCAGGCATTTCTCCGAAGGGTAAATGGATAGAAAATAAATGATGTTTTCAACACAAGAGGCTAGAGATAGAAAGAGTCAACAAAATAAATGTAAGTTCATGTATTCAACAATAATCAACACTAAGAAAGAAAGCACTGCTGTCAGACCTTTATTTCTTAGCTGTTGCTTTTCATGTGTCAAATGTATTACAGTTTAGCATGAAAAATGATCATAGCCATCGGAATAATAGGCCTGTTATTGGCAATTTGAAAAGAATAAAAAGCTATTTTTTGTCATCTTTTTATCTTTTGCATTAAGGCTCTTTTAAAGTGTTGTGCTGATAAAAGGTTCACTAAGGGCACTCCAATATGGGAAAAAACTGGACAAAAAAAATAAGAATTTACCACTGTCTCTGTAGTAAATCTTTATATAAGGTTTATATGTGTCATGTGTGGTTTACTCCTGAAAGTGGCTCCTTTTGCATTTTTCTCATACAACTATATTATGAAAAACTAGTAAAGATAAAGTGAAGATTTTGCATGAAATTTACAGGTAATGTGCATGATAAACTATATTTTCTTTGTATGTTCCATGTAATGTTGTATTCTTTAATTATATGTTGCAGAAAAAGCAACCAGAGTTCAAAGGGGGATTTGAACCCAGGTCGACCATGTGAAAGACCAGTGATTTACCAATTGAGCAAACCAGCTGCTGACTCCAGAGGGAACAATAGCACATATTGGAGACAATTACAAGTACTTTGGTATTTGTAATTGATATGACGTCTTGTCAGTTGAGCATGCATGCATGCCGAAGTAGTGACAGCATGAGCCGTTTGTGGTTGCGAGTTCTTTTGTATGACAGTGTCACTGATGCACTTTCACACTGGTATTGCATAAGCAGCAGTATAAATGACCCTTATGACAGATGGACAGCAGTCTGCCTGAAAAGTTGAAGAATATACAGTAAGTAAAAAACTTTTTCTAGCTTTATTTTAAGGTTATTAATGAGGTTACTTCCTTGTTGGCATTTTACTCAAATTCAATTCAAAGGGGAACAGAGGCATCTACTTCTATGGGTCAGCTTGGGTCTGCCCGAAGCTGCTGTGATCAAGGGCACCTCCAATACACAATACATGGGAAAGGTGGATAAAGTGTCTTGCCCAAGGACACTACAGCAGTTTATAGCACATCTTTTGTAATAGTTGAGACGAACTGAAGATGAAGATCACAATTTAGTTCCTGTCAGCCTTTACTTTGCATTTCATTTGCACATCCAGTAAATACAATTTTACCGGAATAAACAGAAAACAGCTATAGGAAACACAAATGGACCCAGATGTCAGAACATTTCTCTGCTAGTGGAAAAAAAAGTTTTAAATGGAGCGGTAGCAGCTGAGACCTGAAACCAGCAGGTGTGATGAAGCCAGCTTTAAAAAATATCATTTATTTTATTATTGCTTTATATTTTTTTTGACTACCCCTCTGGCAGTGAAAGAAAAATCAACAGTCATCACTGAAATAACTTCAAACTTATAAAAGAATGAAAATCAAACATTGCTTTTCACCTGTGGTTCAACAGAATCTTTAGAAAATACAAAATAATGAAACTGGCCTGGACAAAAATTATGGTACCCTTAACTTAATATTTTGTTACACAATGTTTTGAGGCAAACTCTGCAAACAAATGATTTCTGTGACTGTCAGTGAGACTTCTGCACTGGTCAACAGGTATTCTGACCCACTTCTCGTGTTGTCTCAGGTTTGAAGGGTGCCTTCTCTAGACAACATGTTTCAGGTCATTTCACAGATGTTCAGTAGGATTGAGATCTGGGCTCACAGAAGAACACCCCAGAACAGTCCAATGTTCTGTTCTTAGCCATTCTTGGGTGTTTTAGCTGTGTGTTTTGGGTCATTGTCCTGTTGGAAGACCCATGACCTAAGACTGAGACTGAGCTTTCTGACACTAGGCAACACATTTTGTTCCAAAACACCTTGATATTTTTGAGATTTTGTTGTACCTTGCACAGATTCAAGACACCCTGTGCCAGATGCAGCAAAACAGCCCCAGAACATAACCATCTCCTCCATGCTTCACAGTAGGGACAGCGTTCTTTTCTTGGTCTGCTTCATTTTTGCGTCTGTGAACATAGAGCTGATGTGTCTTGCCAAAGAGCTCCAGTTTTGTCTCATCTGTCCGAAGGACATTCTCCCAGAAGCTTAGTGACTTGTCAATATGCATTGTGACAAATTCCAGTCTCACTTTTTTATAATTTGCTCTCAACAGTGGTGTCCTCACATGAAGTCCACATTGGCTCAAACAGTGATGGATGGTGTGATCTGACACTTTGCTCTTCAAGTTCATATTTAATTTGTTTGGAGGTTGTTCTGGGCTCTTTGGTTACCATTCGTATGATCCATCTCTTCAATTTGTCATCAATCGCGTCCATGGCTTCAGTCCTGTGGCCCTTAAACTTCTGAAGAACATGTTTAACTGTATCTTTTAACTTTTATCTTTAACCTGCTTGTCTATCATTTTCTTTCTAGTCTCCTGACACAGTTCTCTTCTTCTCTTTCTCTGGACTATATTCAGTGTTTTCTCCATCATGTCTCCAAACAGCACAATGACATGACCCCCTTTAAACAGACAGACTGACTGAGGACAAGTTTGAAGACACTTGTGATGCAGATTAGAGGACACGCCGAAGTTTAACATGTCCCTGTTGTCCAGTTACTTAAAATCTTTTCAAGGGGTACCATCATTTTTGTCCAGGCCAGTTTCATTAGTTTGTTTTTTTAAATATTTCTGTTGAACAACAATTCAAAAGCAGTGTCTGATTTTCATTGGTTATTTTTCAGGAAATGTTTTATTTATTATTGCTTTTCTTAGTTTCAGTTTATTTCATTGACCATTGTTGATTTTTCTTTCATTACCAGAGGGGTACCAACAATTTTGTCCACGTCTGTATAAGGCTTCATAAGGCTTCATAAGGCTTGATGCAATTTACAGAAACTTAAGAGTGTATTTGAGATTGCATAATTAGGCTGAACGTCTGGTTGATTTAGGCTTTTTTGGATTTTGTTCTGCACTTGTCCTATGTCCATGAATCATTCATAAATGCAGGCGACAGAGCAGAACCCTCCTCATATCTGTCTTTAACATGTATATATGTCCACATGGAGAGATAAACTTTCATGTGGGGCTGACAGAGAACTGCTCCTCTAAGAATCCAATCCTGACAATCTTATTGTTCTTATTGTTGTTAACAAAGGTGGTAGTAGTATAGTGGTTATAAATGATTGATTTATTGACGTTTTAGTTTCTAGCTACGTGCACATTTATAGCTGTATACATGTATATAAAAATACCAAGTGCAAATAAGTTTAACAAAGGAAGAAATGAAATGTTCACACATCACATCCCATTTTCAGCTGCGAGGGCTGGACTGGGAGCAAGAATACGGTCCCATATAATAGTAGTAGTAGTAGTAGTAGTAGTAGTAGTAGTAGTAATAATAATAATAATAATAATAATAATAATAATAATAATAATAATAATAATAATAATGTTATTTTTGCTGCCCTGTTTTCAGTGATCTGTATTTGTTTCACAGACTCTACTGATTTTGGATATTTTTAATAGTATTATTAAAACAGTATAATTAATTGCATGTAAATGTTGTTGGCTTTTAATCATGATGATTCATTAGATAAGTAGAAGTCAAAATTTTATGAATTACTATCAAATAAGATGAACAGTAGATCAAATAAGTTGAACAGGTCCCCCTGCAGGACCCAGAGTGTCCTTATTGTACTAAGAGCAGAGTCACAGTCTGAGCAGCAGAGACAGCAGTGATCTGAAAGGACCCCTAAACTCCACTGACTTCACTCAGCTGTGTCAGGAGAGCAGTTTTTGCTCCTTTGATGAGACTGCGTAAAAATACAAACACTTTGATAGTGCTGTATGAAATGTAGCTTCTTTTTTCAAAGAACTAAAATAACCAGAACAATGTGAATATCAGGTCTGTCGATAAAAAATGAAAACCGTCGTGAAGACTGAAGAATATTGAATGCCTACAGAAACATGCCTAGTATTTAAAAAGTTCTTGATTTGTGGGGTACGCCTGTACGCACTGTGACTACCTTGAATGTCCCCATTGAATCTAAATTACTGTCCCAAGTTACACATGGAGGAGTGCCACAGTGACTGACCAACCTGTTACACTGGGTGCACACTGGGCCCTGGACCTAGACGACCACTAGGTCTCCTTTACACCCTCCCTCCGATCCCAACACGCACAAGAGAGCGCTGTGAGAGAGCGAGAGAAAAGAGAGATGTGGACCTCCAAAGTTCCATGTGTCAGGTGTAAGTTTGAAGACTGACTGGAGGCTCTGTCATCCACTTGACTGTGTGTATCTTCCAAAAAAAAAAAAGAAGTGCACTTTGAATGAAGGCTCACCACCTGCAGCAGCTCTGAGCGCGCTGCCGCTCAGGACAGGGCCGCTCCTGCTCCAGCTGCTCAGACTGTGGGATGATCCGGGAAGACTGAGCACATGTCACATGTGCGTGGGGTCACAGTGAGTAGAGCGTATGCAGGGGAAGCTGAATAAGAGAAGCTCTCTGAAACGGGACTTCAGGACTGTGTGTGCTGTTCTACAGACCTGACAGAGACTAGCTCAAAAAGTGCCTCAGCCTGTGTCAATTGCCTTAAAAAATTTCCGAAATGCAAATCTGGTGGTGAGGTAAGGTGAAGGAGTAAACGTTTTGACCAGTTTAAAGTTCACAAGGATGTGATGCAGCTAAAACATTTGAGTAGATATTCAGATGGGCCAGACACCTAACAGATAAGTGACAAGTGGAGATATTTCTCTGGTAAATGCATTCATTACTACGCCACGACCAAATAGCAGCGATTGGTTAAATAATGTTATTGGCTAAAAATCATACTCCTAATATCTTAAGAACCACAAATGAAACTTTTTGCAGCACAAAATAGCACAAACGACTGACACCATTTTAGGCATTTTAGAAAATTTTGAAGCTTCCTGGGGCTGGCTGACCCCAATTTGACCTTTAAGACAGCAGTTAATATCTCAAAAACTGATTGAAATGTTAATGAAACAAAATACAATTCCAAGTATGTTTTTGATGAGGAAACTTTATAACATAGATCATAAAATAGCAGAATATGGGCTCTTTTAAAACTGAAGACAGAATGAACCTTTACCAAAGTGTTAAGCATTATTGTGTGCATTTTTTTAATTTAGCATTTTAAACTTCTGCAAACACTGTTTCTAGTTAACATCAGAGAGGAACAGAATGTCATTGGCCAAAAATTTCTTGAGCCACGGCATAATTTTAAAAACATCAATGTGGAAATCTCGAGCGTCAGCTTTATTAATAACATTGTCGAAATTTTGAGTGCCCCAGCTCACCACTCCAACCTGCACACAAACAACATATTGGGTTAGGTTAGGTTAGATTATTAGCCATTTGTAGTTAAAAGTCACATTGGAAAAAACATGTGCAAAAAGCTCAATAGGGCTGTGGAAGTCTAAAGAAATTCTTGACTAAAGGCATTTCCTGATTAATCAACTAAAACCAAGCATAGCAAAAGGTCTGAAAACTAGTCACATTTTTACATACCGTACTTTGTGGACTACAAGCCACACTTTTTTCACGGTTTTGGTGTTTCCTGCGACTTATATATTCAAATTTTCACACTGACAGAGAGCGCTCTAGTCTTGTGTGTCAGTATCTGCTGCTCCTATACTGCTCCTATACTGCTCCTAGTCCTGTACCACTGTCACTTCATTCTACTGCACGTCTCCTGCAGAAAGAGCCTCTGTACTGCTGCAAGTAGTGAAATATTCAGATGAAAATGGTAACTGAACCAGCAGAAAGAAAGTTTGGAGTGAGCAAGAAACTTGTGATGGGGTGGAGAGAACACGGCCAGGCGGGTGCACTATGCAACTTTCCTGGAAGTCACTGGATGGATGGACAAAGCCTGTTTTTCAGTGACATTGAAACCATCCTGTCGTTATTCAGAAAGGCCAGAATAATTCTAACTGGAACTGATGCTGAGTCTGACGACAGCTAAACAGAACAGGAAGAGGCACTCTTTGTTGTGTTTACCTCCGGAGGTCGTGGAGTTGTTCAGAAGTGACACCATGGATGAAGAATTGAATGGATGATTTGGAGTGAGATGGAGAGTTTGGTAAACTTGTTCTGTTCTGTTGTTTATGTTATAGTTATCTGAAGAACTGTTCATATGTGACGTTAACAGTCTGTTGTTCTCTCTTCTATTGTTGTTACTAGAACTTGACTTACAAGATGAAATGTCGGTTCCTGGTCTCTGATTTTACAAAATAAATTTCCCCCAAAATGCGACTTATACTCTGGAACGACTTATAGTCCAGAAAATACAGTAGCTCCTTTCCACCTTTAAGGCACTCAAAGCTCTTTACATCAAGGAACCACTCACCCATTCACACACACATTCATACACCAATATTAATTTTTACAAAAGTGAAAGTAAATTTGTAAATTGTACTTTGTGAGTATTATTGATTATAAACAATTCATAAACAACAAGCAAAATATTAGACATACAATCAGGATGTGCAGGTCCTGTTAACATCTGTGAAACAGGGGTCCTAGGACACACAGTAAGTGGTGGCTTCTCTGATTTAAAATTTATTATGACCATTTATAGTTTTGCTTTATTATAACATATTGTGATGTGTGAGCTACTGTGTCCAAATAATTTCCCTTTAAGATCAATACAATAAGTCTTATTTTGTCCATTTTACCTTATTGCCGGTATGAATATGAGTTTTAATAAAGGTAAAGTTCCACATCATACTGTGGAACATTACAGGCAGATCAATGACATTGCAGGGATGGACCCCAACTAAAAAGTTACATAGCAAACCTTTAAAATGCACAAACCTGAAAGTAGCGCTTGCGCTTTTCAAGAAACAGAGATCCCCCAGAGTCTCCTAGAACAAACAGAACAAAGATACTGTATTTAGTCACTAATTCTGTGTTATAGTTTGAGTTATGGTCCAGACCTTTGCGGGTGAAGGCGTCTTGTTTGTTTTCAGTTCCCCCTGAACAGAAGAACCGCTCAGGCACGTACTCCTCCAGTGTCACGTCTGCATACCGGACCTGTGTCCCTTCTTTATACTGGAGTGTGAGATTGGCTTTCTTCACACAAGCACTCCTCTGGAAATTGGGAAAATAGAGTCAATTGTACAGATGTGTTTAAAGGTGCATTGTGTCACTTTTCTGGTGGAAGGTCTGTCAAATTCTTTTCTCTGTGGAGATATTATTACTATGTCAAGAATGTTTGTATGAGATTAAACCTTTCTATCTTCATGGACACCAAACCAGATAAAGTTACAGGTCAGATCTGTGGAGAAGCAACCCCACTCACAGTCAGAATGCTTGTTTTTCTGGGTATTTTTGAGCTATAAAACCACCTGTAATTTAATAAATGAAAGTTAGAGTTGTTTAATGTCATACTGTGGAACATTCCTGGCAGCGCAATGACATTTCCATAGAAACAAGCAGGTGACCTAACACCTAACCAGAAAGTTATATATAGTGCACTTTTAAATAGTGCTGTCATGCGATTAAAAAAATTGAGAGATTAATTAATTATGATCTGTAATTAATTAATCTAATTAATCTCATTTTAATCTCACCTAAAAATTGCTGAGAAAAGCTTCAATTTGAGGTATTTTCATTTAAATTCATTATTACATTATTGTGGCAGATCAAAAGACTGATATAGAACAAAAAAAGTGACTTTATAAAGTAATTTATTGTTTAACAAATCTCTCCAATTTGGCTGTTGAGCCCAAGTCTCCATGAATAAGAAACTGTTTGCTGTAAAGTAGCAAAGACGAGGAAATCTGAACATAATAACTTTTGTCTACTTAAAGACAATAAAAAGTCCAGTCTTTCCTTAACCATATTAAAAATATTATTGATAGAGAAATGCTTTATATATGAGATCACTGGTTTTAGTCCTGGTTTAGACCTGGTTTAGACCTGGTTTAGACCTGCTTTAGTCCTAGTTTAGTCCTGGAATGGATTAATCCTGGTTTTAGTCCTGGTGTTAGTTCTGGTTTAGTCCTGGTTTAGTCCTGGTTTAGACCTGGTTTAGTCCTGGTTTAGACCTGGTTTAGACCTGGTTTAGACCTGGTTTAGACCTGGTTCTGGTTTTAGTTCTGGTTTAGTCCTGGTTTAGTCCTGGTTTAGACCTGGGTTAGTCCTGGTTTAGTCCTGGACTGGATTAGTCCTGGTTTTAGTCTTGGTGTTAGTTCTGGTTTAGAGGCGCACAGGAGGAAGCGTGGTTTATGGAAGGAAACGTGGTCCGTGCGTTCTCAGGGTAATGACGATGATGAAGGTGTGTGTTTGTTTGTGTGATTTTGTGTTTGTGTGTGTTTCTGTTTGTGTGCGTGTCCCCTCATGTGGCAGGTCACTATAGGACAGTAGTGCAGACATCATGAGCCTATGCAGGTTGTTTTCAGGCGATATTATATTTGTTATTTTCTTTTATATTTCACGTCGGGAGAATAATTTCCAAGACACGAATGCGTTTTTACCTGTGCACTGCTGCCTCTGTTCTACTGGCTCTTCGACCTCGTCCATTGTGCGACTGACGCCGCCAACGTTAACATGACGTTTACATCGCTCTTACTGTGCGCATTTTGTGTGGGTTTCCGGCAATGAGTGGAATTACTGAAATAAATTTTTTTATAAATGTGTTTTTGTATGTGTTGTTGTCCCAACAACACATAAAAACAGGTTTTATAATAAAGAAACTCACATACAGAAACACTAAAGTTAGAGATTAAAAATGAGATTAACGCGATTAAAAAACATAACGCGCTAAATATGACTGTAATTCATTAATCGCAATTAACGCGATAATTTGACACCCCTACTTTTAAATAACCCTGTCTCTTGTTATTTTTTTCCAACTCATTTGTAATTTATTATGACCATTTATATTTTTTCTCTTTGTTATTATAAAATATTGTGATGTGTGAGCTACTGTGTCCAAATAATTTCCCTTTTGGATCAGTACAATTTGTCTAAGTCTTATTTTGTCCATTTTACCTGATTGCCGGTGTGAATATGAGTTTCTTTGCGTTCAAAGCCTTTTTGAACAAATGAAACCGATGTCTGATTTAGAGGAATCAGCTCCTTCCCTGCACACATAGTAACAATAGCAGTGTAATACTACAAGTTTTGAGATTTGAGTCCTTCTTAAATATATTCTGTGCAAATTATTAACATCAAATATATTGTATTGTAAATATAAATTACTTACTGTGCTGCTCACATGTAGAGTTCACTTTCTTCATTGCTCGATTTGCAGGAACAGTACAGGGTAAGCAAATAGGCCTATAATGAAAATACAAAACCCAGTAAAATTATAACTCATGGTGCCAAGGCCAACAAACCAAGATGCCATAACTGTACAAGATACAAGCAGGGTCAAGATGAAATATGAGCGAGCCCCACCCACATGTCTCTCAGCTGCCCTCTCCAGGCACCGGGCAGGGAGGGAGATACAGCTATGTGAGAAGCCTAACCTCTCAGGGAAGAGGAATCTGGTTGCCATCAAACACAGAACGAGCAAGCGATCCAGCTAAAACATCTAACAGATAGGATCACACAAAGGTACACACAGTGGACCAGACAATCCAAATCTCCTCAACTGTAATGTCCCTGCAGAGGACCAGAGCAGTAGAGAGGCCACGTGCATTGTGCGCACTAATGACTGCAGGAGCAGTGTGACCACAGGTTTCATATGATGCCATAATGCCTCCATGAATTCTGTGGGCAAGACGTTGGGATGCCAGTGGGGCCCCATGGCCTCTGCTCCCAAAACCCACAAACAGCTGGTCCGAAGCGTGAAAGTCTGCTGTCCACTCAATGTAAGAGCGTAGAGCTCTGACGAGACACTACAACCTCAGCTATGAATCGCTCTCGGCATTGGCGGGGGAATGAGTACTCTAAATCTGATCATCCTAGACCAAACAGTAGAGGTGATCACCATAGACTGGAAGGATGAGTTGAGCCAGAGCTGAACTAAACATCCATCTTCACTGAATGACATGCAGGAGGGGTCAACTAAGTGTCCACACAGATCCCCCTCTTGGTAGAGGACAATGCCAAAAGTTTCAGCATGCATACATGGCGTGCTCTCTGAAATGCCCATAGTAGGACCTCCACTGCTTTCTGATGCTGAGAAGAAGACCTGGGCCCTCCCTGTCTGTTCACATAGGCCACAACCACCATGTTGTCTGACTGGACCATGACGTGTTCCCCTTGTAACCAGGAGCACCCTCTGCACTGCTACTATCTCCAGTTGATGTGGGCCACTGATGACTCCCAAGTGCAGCAGACCCAGGCGTACCACCGGATGAGCCAAGGCCATCATCCCTCAGACAGATCGCACTTGGTGGGATGAGGAAGATGGTCTTCAAACTCAAGGCCAGAGTGAGTAGCAGAAATCCAGCTCTAGGCCCATGTAAGTGGCCTGCAGTGCTGGACGGAGTGAGCTCTTTTCTTTTTTCACCACAAAACCCATCCTGGAGAAGTGTTGCAGAATCGAGATTGTACGTTCCTCTGCCTTTTGATGAGAAGATGCTAGGACCATCGTTGGTGTAGGCAAAGATGAATCCCTTGTCAACGTAGAGGTTCCAACGCTGCCTCTACGTATTTGGAGAAAGTGCATGTGGCGCGGGACTAGCTGAAAAGAAGACGCTGTACTGAAAGCAGCTGTCTCTGATGGCAGACCTGAGAAAATGCCTGTGTTTCTACAGGATCGGGATGTGGAATTATGCAGTGAATGTAGGCCCAGTCCAGAGGGACCGGAGTGATGAGCAGGTCATCCTCAGCCGGCTCCGACCTGGCACCACCGTGGAGCGTGGAAATGGGGCCCATAAAGGCGGTGTAGCACTCCAATGCAAGAAGAGAACTGAGTCTGATGGAGCCATCCCAGACAGGTGAAACAGCGGTCATGCTGGTATTTACGTTGGAGCAGAGTGCTACATGAGCATCTGACACGCCCGACACCAGCAGGTAACAAATCTCAGGCAAAATCCATCTTCAAATCTTCTCTTGGGGTAGAATTCTCAGAGGAGCTGATCTCAGAGAGGTCTGACAGAAGAAGGGAGTTATGTAGCTAGCAGCCCAGTATTTATAGGGTACTGTGTTTGTAGGCATGTGCCAGGCAGTAGGCATGATTGGTGCGGTGACCGCTTTGACCTTTCTCAGAGCTTGGCGCTTTTCTCAGAGCTTGGTGCCAGAGAGACGTAAGCAATAGCGAAGCCCATAGGTGGGAGAAGCACACTCGAAATAGAACCATTTAAAATATAGTAAACAGAAAAAATCTGGTATGAATTTTTTTCTTCATGTCTAGTCAATAAAATGTCTCCGCTTTTAGTTTAGATCTCTTCCAGATGAAATAATAAAAATTCACCTGGCTTTCCACGACAAAGGTATGGGCGTATCCATCTCCACTAAAGCAACATCATAGTCATAAAACTCCTTCACATTCCTCTGCATAAGGCCATCCACATTGTATTGAGGATGCATTATCACTCGTTTGGACATCACTGTGTTGTTCTTATCCCTGACTTTCTTACCTACAGAACAAATACAAAATCAGAAGTTTGTCCTCAATATACAAAATTCCATCCAAAATACTGTGCTAATTTGCACACAAACAGTGATTCTTCTGGCAGTTTAAACATTCATTTAAGAAAATAAGGGTTATGTTATTACATATTATATTATATATTTATTACATTTATATTACAGTCATGTGTTTCTAATACAAACACCTGGCTGCAGGGGCGGAGTCTGTTAGACCAATCACACAGTTCCTTATACCTCCAAAACCCGCCCCATCCCCCCCTCACTCTTCCTTTTAGTCCTCCAGGCACTGTCCAGGTTAGCAGTTCTATCTGAAATATGGTTGTGGGCAGAGTTTAGTGCCACTTTAATAGACCTACCTGTCATATGAACTTCTAACTTTATGTTAAAAGAAAAAAAAATTATGTAACTAACAGTAACACTGAATCACATACATGGATGAGGGTTTCCGTGCTTCTTGGGTTACATGCATTTCATGGAGGCTGAGTCTAATCATAACCAAAAGTTAACCTCCAAACTTAATCTATTTAACCCATGTCTGAACTTTAAACTATTTGTTGATCAAATAATAAAGGACTTACAGCACCACAGTATACTTACCATATTTTACTTCATGTTCCTGTTTGACCTTTTCTAAACCATTTCTACCAAAACAATGAGCGGCTGTCAGCACCCAGTTTGGGCTCAGAATGGACCCAGAGCACTACAAAAGAGAAAACAAATCAAATACATCAAATCAATTCATGGTAAGATTACTAAATGGGTTCTTACTCCTGCAATGCTAATATGCCAGGGCTGAGTGTAAATGGTTGAGTCCTCTGGTACATCCTCTTGTGCCACTCCACAAACAGTCACTGTTTTGTCACCTAGAACAATTCAAAGAAAACAAATCTTATTTTGTTTCAGTTATTTTTTGAGGTTGGGGGGGATGGGGGGGGGGGGGGGGGGCCATGTTGAGGAACATTGAGGAATGTTCCTCAACATGGCCATTAAACATATCGATTTCCAGGATAAGTTCAATGCCGTACTCTGGAATACTCTAGACAAAGCAATGCATCTCCATGGAGACAAAGAAGACAAAGACAAAGCTACTCACTGACGATCATGTTGAACACTTCTCCAAGGTGGTCGTAATCTTTTAAAATGAAAAGGTGCTCCTCGCCACGTTTTTTTGAGGCCAAGGAGTTCAGTTCATTTTTATTTACTTTGGAGCCAATTCCAAACACATAAACATCTGAAAAAAAATAAAAATAAAATAAAATCCAGAATACAACCAACTATACTCTGCATCACCACCACTTTTGGTTTCGTTAGCCTTATTTCTTATATGCAAAATTGACTCTTGTGAGCTTTGAGCCATGTTATAAGGGTGTTACCTACTCAAAAACAGTCCTGGAGTTTTGTTTCAGTCACACATGTTTGAGTCACTCTTTATTATTTGTCTGTCTACATCTCCAAAACTTCAAATATTCAGTTTCATCTTGTGTTGTCATGAAGCGGTAGTTAACAGCTCCTTTTACCTTTTGTTCAGTAGAGATTGGCAATTCCAGATCTGGAACTACCCAAATTATTCTAGTGAAGGTTTATGGTGTTTAAAAACTTAGTAGAGCATTTCTGATTGTGGCGGACAGCAGGGAGTGCGCTTTATTTATTTTTTTAGGACTTACCCAACACCACCTTCTTGTGCCAGCGGAGGTTGGGCTTAAATAGAGCACGTGGCAATGGTTCAGTCCCGACTTCTGCTGGCTAGTGTCAGGTAAGGTTTTAAACAATCTCCCTTTTAATTATTTTAGCTCTTTTTTTTTACAGTGGTTTTAATGGATTTTTATCATTGTAGAGCTAAAACTATAATGGAGGCAGATCCCCCCCCCCCCTTTTTTTTGGTGTATGTGTTTGGTCTGCTACGGATTTGTTTTGATGTTTTGTTTTTGTTTAGTATAGTTTTTATATTTTATATATATTTTAGCTCTATTGCACCTTTTAATAAACGTGTGTATTTAGTGTTGTCATCCCTGGGCTTTTAGTTTTTAGTTTAGTTCTAGTTTAAGTTCCCAGGTCGTACTTGGGAGGGGTTTAGCCCGTACCTTTTTGTTTGCACTTTGGGATTTAAGTTTTTTAGATGTGATGGCATGATAGCACTTTCTGTTTTGTTCTGGGTGGGGCTACCCCCTCTCAAGTCATCCTTGTTTGGTTTATTTGTAACATTTATTTCTGTTTTCCAGATTTGGTTCCGCTGCCCAGGGGCTGCAAGATTTTATTCTTATTATAGTACATTTCATGAATTTTGGCCCTTTTATCATTTTAACCCTCGGCCTGGCTCTTTGTATAGAATAAATTATTTTACAGTTTCTACTTGCCCCTCTTTTAGTCTTTAATAAATTTTAATTATACATTTTAAGTCACGTCTCTGTCCTTTTCTTTTACAAACTTACCTGTGGCCTTGGTTATTTTATGTGTTTTATTTATCTATTTATTGAAACAGAATGGTACCTAAGGTCACACTATATTACCACATGACATCACAAGGTGGAAAATAGTGTTTTCAGCTTGAGAGAAGAATAAAGCCTAAAATGTTTGTGATGAGGAAACATAAGAACATAGATCAGAAAATAGCGTATACTAAATTTGTTGGTTTTATCTATGTGTAATTTGAATAAAAATACAATAAAATATAAAATACTTGTGCAGTAGTAATACCTAACAGTCTCTCGTGGGTGTGGTCTGTGACTGTGCTGTTATAACCAAGAGTGCTTCTTATCATTTTCAAAGCAAGAGATGACTTATTTCCAACATTAGAATAACCTGAAACAAATGAACAAAAACAGGTAAAACAGACCATATTTGCTTAGATATTCATCATTAAACTAAATTATTTACCGTCAGTTTGCACTATGATTACATTTTGTGTCTCATTAAAGTGGGTTCTTTCACTTTCTCTTATTTTTAAAAAGGCGATTTTCTCATTCACACGGGACAGTGCGGCAAAAAGGTTGGTGCCAGTTTTATCTCCATGACCTGCAAATGATACCAAGAAAAATATGAACACCAGATTATTATTATTTATTAACAATCAATACACAATATTGACTTCATGCCTTATAAACTTTCCTCGTTAAAAGTGCTTAAGAGAGAAAAATGTAACTTTTCTCTCTCCATGGAGATTGCTTTGCCTCAGTGTTCAACAATATGACATTAAACTTGTCTATCTCCATGGAGACAAACTGGAGAGCACGCTGGGCCAAGTAAGTAAGTAAGTAAGTACACCTGAAAATACCTGTAATTGAATAAATGCTAATTATGTGGACAATTCCAAGCAATCTCCATGAGCATAAGCAGATGACACCATAAAAGTTAATATAATACCATATTTTTCAGACTATAAGTCGTACTTTTTTCATGCTTTGGTGGTCCTGCGACTTATACTCAGGTGTGACTTTTATATTAAAATATATAATCTCACATGTTTGTTATTTTCACACTGACTGACTGACTGTCTTGTGTGACAGTATCTGTTGCTCCTATTACTCCTGTACCACTGTCACTTGGCTCTACTGTGCATGTCTCCTGCAGAAAGAGCCTCTGTCCTGTCTGTATCATATCAGTGTCTTGTAGGATTTCAGCAGATTTCAGGCTCTCTCGGGGGCGGGGCTAGGTGTATCAATTAGGTATGAGAGGGTGTCCTGCTACTGAAGTTTGAGGGATTTCTTCTTGTCATTTAAGGATTCCCCTGCATTTAACACATGCATTTAGCGAGTTATTAAGAAGTAATCCCACTCACTAATTTAAATTTAGCATCATAACTTATTTTATCACACACTGATAAACTGTTAATCATATTCTGCAGATTACAAGCTGTGAGTAGTAAAATATGCAGCTGAAAACGGTAATTAAGCAACAGGAAAAAAAAAATGCAAGAAAACAAAAAGCTAATGGCGAGCCAAAAGCTAGATTTAATTCAAGTTGATGGAGTTGCTCAGAAGTGACACCGAAGACAAAGAATGAAAAGAATTTGGTGATTTGGAGTGAGATGGAGAGTTTGGTAAACTTGTTCTATTGTTTTATGCTATAGTTTTCAGAACTGTTCATATGTGACGTTAACATTCCAGACACCTGTTTAGTCTGTTGTTCTCTGTTCTATTATTATTACTAGAACTTGCCTTTCAAGATGAAATGTCGGTTGCTGGTCTCTGATTTAAAAAAATTAATTTCCCCCAAAAAGTGCGACTTAGAGTCCAGTGCGATTTATATATGTTTTTTCTTCTTCATTGCACATTTTTTGGCTGGTGCGACTTATACTCTGGAGTGACTTATAGTCCGGAAAATATGGTACACGTTCAACAAGAAAATCTGTGTTCTGTGTTGCACTGTGGAACTTTTTGGTAGAGAGTCTGTTACCAGCTTCTCTCCATGGCGATGCTCCCTGGAATGTTGCACAGTATGGCTTTACACTTATTTATCTTTACAAAGACAAAGCAACAATTTCCATATAGACAAGCAGATGATAGACCCTCCACCAGAAAAGTTACACAGTGCATTTTTACCTGTCATAAAATATATTGGTATATAATAGTGTATTTTTATGAATGAAGGGCCCTACGTTTTGGGTCAAATTCCTCCAGAGACTTAATGATCCAGTATTCATTGCTGCGTGTGTAGGTGTTGAGGATGTTCACGATGTCTATGACTTCAGTGGCGAAGGACAACACATGGTACCTAATCTGGACTTCATAGGTTTCCAGCTGCAAGAAAATGAAGGATTAACACTGAAAGTCTAAGTCTTTTAAAAGCTTTACAACTTTTCTAAGCACTGTACTCCGCAAGGTTGTGTTTTCTCCCCCTATGTTTTCTCTGCAAACAAACAATATTCTGTGTATTTCTGTACCCTCTGACTCCCGGACTGTAAAGCTATTCAAACCTTTCTGATGAGTGCGATAGTGGCTCTTCTGGATGCCTCAAAGTCATCTGCCTGGATGCTCCCAGAAGTGTCCAGAAGGATAAATACATTTAGACGACTCCCTGCTGAGACCTCAATTGTTCGCTGAAAAGTTGCTGCAAAAGAAATAAACTGCTCACACTTCCTATTATTTGTGATATATTTAAACAACCTATACTATGCTATTTTCTGATCTATGTTATGATGTTTTTTCTGCATCAAAAACATATCTGGACTTGTGTTTAGTTTCATTCACACATGTTTAACACACAAAACCTGTACTCTTTTCCACCTTGTGATGTCATACAGTAATACAGGAAGTGCTCTATTGTGTTTTTAAACTCTATACACCTTCACAAGAATTATTTTGATGGTTTCAGCCCTGGAATTGCCAATCTAGACTGAACAAAAGGTAAAAGGTAGCTGTTACCTCGAAAACTACCGCTTCATGACATTACAAGGCAGAACAGAGCATTTTGAGCTGTGGGGATATAGACAGACTAATAATAAAGAATTACTCACACATGTAGTATTGAAACAAAACACAACTCTAGCAGATACTGTATGTTTTTGATGAAGTAACATGACTTAAAGCTCACAATAGTCAGTTTTGACATCCTAATTATTCACTATATGAATTTATAGCCACTTTTCACAACTTTAGGAGAGGTGAGTTTTGCCACCATAGTAAAACTATGCAACAACGAGCATGGAAACGATGCACATCGTGATTCTCAGATAATTAAAACACTTAAGGTGAGACACCACAGCTCTGGTCTCCAACCTTTTTCCTCTGGTGAGCTACCTTTACAAAACAAAAATGTTAGAGAGCTCCTCATTTTAGCGGTCGCAAGAAACTGAGACAATTATAAGAAAGAGGGCAAGCCTTTGTGTACAGTTAGATGCCTATAAAACCTAAACCAGGGGTCTTTAACCTTTTTTCCTCCAATCAGCTCCTTTACAAAACGAAAATGCCAAAGAGCTACTCATTTTAGCAGTCGCAACAAATTGAGTAAATATAAGAGCCTTAGATAGGAACAGTTAGAGATCTATAAAACATACACCATCATCCATTTATTTGTACAGAAAGTAAAGTTAGGCATGAAAATTATACATTTACAATTTTATTAGTCATTCTATTCATCTAATTTTTGTTATTCAGATCAAAACTTTTATTTCAGACATTGTGTGGTGAGCTACTTGGAAGGGGGTGGAGAGCTACTGGTGGCTCCCGAGCTACAGGTTGGAGACCTCTGACCTAAACCATTGTCCTTTTATTAGTGCATAAAGTTGGGCTTCAAAATTATACATTTATAATGGTAACAGGCATGTAATTATACCATTGTGCTGAATAATAATGTGGTCAATTTCAAAATCCCTTGGTGAGCTACTTGTAATGGAGTGGAGAGCTACTGGTCCTGAGCTACAGGGAGACCCCTGCACTACAGGCTATTTAATATTTTGGTTTTTTGTCAGTTTTGTGTCTTAGCAAACAATCTTTCATGTAGAAATAACAAAACTGTCACTTTGCACATGAAGATATTTTAATATTTAATTGAATCCATTGCTTCCACAGAGTTACGCTACAAAAAAAAGTTTTAGAGCACTCTAATATTTCCAGTTATTTATCGCAATTCAAGTCGTGCAAGTCCAACGAAGAGCTTGAAATGGTACAAAGGTAAGAATGGAACAAGCAGAGGTTACAAAACACAAGTCCAAGCCCAAACTACCTCAGGAAAAAAGAACAAGATGGTAATCTTGAAAACATTGGAGTGTCCAGCACAGTGTCCAGACTTAAACCCTATCGAGCTGGTTTGGGATGAACTGAACAGAAGAGTGAAGCAACCGACAGGTGCCACACATTTATGGAAACTTCTGCAACAGACTTGGGAAGAACTTTCTGAAGAATATTTGATTTCTATTGTAGAAAGAACGAGCTACAAGCGCGTTCAACTGTTCTAATCTGCAAAGGTGGACACTTTCATGATCAATAGTTTAGAATACGTTTTGGTCAACAGTAAACAGTAAAATGGAAAAAGTGTTGTGTTCTAAAACCTTTGCCGGGATTTATGGGATTATTATATGGGACTCATATCTTCAAAGGCTGTTCTCTGAAAGTGCATTTTTCCTCCATAGGGACATAAGGATCAGCCTTAACGTAGCATCTACCTTCACCAAAATTCATCTACATAACAAGATTTGGATGAAATTACAGAAGGATTTTTTGAGTCTTTCCAAGTCTGATTTATTCAAGCTTTAACTAAAAAAAATTTGTCAAATTTTGAATTTTTAGGCACATTTTAAATTAGGTTTAGTTGCTCAAATATTAAATAGGATATTCAAAATCCCCTCTGTATATGCAGCTTTTGACCTCAAGACCTGCTTATTCAATATATTTGTACTAGAGAAAGACAAATTGTCCTCAAAAACATAAAAAAAAATTATGTACAGACCCTTAAGGGTAAATGTTAAGACCTTTGAAATGTTTGGGTTGGGTTTTGAGTCTAACCTGTTTTAAGTTTAATGAACTCCGGAGACAGGACGTCCATGACTCCTGCCAGAGATCCAGACAACGCTGCTGCTGCTGCGCTGGGGGAGTCGAACATGTACGGACCTATGGGAAATAAGAAAGAGAAAAGACTTTATATGGTCATGAAAATAATAATTATTTGGAATAAGGTGGAAAAATCATATTTGCTTTCCAAGTACCATCACAAATGTTACATGGTGCATATTTATTATTTTTCAGGTGGAGGGTCCATCAAATTCTTTTCTCCATGGAGCTTTGTCTGGAATGTTTCACAGTATTATGGTCATGTTGGGCAAGTTACTTTGAAACTGTAATGCATTATTTATTACCTATTACTGTCATTTCAAAGTAATTCGTTACATTACAATATTACTGCATTTAAAAATGTAAGGCATTACATTACTATTGCATTACTTTAAGTTACTCTCACAAAATAACTTTTGCGCTGTAATGGACTGAACCAGGACTAAACCAGGTCTAAACAGGATAAACAGAAGTGAACTGGACTGAACTGAACTAGGACTAAAACAGACTCACTGTAGGACGGGCTCGAAGGTGACGCAGGAGAAAGGAGCGGCTCTGCTCCGCACCTCACGGAGGTAAGAGCGGCTGTTGTCCGATCGCTCTTTATGGACCCTGATGCTCGGGCTCGCGGCCCTGATTTCAGCAACTATTTGCAGGTACCCGAGCCGGTGCAAGAGTCTGTTACAGCGCGTAACTTCTACCTTCCTTCAGCGTGTCCAGAAGTCCAACTTTTTGTGTGATAGTTTGCATCTTCCTCTGCCTTTTGGGTGCGAGCGCAGGAGCCTTTGTCGGTGCAGAACGTTTCGTCGACGTTGTAGGTTTCGTCGGGGAGAAAACTTGCAACCGTACAGCACTTCAGAATCACACTGCTAGAGACTGAACATGTATTTAAATTTGGAAGCTGAACACATTCTGTACTGTACTGTACAGGAGACAGGAGTCCCTTGGCCAGTCAGGACGCAGCGGGAGGAACGCAATACGCATTCATACAATGTAAAAAACAAACAAACAGGGCATGCAAAATTGCACAAAAAATAAAAAATAAAAATAAAAAATCTGCGAGACAGCGAAAAGTGAACTGCGATAGAGGGAGGGACGAGTGTAAACCAGGTCTAAACCAGAACTGACCCAAGTCTAAACCAGGTCTAAACCAGAACTGACCCAGGTCTAAACCAGGTCTAAACAGCGTGGAGTTCTTTGTCAGTCCTTTCGCCCGCGGTCACCTGAAGGTCTACGAGGGCGCATCTCCGGCGTTTCACCGCTGCTGATATCGAGGTGATTTTAGCGAATTTGTATGAAGAAAAACCCACCACTTCAATCCAGGTTAAAAAAAAAAAACACTGTAACGCGCGTTACTCACATTTGTACCGATAAAATATTACTATTTTTTCCCCTGTAATGCGAACATTACTGCGTTACAGCAAAAAGTAATGCATTACTGTAATTCGTTACTTTTATAACGCGTTACTCCCAACACTGATTATGGTATTAAACCTTTTTTTTCTTCATGGAGACCAAACCACACCAAGTTACAGGTCAGATCTGTGAAGAGGTGACTCCGCTCACAATCAGAATGCCTGTGTTTCTAGGTATTTTTGAGCTATAAAACCACCTCTAACTTAATAAATGTAAGGTAGAGCTGTTTAATGTCACACTGTGGAACATTCCAGGCAGAGCAATGACATCTCCACAGAAACAAGCAGGTGACGAACACCTAACCAAAAAGTTACAACATGCACCTTCTAATTCATTTATTTTCAGGAAAAAAGTAGGACAAAAAATTCAATATATTCCAACTAAAAGCCACATAATATAAGCATTATGCCTTCAATGTGTTATCTCTAAGGGTGTAACACTACACGTATTGGTGCTGAACTTCGCGCAATTTGTGTGTGTTTACATTCACACTACATGTGCAGCTACATGGAGGCTCAGCTCTTTAATATTCACGAGGAAACTCATCCATGATTGGGGCAGTGTTTCCCGCAGTGCTTTATAGTTTGGGTGGCCGCCTTGACAACAATTGCCCCCCGTCTTAACCCGTCCTTCAAACCATGTGAATCCTCTCAAAACTATGGTCACTGAGCCCCGGCCCTCACTTTTGCCGGCTCCACGACCTCTGTCCCTAGTGAAAGGGTATTTTCAATCGCTGGGACATGGAAACTGCAGCACATCTGCACTTACTGCAGACAATGTGGACAATTATTATTTTTTGGCCAAAAATATGAAGATTGAGTAAAAGTTCATGCTGGAACTGTTAGTGCTGCACTTTACTTTTTGAAAAGTTTCATACATTTGTTTCTTATTTGAGAATATTTGATTTAACTTAGTATTACCAAGCAGGACTTTGCATTTATTTAAATTTTCCGTCTGAATAATGTTAAAACAAATTGTTGGTTTAATAAACACACAAATAAACAACAAGCAATTAGTTTTGCATTTGCAAATGAACCGAACCGTGACCTCAAAACTGAGCTACGTACTGAAATGTGATTTTTGTGTACTGTTACACCCTTAGTTATCTTATAATTAAAATCACAATGAGCTGATCAGATCTAATCCAAGCCTTAACTAGGAAACTAAACCAGGTCTAAAATGAGACTACACCATTGATTACAACATTACTATATTTAATTTTTACTTGTACATATATATTTATATAATTATTATTTGACACCAGTCTCTTGCTAGTTTTGATACTTATTTAGAAAGTATTATTATCATTTACATTTTTGCTCTTTTGTTATTATATTATATTGTGATGTGTGAGCTACTGCATCCAAATAATTTCCCTTGTGAATAATTACAGTTCGTCTTAACTCTTTTCCCCATGAAGACTACAATTGACGACCCTCCCTTGTTTTCTTAATGACGTCTTTTGACACCTCCACTGTATCACTAAAGACATGATTTGACGACCATTACAAATGGCTCGGTTTTTCACATGTAATCAGAGGCTGTGATAGATGGGGGCCACTACAAGCCATACATACTAATATATGTACGGGTTGTTCCAAGTAGGCATCCAAAGGGGAAAGAGTTAAGTCTAAGTCTAAGATAGCGTAGTTCTAATGAATTCTTAAGCCAGCAAAGGATAAAAAACATGATCGTTTTGTCTCTAAATACCCTCATATGTACGCACACCACTGTCTGACAAACACTGAGCTAAATGTTGTATTGGTCTGCTGTGTGTAGCTTTACTTTGGCATCTTGGGGTTGCTCCACTCCACTCCCTGTGCTCCAGACACTCTCTGTGAGCAGAGCCCAGCAGCTGCAGTCCACTCTGACAGGTGTAGCTCACTCTGTCTCCAACCAGGAACTGCCCCGAAAAACGCTCACTCTGGGCCCCTGGTGGTGTCCCAGGGTTATCGCAGTCATCACCTGATTCTAACAAAATTAAATTATAAATTAACCACAGTGTAAGAAAGTATATAATATAATTCCAATAATAGTAAAAATTGTGTCCCTACTATTATTTATATTTCAAAAACAGCACCCAAAAATATACATACTTTGTAAAATATTTGTCTAATCTATCATTTATTTAAGCAGGTTAGTGCCACTAAGAGTATATTTAAGATTTATTTAAAGACATATTTGGCTGACATATCACATATTTTTTTTATTCTAAATTGATTAATTAATTAATTTAATTAATTAACATTAATTTAATTAATAAATGAATTATTTAACCTGTGTTTCTTGAAATCTAAACATGTCAGACCTGATAAAAAACTACGATAAGGGCGTTACCATAGTTGTGACACACAGGGGTAGTCCCAGTCCACTCCCCACTGATGGTGCAGTTTCTGTGGGCTGAGCCGTGCAGTGTGAAGCCCACCACACATGAGAAACTCTGGACCTCCCCCACCCTCAGCCACTGCGTTCTGGGCCAGATGTCACCATTGTCCAGCTGCAACTGAGCTGGACACATCACATCTACAAAGAAATATGAAAATCATTTTCACTGTCGATTTCTGTGAAAAGAGCGTTTGTTTTTCCTGTATCTATGGAGACCGTGCAAGAGGCTGACTAAGGAACTAGCTATAGACGTTTGAGATGCTACAGGCTTTTTATACTATATGTGGCAGAAAACCTTTCAGAGGACATGCTTTGAGGAAATGGCCCATTTCATCACTAAACGAAACCACAGAGCAGAGTGAGAGTGGGGGTTGTCCATCTATTTATGTAACATTTAACTTTCCATGGAAAGGTATTAAACTTATCTTTTTGGAGACAAGCAGGTGATGCTACCTGGACAAGTTACTGGTTACATCTGTGGAGAGGCATTAAAGAGGGTATTTTGGAGCATTAAAAATGTACAGCTGAATAAATTCAAGAGAAAATATTTGTATGCCATACTGAGAAACATTCCAGGCATAGTTATAACATCTAATGGAGATGAGCAGGAATCACATAAATGTACGCATGCATCTTTAATTTAAAAGGATAATAGGACTGGAGCCTGTATATATTAAAGTACTACAATTAAGTGGGTTACTGTGGACAGTGACAAGTTAACACAGGAAGACTATGCTCCTCATTGTATGAAATGAAGCCGGGCAATTGACAAACGAAGTACACAGATATCACGCAGATGATGTGTGTGATAAGTGTATATACACGACCTTTACATGTAGCCAGTGTGACTGGTCGGCCATTGGCGAGTCTCATGGTGGTCCATTGTCCATTGGGTCTGCAGGTTCTGGAGCTCACAGGGAACGGGTACTGTCCAGGTCTGCAGTGATAGGTCAGAACACTGCCCTCCAGCCCCCCCTGTGGAGGAGGAGGTCATTGCAACACACTTACAACAATTTCACTTTCTATTCACATAAAACAGGAGAACTAGCTTATTTTACAGCACGGTGACTTTAAAATGGTTACTTTATTCTTGAACTTAATAATCACCTCTGGATATAAGCAAATATGACAACATTTTAAGGGTGAACTGTCTGTAACTGTACTAGTGGAAGGTCTGCTGCTCTTTTTATGCTCAAAATACCTTGAAAATAATAGCTTCTCCACAGATCTGCCCTGTAGCCTGACCTGATTGCCTCCATGGAGTTTTCATGACCAAGTATAAATTGGAAAATATCAATAACATGTTCCACTACAAAAGTAGTGTGCCTTTAAAGGTCCTCTATTACGCAAAATTGACTCTTTAAGCCATGTTTTAATGTTGTTGTATCCTCAAAAACAAACCTGGAGTGGTGTTTTGTTTCATTCACACATGTTTGAGTAGAACTTTATTATTACTCTGTCTACATCTCCAAACTCAAAATGCTCTGTTCCACCTTGTGATGTCATGAAGCATTTAGTTTTCAAGTTAACAGTTACTTTTACCTTTTGTTTAGTAGAAATTTGCAATTCCAGAGCTGAAATTATCTAAATATTCTAGTGAATATGTGTGGAGTTTAAAAACGCAGTGGACTATTTGACATCACAAGTGGAAGTGGAGTGTTTTCTGTTTGAGATTTATGTGTTAAATGAAACAAAAGAATGAAACAAAACACAACTCCAGGTGTGTTTGTAATGAGGAAACAACAGATCAGAGATTAGCGCAACACAGGCCCTTTAAATACAAGTTTTTCAAAATTTGGTTTGAGTCCCACCTTTGAATATGTGACATGTCCACCATTTATTCTGGCAGAGGTTGAGCAGTTTCGAGGTTGTGGATCACTGTAGACTAAAGCAAAATAAATAAAAAATCAAAACACAAACTATAACAGTTGCATTTTCATTTGAGCAAAGTTGAAATCATACCGTTCTGGACTGATACCAGCGCAATCCACAGACTTAACTTGACCAACATGATTCAAAGAGCTGTTCCAAAGTCTCCAACTGCATCTGGTTTATTTGATGAGTGGTTACAAATTAAAATAGAGGCATGGAAATAGGAAGTACAAGCGTATTAAGCAATTTTGCAGAGAAAAGCCCACCCACTTCCATTAAAAAAAGAAGAAAACAACTGATCTAGCTCAAGAGTCATGCAATGAATAAAAGGTCCTATATGAAACAAAAATGACTCTTGTGAGCTTTTAGTCATGTTAGAATTTTGTTACTGCCTCAAAAACAGACCTGGAGTTGTGTTTTGTTTCTTTCACGTTTGAGTAACACTTTATTACTAGTCTATTAGTTTATTATTAGCAAAATGTACAGTTTGTGTCCATTGCCCTTCTAAGATTATTCATTAGCAGATAACAGCGATTTCCCTTTGCTTGTTGGTGATGAGATATTTGTGAGGTAATGTCCAGACATTTTTCCATGGAATATTGTCAGTAGAGACTAGGAGATGCGTTTGGGAGATGCACTTATTGCTGTTTTTCTGCAGCGACTCATTATAAGGCAAGTTTAACTGAAGATGAAGCCAAGTAAGTTCTTTTTGAAAAGTTTTTCAAAGTTTGGTGCGCAGCGTCTTCACTCACACCTGCTCAAGCTGACATCTTCGGGTGCTGGTCCTGTCCTGCCGCTTCCCCAGTTTAGGCTCCTGGCTCCACTAGTGACATCACTCTGTTGCAGCCAATGAAATACAGTCCAAATAAAATAATATGGTAAATACTGGTAGGGACTATTTTGTCTTCCCCAAATATTGGTTGTGACATGTCCCCAACGTCCCTACACGCTTACGCCCTTGTATAAATGTAATATAATCTAAATTACTAGACCAGTATTTGTGTGGTGAATGTGTGATTATGGAGTACACACGGACCCTGCATGTTTTCAAGGTACTTCTGACTTCTGACATCACACTAGGAAATTCATAACTGTTACCTAGCAAAACTCCTCTAATGTAATAATTATCTGGCAAATAAAAATATAAGAAAACAACTGTATTTTGTTGAAATCATGTTTAAAGTATCAGAAAAAAATTGTCTAAAATGTGTTTCATTTTTGGATAGAATTCTCTCTTCCTGTAATTTTCAACATATTTTTCAAATTTTCTCTCCAAACTGGTTCTTGATTTGGATAAAACTATCAATTTATATTTATAATAATTATAAGAGTTACAATCCCAAAATATATCATGCGCACTCCTTTTACTTCATTACATTTGAGAGCAGGTATTTGTACTCTCTACTACACTACATTTTTGAACTGGACTGAAAAGTATTTTTTTTATGATTGTTTGAGACCTGCTGAAATGTCTGAGGGTTTATATTTTTTTAACATATTTTTCAACACATTTTGAGCAAACAAAATATACAAATAAAAACAGCTAGGAAAAAATGTTTAAATCAAAACCACTTCATTTGAAGCTTTATTAGATCTCAAACTCTGCATGAAACACTTTTACTTTTTACTCTTTAAGTACATTCTTAAACAGGTACTTTAATACTTTCACTTAGACACCGTAGATTTTCTCATGTGATACTTTTACTTGAGTATTTTTTTGCTCTGAGATCTGTATTTTTACTTAAGTAACAATAGTGAGTACTTAAAGTTACTGGAGTTCTTCCCTCAAACAGAAGACACTCCACCTTCCACTGTGCACCTTTAATGCCATATTGTGGAACATTTCAGATGAAACACTAACCATTTAGACTTGAATTTGTAAAGTGCTAACATGTGAAGTAAACTTTTTGGAGCTTAGCCGATCACTGAGAGGATTACAGAGATTTACCAGCACCACCATTTCTCCACATTTCTCCACGCACTGGTTCAGTCCACTCAGCTGACTCGGATTTGGTCAAATGGCTCTTTTTGTCTTACGCTAAACATAACCGAGCTTCACATGTTCTCGTCTTTATGGGTAAAATGGTGAAAAGATACCAAAAAACATCTGCTTTCAGGGACAATATATTTTCCATTGACGTAAATGGGTCGTAATTCCACTATGCACTAACAATGCATTTACAGCTGTGGATTACTTTGCTGATGGGCCTGCCTGGAGAGTACTTACTGACTTTTGGATTCAACTGGATTTTATGACTAAATATTTGAGATGTCGGACCTTAGTGAAGTAGCAGTATATGCAGATTCTTCAGATATCTATAAGGTAAGAGCTCAATGTCCGTTAGTTTAACTGAACACTTTAACTTTTTTAACTACTAGTACTACAGCCCATGATTTATGATGATAACAAAAGGGAAATTGTAAAGTAAAAAGCTTAAACTACTGTAGAGATAAGTGTGGGTGCAAGGTGGAAGTTTATAAAAATCTCTTACAACTGTAACAAATAGTTAAAGGTCTTATATTACATAAAATCGAGTCTTGTGAGCTTTAAGTCATGTTATAATGTTGTTACCTCCTCAAAAACATACCCAGAATTGTTTTTGTGAACAGCTGTCTTTCACATTTAATTCAGAAGAGATTGTCAATTCCAGGTCTGAAATTATCAAGATGATTCTAGTGAAGGTGTGTGTTTGTGATGAGGAAACAACATTATAACATAGATCTGAAAATAGTGTAAGATGGGCCCTTTAAATGTAATGTATTTTATATCAAGGTATACAGAGAATTATTGTGAAGAAGGAAAATAAAAGTAACTGTGTTTAATAATAAAGGGTTCCTCAAAGATGTGTGAATGAACACACACAACTCCAGGTCTGTTTTAGATGAGGCAACAGCATTAAAACATTACTTAAAGCTCACATGAATCAAGTTTGTGTAATATAGGAGCTTTAATTGATTTATATTTTACTGACTGTTTGTGGTCGTTGTTTGTTTTGAATTGTGCTCCTCAGAATGTATTTTGTAACCCGGCCTTTGAGCTGGAGGGAGAGAGAGAGGAGAGAGTGGAGGGTTTCAGGACCACCTCATCCACCCCCGAGCCCATTAAACCACCAACACCCAGTGAGTCCAAACACAACATGTACATACATAGGCCTGTCACAATAATTACTAGGGGTGTAACGATATCCAAATCTCACGATACGATATCGTCACGGTATGAACCTCACAGTACGATATTTATTGCAATATCGTTGGAAAGTTCACAATATGGTGGGGAGGCTCACAATTAGGAATGTAACAATATCCAAATCTCTTAAGATATATTATACGCAATATTTTCACAATATACATCTCACGATACGATATTTATTGTGATATTTTTTGGAGGCTAACAAAACTGTTAATATGCTACTTTTTCTTCTTAAAATGCCTTGACAAGACTTAATCCAAAGAACTAAGACTTAAAAGTGCTTAGAACTGTTATTTCTTCATGTCGTCTACACTGAAATGGAGCAACGGATCATGGTCTATGTAGTTTTTTTTTAGGTATTGCTGCACCATAACTTTAAGCTAAATTTAAGCAAACAGACTTGTAATTCGATATATTGTGATTGTGTGAACTTTGACGATACGATATCATGATATTTAGGTATTTTATGATATTTTATTGTTACATCCCTAATAATTACTGTATCACCTGATCGTTCAATATATTTTGGGGTCAGTATTTATCTTCTGTACATTTTCTTTGCACTACTGGGAGGTTTTTGGTAATTTTTTTGGCTATGTGATCAGATTTAAGCTGTAAAAGGTTAAAATCACTTCCATGACTCATTATAGATATGATAACTGCTAGCCTCGTGAGCTTTATTTGACTGGAGCTGAACGGTTATGTCACTCTCCCTCAGTCCACTTCTTTATACAGTTTATGGTCTAAACACAGGAAGAAACACAAACGTTAAAGGTGCACTTTGTAGCTTTTTATATGAAGGATCCACAGATAAATTTAATGACATACTGTGGAACATTACGGGCAACGCAGTAACATCTCCGTGGATACAGGGGTGACAGACTCTCCATCTAAAAATGACAAAGAGCGTCTTTTTGTCATGTTTGTACATTTACAGGCAAAACATCAAGTGCCTATGACAAGTAGGACTCTTCATTTTAGTTAAGAACATTATATTTAAGATTTTACAAAAACAATTTACACATTTCTCAATTTGGCAATTTTTTGGGTTTAAAATTTTACTTCATGGTTGGAAAACATGACATCACGCTGTACACTGGGCCAAAACTTCTTTAATGTACACAGAAATTAATATTTGACGAATGAAAATACTTTTACCTCCATACTTCCTGTAATTTTCAACATATTTTTAAACTTTTCTTTTCAAATAGCTTCTTGATTGTTGTGAAACTGTAATTTATATTTGCTCCAAGTATTATCCCAGCAAATTAAGTCAAAATCTGAGAATCATCAGAACTTGTTGTACACAAATTCAACTTCAGTTATGCTGTGATTTAAGAGGCCAGTACAAGTGACCCCTGAACTGAAATTTGACAAGTATTTCTCAGTTCCCTTTTCTAATAAGCACTGAAAATATTGTACTACGAAAAGACTAAAGATGCGATTAGCAAACTTTGGAATTTTTGAAGTACTCCAATTTTCTCAATATCCTGTCTTACTTTGCATAGTTTCGAACTGTACAAGCATGTGCTGAAATGTAATTCTTGTATTCGTTTGTCAGTTCATATCTCAGTCTTTTTGTTTATTCTTCTGGACAACTTGAAATTAAAATGTGAGGTTTGAAAAGAATCCTATAATTTTGAAAAATAAATTACACATCTAATCGCTAGGAGCGTGCAGAAATATAATGCCAAGAATATTTTTAGGTATATCTTAATAAATGATTTTGTTACAGTGCTAGTTGTGTTGCTTGTTCAGAGGAAGGAAACTCATTTATGAAACACATTTGACATTTTCACTCTTTTGATGATTAAAATAGACGTTTTTCATATGAACTTGCACAAGAAGTCATTTAACAAAGACTTTTAGTATCACAGACATGATTTTGCCATTATTTTTTATTAAACTGTATTGAATCAATTTGAAATATGTCATATCATATTGAAAGTGCATTGTATCGAGGTATGTATCGTATCATGGTCTATGTATCGAGGTATGTATCGTATCGGCAACTTCTTAGTGATACCCAGACCTACTGATCGCCATGGCAATGCCTGTCCCAAAAATCACAGTTTTGTAGCTCTAGTTCCTTCACTTTTCTTTGACTTTATCTTATATTGTACAAATTGTGAGCTCACCAGTTAAAACTAGTGTTGCTAAAACCAGATACTAATCGAAAGTAATACTAGTATCAAAACTAGATACTCATTTGAGCAGGTATCGATACTAAAAAAGGCCCTTTCACAGGACAGAAACAAAACTTTTCTGAATAGCTTTAGAATGATCTTGAGCTGTAGCAGAACAAGTATAAGAGCACATAGACTAGTACATCGTTCCCAAAGCCTGGGTCACAACCATCAGGTGGGTCACAAGAGATTTTTTTTCGGGTCGCCTTGTCACGATCTGCATTTAAGTTTGTAAGATACAGTTCTGACACTAATCTGCTACTGCGCTCTCCTCATGCACCCGGACTGGAACATGCTAGAAAAACGCAGCCAGGCCCTCATTAGAAATGTTAAGACATGCTTTGTATAATTTCTAATCTTTTTGTAATTATTTTATTGACTAGTTTGTTCCAATATTGCTGGTTCAATTGAATGTTGAAAAGAAAAACAAATGTCCAAATAGGCAACGTATGGATCCTTTTATTGCCGCTTCAATTACTGTTTTTCACTGTGTAAAACTTGAGTAATAATAATTGTTCAGAGAGACGATCACTCAGTCAGCAAAAAAAGATCCTCATTAATGTTCAATAAAGCTCAAATACACCTTTATTTTATGATTTATGAATAATGTCTATTGACTTGGGTCGGGAAGGTTTGTGCCTTTTAAAATATAGGTCTCCAGAAAAAAAGTTTGGGAAACTCTAGACTATTATACACCCATGAAACACTAGCGAACCTACCTGGACCAGTGAGGGGTTACACACATATAAGAACACATGGGAATAGAAAAGAAAGTGCTATGATTTAATGTTGAAAATCACATTCTACTGTCTAAAGAAAGAATATTTTTTTATTATCACCTTTTCGTAACTGGTGTTGAGTATTGAGTCTATTCCTTAGTATCGAAATCGAGAATTAAATTTTAGTGTCGTGACAACACTTCTTGATACTCAAATATAAACTATTGAAAAACAACATGCAAGAAATGACATATCCATAGAAACATAGAAACGCCTAACCAAAAAGTTACACAATGCACCTTTAAGTTGATTGGCCAGTAGTGGTGAAATCTGTAAGCATTCACCATCCAACCAGTCGATAACCAGTTTGAATTTCACCTAAAAGCATTGTGCAGTATGGTGTATTTTTACGATCTAAAAATATTCTCTGCTTTCCGGTTGAGGTCCTCTTTGGGGCCTGTTTGGGGCTTGTGTGAAGAGGCTGCAGTGCCTGGGCTGTGGCTGGGGGGCGCTGTTGCTCACTGCTGCTGCTCTGCTTCTCCTGGCTGTCCTGGGACTGACTCTGGCTCTGATACTGACACGTGAGTCCAAATATAATGTTCAGATGAATTTAGCTTTAGTAACATTATAGTGGTAATTTTTCCTGTTTTCTTTCTTCCTAAAGTCAAGATTTTAGAAGTTAGAGACAGACGGCAAATGAGTAGAATCTCCTGCTAAATGCTGTTAATATCTTTGTGATTGTTGAGTCTAAATGTATATAGTATGTTGCATTGGAATAAAAGGTCCTATATTACGTAAAATGTTTTTAGTGGTAGAGGAAACCTTGGAGAAGATGCAAACTCCACACACAAAGGCCCTGCACCACCCCAGTATCAAATCCAGGACCTTTTTTCTGTTTTGTCACTGTGTTGCTGTGGATATGTCATTGCTCTGCCTGGAATGTTCCACAGTATGACATTAAACAGCTCTACTTTACATTTATTCAATTACAGGTGGTTTTATAGCTCAAAACAGGCATTCTGACTGTGAGTGGGGTTGCCTCTTCACAGATCTGACCTGTAACTTGGTCTGGTTTGGTTTCCATGAAGATAGAACATTTTAATACCATACTGTGAAACATTCCAGTCAAAAAAAAAACAAAACCAAAAACAAAAAAAACATTTCCATGGAGCAAAGCATTTGATGGACCCACCACCAGAAAAGTTACACAATGTATCTTTAAGCCATGTTTAATGTTACCTCCTCAAAAACATACCAGATATTGTGTTTTGTTTCATTCACATGTTTAAATAACCCTTTACTTTTAGTCTGTCTACATCTCCAAAGCTCAAAATGCTCTGTTCAAAGTTGTGATGTCATGAAGTACTTTTCAATTTAACAGCTCTTTTGTACAGAAGAGATTGGCAATGCCAGGGCTGAAATTTACTCAATTACAGGTGGTTTTACAGTGTGCGCAAATGCCCTCTGGGAGACGATACCTCACCCCACAACAAAAGACCAACCGTTACCCTAAATCTTTTTTTCCTTTTGCCATAAAACTTTTAAATGGGAAGAAAATTTGCTATTGTGTCCCTGGTGCACTGAGGTTTGAATGTATGGCGTGTGTTGTATGTATTTGATTTGATTTTTTATTTTATTTATTTATGGATTACACACAACCAGAGATGGGCGAACTGAATTGCTCTTTGGGATTAATAAAGTTGTTTATTGTTTGATTGAAATCATCCAAATGATTCTAGTGAAGTGAAGAACTTCTTGTATTTCTATTAGAGCCCGACCGATATATCGGTTGGCCGATATTATCGGCTGATATGGGCAACTTTAGGCATATCGGCTATCGGCCGATATGCTTGCTGATAGGGGCCGATATTTCACGTGGGCATGTTATACCTCGTTATAAAGCTTAGACTCTCTACATTCTGTTCATTTAATCCAATTTACAGACAGATAAATGTCCTAATATGTGGCTCCACATCAGTATTTATCTACGGAGTCATTTGTCTGTGTGTGTCCGTACTGTCCCTGAACACACCACAGAGTCGCGTCACTCACGTGCTATTGTTTACATCCGCAGACACAGATCCAAACACTGAGATTATATTCTTTTTACGGACAATCGGTTTGAGTCTGGATTAAAAGGACTTTTATTAGTGCAGATTTGTGATGTGAGGAGGAGGCTGTATGAGCGGTGAGTGTTGGAAATATGTCGACTCTGAAGCTAGTTTTTGTCATTTGTTATGGATTAGCTGCTGTAGCTCCCGCACATAAACAGGCTGTTTTCTTTTGGCCTGTTGTAAAGTGACTATATTGGCCGTATATTTGCTACTGGACCTGCACTGATATGTAAATAAGCTGTGAATAGACGTGTGAATTATGACATTTGCGCATATAATTAATTACCGTGGCGCGCACGTATTTACGGCTAAAGGCTAATAGCCCTAATTTCTTTACTAGTTATGGGTCGGTCGCAAACGAAATGACTCTTAGAACCGGCTCTTTAAAGGGAACGACGGGAGCCTGATCCTTATTGGGAGCCGTGTTTTCTCTTTCTCTCACTTTTTTTCTCTTCACGCCGCGTGCAGATTCGTGGTTTGACAGCGGCAGCGGCTAAAAACGAAACTAGGATTAAAAAAAATAAAAATAAAAAAACAAGCATATTTGACTGTAGTTTAGCATAAAATAAATAAGTCCCGGTTTAGTCCTTTTTCAGTCCTGGTTTAGACCTGGTTCAGTCCTGATTCAGTCCAGCTTTAGACGTGCTTTAGACCTGCTTGCAACAAAACAATCTGAAGAGCCACTTGGGAGCCAAAAGAACCAGCAGCTTTTAGTGAGCCGAGCCAAAAGAGCCAGTTCTCTAAAAAGAACTGGAATACCCATCACTAGTGTCTAGAATGTGATGCAAAAATGCCATTAAGCCAACCTACTGTCTGTAAATATGATGTAAAGAGGCAGAATAACAATAAATGTTGCCTAAATAAACCCAATTTAAAATCCACCAGAGCCAAACCTAAGTTTTTTAAACAATTCAACATTTACAGTGAATTTTTACATCACTAAATATATCGGTGATTATATCGGCTATTGGCAGCTCCAACTTCTATTATATTGGTTTCATATCGGCCACAGCAAAATCCATATCGGTCGGGCTCTAATTTCTATGTGACATCACAAGATGGAATAGCTCTAAGAAAGATATATATATCTTAAAAATAAGCAAAAATATGCAGGGTTTGTGTGTTAAACATGTGTGAATGAAACAAAACATAACTCCAGGTTTGTTTGTGATGAGGAAATAACATTATAACAAATCAGAAAATAGTGTAATGTGGCTCCTTTAAGCATGTGATATTTACCACTGTTCATCTGGTCTTGTAGAGATCAGAGATGAGGTCCTGGAGCAGATGACCACAGTCTCCTCAGAAGTCCTCGTCTCCACAGCGACCACGCCTCACACGTCAGTGCCCGCCCCCTCTCACAGCAGCCAATCAGAAACCAGCACCACCGCCCCTCCATCCACCCGGACCTCCACACCTCAGACCAGTAAGAGATCTGTCGCAACAAAACTAGTCTATTACACAGTGATAAAGTAAAAGGTGTACTGTTAAACATACAATAACAAACGCAAATAGTACACATGGAGGCACTAAATAAGAAGCACAGAATAGAGACACAATATAACTATGAAGACCATACACGGCACGACACACGAAAAATAGCATTAGCGTCTAAGCTAAGCTAACTCCCTTATAAACTTAACTATACAGGTATTACAGGAACATGAACAACACATCCTGACATGAGTACAACTATAACAAAGGACTTATAAAACGTTCATACAGCCCCAAATGCCATAAACTTATTTTGGTTAATAACGCACAACTTGAGCTGACGGTACATGTCTGCACACCAGAGCCTCGTGAAGTAATGAAGACAGCTGTGCCCTGTACTCTGAACTAAAGCATGCATTAACTCAAAGCACCTCTAGTGGGCGCTCACTACAAACCTACTGCCTTTCCAACAAACTGACTAACATTAATTAACAGAAAACACTCTGTCGCACCCTGTGATAATACAGGAAGTGCTCCACTGTGTTTTTAAACTTTATACACCTTCACTTGAATTATTTGGATAATTTTAGCCCTGAAATTGATTATCACTAAACAAGCACAATCAGAGATAGCAACGAGGGTCAACAGTGGGGTCAGTTCATCACCACAGAAGCAGCTTATGAGGAGCCCAACCCATATTACATTATCGTTATATCCACAATGAAATGTGTGTATCTGTACAGGCCCATGAACATTTGTGTGATATTGGTCACACATGAGAATGTCTGTGTTTACTAGTGTGGAACCAAAATGTTATTTTTCATGAGTTGTGTATATGTTAGTTCTGTGACTGTAGATCAGTGTGTTGTGTATCACCAGAAAAAGAAAAAAATGGAAATTATTTTTGTTCCAATTAGAATTTTAACGGCATACACTGAAAGAGAAAGGAACTGTTATAATTAGTGATTATCTCGAAAACTATTCATATTTGACTAAACAAAAGCATTGAATTATAAACAGATAATTTTTCTGAGATTTTGAGACCACTCCCAATGCTCTAGCTCGATCCTTTGTAGAGTTATGACCAAATTATGTTATTATGTTAATTATGTTAAAAATTATGACCAGTTATGACCAAAAACGCATATTTCACCTTGGTTACCTTGACCTTCAAGTGATCTCGCAGATGGCTCAGAAATTGCCAATCCTTTATAATGGCGTGAAATTTCAATTGACGTGTGTGACCTCAAATGACCTTGGATCGTCACCAAACTTTTTTTGCAGCATCGGGCACGGGGGCTTGACTCATGTACCAAATTTGGTGACAATCGGTCCATAAATGGCAGAATTATCGCAGGTGGACAGACACACAGAGTGAATACAAAACCTGGTCAACCCTTCAGGGACCAGGTAACAAAAAAGGTAAAAGGAGGTGCTAACACAAAAACTACCACTTCATGACATCACAAGGCGGAACAGAGCATTTTGAGGTTTGATGATGTAATAATAATAAATGATTACTCAAACATGTGTGAATGAAACAAAACACAATTCCAGGTCTGTTTTTTGAGGAGGTAACAACATTCTAACATGGCTTGATGCTCACAAGAGTCAATTTTGCATAACATATGAACTTAAAAGATGTCTCAAAGCGTCAGATGTATCTTATAAATCCTAAAAATTGAACTTCACCAATAACAGCCATTACTTGATATGATTTATTCCACTCTTAACAGGTTGTGGAGGCGTCCTGACCGATGCAGAGGGCAGTTTCAGTTCCCCTAACCACCCCGGCTCCTACCCGCCTGATGCCCTGTGTGTGTGGGTGATCAGTGTGCCCGCTCCGGCCCTGGTTCAGCTCCATGTGTCTGTGATGTCTGTGGAGGGACCATCCCCCTGCCTCTTTGACTGGCTCCAGGTGCAAGAGCAGAGCCAGCACACGTCCTTTGTGACCAGGTATATTCAGACATATGTGGCATTAAATGGCTCATATGATGCTATTTTCTGATCTATAATGTTGTTTCGTCATCACAAATATACCCAGAGTTGTGTTTTCTTTGATTCACACATGTTTAACACACAAATCCTGCATATTTAGGCTGAGTTTTTAAAACTTTTACGTTATGATGTACATACACCTTTACTAGAGTCATTTGGATAATTTCAGAATCTCTTCTGAACTAAAGACAAAATGTACCCTATAGCTGTTAACTTGAAAACTACTACTTCATGACATCACAATGTGGAACAGAGCATTTTGAGCTTTTGAGATATAGAAAGGATTACTCAAAAATGTGTGAATATAACAAAACACAACTCCAGGTATGTTTTTGATCAAGTTACCTCATTAAAATATGACTTAAAACTCTCAAGAGTCAATTTTGCCTTAATTTACTTTAATTTGGTGGGCTAATACTTGTTGGGGATATATAAATTATAGTTTTACACCAATTAAGAAGCAATATGTGAAGTTTTATGGCTTTTTTTTTTTGAAGACATCACACTGAATTTGGGCACCATTTACACAAGAAACATATTTTAAACATAATTTCAACAAAATAAAGGTGATATTTAGATAGATTTATATTTATATATATATATATAACCTAAAAAATGGCCAAACTTTTTTTCAAAATCTTAAAAGTGCATTGTGTAGCTTTTCTGGTGGAGAGTCTGTCACGTTTTCTTGGAGATGTTATTGCTTCTGATATGTTTCCCAGTATGTCATTAAAACTTTCTGTCTTCAAGAGACCAAACCAGATCAAGTTACAGGTCAGATCTGTGGATAGGTGACCTTGCTCACAGTCAGAATGTCTGTTTTTCTAGGTATTTTTGAGCTATAAAACCACCTGTAACTGAATACATGTAAGGGATCTGATTAACATCTTATTGTGGAAAATTCTAAGAAGAGCAATGACATATTCATAGAAACAAGAAGGTGACCAGCCAAAAAGTTACATAGTGCACCTTTAAAAATATAATGTGCCTACTTGTACATCTACAAAGGGAGTAAGTAAACATGTATAGGCTATAATTGTCAAGGCCTACTCTAAACTCCAAGTAATGAAACTAAAATATCAGTTTGTTCATTTGCAGTACCTCTGGGTGGCACCATTTCTCCGTTTGTCGTCATCTTTGCCACAGAAGTTTGAAATTAAAACGTGCTGATTGCAAATAATGGTCACAAAGATAGGCCTATACTCTCACAGCAACTGAAATGGCTGCTTTCTGCATTGTACTTATTAAATACACGATTCTCATTTTGTATAAAAGGTCATAGAAGGGTTTATGCAGCTGAGACCTCACATTCCTTTATGGATTAATGAGGTAAAGTCCAAACTGAGGAATTATCCAGGAATTAAACCTGGATAATTCCTGTAACACTGTAAAATGTTTATCTGTTACACCCAAGAGCGGCTTTTAGAACTATATTCCACTTTATCCTGTCTAAGGTGTGGATTTATTTATTAATATCATTCTGCATTACACAAAATTGACTCTTGTGAGCTTTAAGACATGTTATAATGCTGTTGCCTCCTCAAAAACATATCAGGATTTGTGTTTTGTTTCATTCACAGATATCTGAGTAATCTCCAGAGCTCAAAATGCTCTATTCCACCTTGTGATGTCACGAAACAGTACACAGTTTTCATGTTAACAGCTACCTTTCACCTTTAGTTCAGTGTAGATAGCCAATTCTAAAGCTGAAATCATCCAAATGATTCTAGTGAAGGTGTACAGGGTTTAAAAACATAGTGGAGCATTCCTGGAGCATTACTGCGTGTAGTATTTTATAACTATATCAGGGGCAAATTATATATATGTGAATTAAAACACTTCAGGTTCTGTTTTTCTTTTTCTTTTATCCAGGTTTTGTGGAAACGTGGCTCCTCCCACAGTGAACACCAACAGCAGCACGGTGTGGGTGACGTTCCACTCAGACAGCAGCATCTCAGGCTCTGGCTTCAGTGCTCAGTACAGGGCCGTTTTACCTGGACACCGTCAGTAATGTTATGTTTATTTATATTTTTATAATAATCGTTAAAGGGCCCATATTATGCTATTTTCTGATCTATGTTCTAATGTTGTTTCCTCATCACAAACAGACCTGGAGTTTTGTTTGTTTCATTCCTACATGTTTAACGCACAAATCTTGTATATTTAGGCTGTTTTCTTCTCTCAAACAGAAAACACTATTCCACTTTGTGATGTCATGTGGTAATAAAGGAAGTGCTCCACTGTGTTTTTAAACCTCACACACTTTTACTACAAGCATTTGGATAATTTCAGCTCTGGAATTGCCAATCTCTACTGAACTAAAGGTAAAAGGAGCTGTTAACTTCATGACATCACAAGGTGGGACAGAGCATTTTGAGCTTTGGAGATATAGAGAGACTAATAATAAAGAGTTATTCAAACATGTGTGAATGAAACAAAACACAACTCCAAGTTTGTTGAATATATGTTTTTGAAGACGTAATAAAATTATAGCATGTCTTAAAGCTCATAAGAGTCAGTTTTGAGTAATATAGAACGTTTTTTTTTTTCTTTTCTTTTCTTTATTATTTATTTGAACAAGGTAAAACAAAATCAACAACACTAACAAAAAACAAAACAAAAACAAGTATATGTAAATGTACATGTTTGGGATCCGGTGCTCAAAAGGAGTAGGATGAAGTTTAAAAAAAAAAAAAAAAAACTTAACATGTTCTACCCCAACTGTTTTACATAAACAAATGGTTGACACATTTTTTTTTCTTCTTTTTTTTTTCTTTTTTAAACAACAATGAGAATGTCAAATTTGAGGATTTTTGTGTTCGTTATGGTCATACAAACCAATAATAGTGATGAAGAAGACACTTAAGTGTATCGTTTATGAACATACAAAGTAAGCAGTAAGAAGAAACCTTTAAGTATAGTATAAATGCATGGTTATTCATAAGCTTTTTTAACAACTATAATAAATTAGATGTATTACGATTAATGTAATAAGTAGCAAAAGTAAGGCCTAATTAGATAAGTGTATATGTACAAGTCAAAATAAAATATAGAAATATATATGAATGTAAATATAGGTCAGCTTACATGCGTTTCACAGTTTACATTGGATTTTGTACCTGTGTTTTGAACAGAGAGCTGCTCCAGAGATGAGTTCCTGTGCGATAGGGGACGCTGTCTTCTCCCTGTGTCTGTGTGCGACGGTCATCCTCACTGTGACGACCAAACCGATGAAGAAAACTGCAGCCACAAACACAACGGTACATGGGAGATTTGTTATGAGTTATATAGTCCACATTAAGCCTTGATTATGTCTTATAGGAACAGAAGTATATTGCAGCGCCATCTGCTGGGGACTTTTTCGTAGCATTTCAGCTTATATTATACCCCACACACAGAGAGGCAAACTTGAAAGAACTTATGCTACCACATTAACACAGAAAGAAAGCTATATATTTTTAAAGGTCCTATATTATGAAAAATTGACTCTCATTAAAAACAGACCTGGAGTTGAGTTTTGTTTCATTCACACATTTGAGTAACTCTTTATTTTAGTCTGTCTACATCTCCAAAGCTCAAAATGCTCTGTTCCACCTTGTGATGTCATGAAATTACCACTTCATGACATCACAAGTTTCAAGTTTTGTTCTGTTTGAGAGAAGAACTCAGCCTAAATCAGCAGGTTTTGTGTGTTAAACATGTGTGAACAAAATACAACTCCAGGTCTGTTTATGATGAGGAAATTACATTATAACAGATCAGAAATGTAGTGTAATATAGGCCCTTTAAGTGTGAAACATTTTAGTATTGCTGGTTTAGACTTAACATTTAGAACATAATTTTTTGTTATGATAATGATTATATATTTTTGACAGACTGTGGTGGACAGAAAACTGGACCAAATGGTTTCATAGCAAGTCCCAACCACCCACTGCTTTACCCACACCAACAGGTAAGATACATTTACAAATTCTTTTTTTTTGAAGTTATTTCAAAGACCCGTGGGACTACATTTACTATCATCTCATGCCCTTTAACCTCAAAGATGTGTGCATACTGCTGGTGTGTCCTCGGGCAAGACTCGTGTTGTGTGAGGTTTTAGCCACATTATAATGTTGTTACTTTCTCAAAAACATACCTGGAATTGTGTTTAGTTTCATTCCCACATGTTTGCGTAATCCTTAATCCTTAATCCGTTTGCGAGAAGAACTCAGCCTAAATATGCAGAGTTTGTGTTTTAAACATGTGGTGGAGGGTCCGTCACCTGCTTGTCTCCATGGAGATGTTATCGCTTTGTCTAGAATATTCCATGATAGAGATTGCACCTATCTATCTCAATGGAGACATCTACAGTTGCAATCAAGTTTATTCACCCCCCACTGCAAATTAGGTTAATTGGTAAAATGTACAAACTAGCAGCTGTTTAAAAAAAAAAAAAATCTGACAAGAACAAGTTAAATAACTCAACACAACTAATATTACAAGTGGTTTCTCCAAAGTCAACACATGCAGTCTCAAAATTATTCAACCCTCTGAATAGAATAAGTAAGAGCACACTTTGGCAGATCAGGTGTGGTCTCAAGCACACCAGATGCAACCTGCAACCAGTCAAAGGCTTCATTAGTTGCGTGAGGTGTGCTGGTGTGCTGAACCCCTCAAATATCTGGACTGTTGCCTATGACATTTCATTGCATGTTAGAAATATGGCTAAGTCAAGTGAATTGTCCAAAAAGTTCAGAGGAGAGATCATTGCCTTGACAAACAAGGAAAAGGATACAAAAATATAGTAAAGGTACTGAATGTTCCTAGAGATACAGTTGGAAGCATAGTTCAAATGTTTAATGTTAAAGGAACAGTGGCTACACTGACCTTGCAGTGTTAGAATTTGTTCACTCGACAGTAGGTGAGTAATGTAATGCACCGCTAATGGGGCTAACTGGTATATTAAGCTTTTCCTGCTCCATAACTCTTCATTTAAGCAAAGAGACTTGTGATTGGAAATATTGAGACTTGTGATTGGATATATTGTCATGGTCCACGATATTATTGTGAGAACTTTGACGATATGATATCACGATATTTCGATTATTGTTACATCCCTACTAAGTACAAAAGATGCTTGTCATGAAGGGGTTGAATAATTTTGAGACTGCAGTAGTCATTAAAAGTAGCATTTTGTCTTGACTTTGGAGAAACCACTTGTAATATTGTGTTGAGCTCTTCAAATTTTTCTAGTTTGTACATTTTACCAATAATCCTAATTTGCAGTGGGGGTTGAATAATTTTGATTGCAACTGTATAGGCTACATTACAGGTCAGATCTGTGAAGAGTCATGCCTATTCACAGAGAATTATTGTATATTTGAGCAACAGAAACACCAGTAATGACTAAATGCTAGATAGACGTGTTTAATGTTACACTGTGAAACAATCCAGACAAAGCAATAACATCTCCGTGGAGACGAGCAGGTGACGGACTCCCCATCAGAAAAGCTGCGCAGTGTAGCTTTAATAATAATCTTTCTGTATTGTAGTTGTGCGTTTGGCAGATTTCTGTAGACGAGGGCCATGCTGTGTCACTGAGCTGGAAAAACTTCAGTCTGGAGCATCAGGACATGTGCGAGTTTGACTACGTGGAAGTGCACGATGGGGAGGACATGAGAGGACGGGTTTTGGGAAGGTACATGTGTCTTCTTTGTGTATTTGTGACTTCTTTGTGTATTTGTTTTTCAATGTTATCTCCACCAACTGGGACATTTGTACAGTTAAACTAGATTTCTTTTATGCAGCTGTCCTTATCTGAACGCACGCAAGGTGAAATACAAAAAAGGAGAAACAAAATAAGCTTTGTGTATTTGTTGTAAAGATAAAGTTTAGGTCTATAGGAAGAAAGCTTGAGTAATGGAGAATCACTAAGATCAAGATGTACTTAAACTAATTTCGAACACACGCAGGCATGCAGGTTTTGAAGGGACTACAGTATATTATGTTATTTTCAGATCCATGTTATAATGTTGTTTCCTTGTCAAAAACATTGTCGCGTTTTGTTTCATTCACACATGTTTAAAACACAAATCCTGCATATTTAGGCTGAGTTCTTCTCTCAGACTGACAACACTCAAGTAGAAATACAGAAAATGCTCTATACAACATCACTAGAATCATTTGGATAATTTCAGCGCTGGAATTGCCCATCTCTACTGTAAAAAAATGTAAAAGGTAGCTTTTAGCTTGAAAACTGCAGCTTCACGACATCACAAGGTGGAACAGACTAGTGTTTCCCAAACTTTTTTTCTGAGGACCCATATTTTAAAAGGCAAAAACCTTCACAACTCAAGTCAATAGACATTCTTTGTAAATCACAAAATAAACGTGGATTTGACCATTACTGAACATTAATGAGGATGTTTTTTTGAGTGATCGTGTCTCTCTGAACAATTAGTATCACAATAAAATAATCTATATGTTAAATGTAGCCCATTTCTTTTTCTTTTCAACATTCAATTGAACCAGCAATATTGGAACAAAATAGCAAAGCAAAAAAGCAGACCTTACACACAGATCGGGACAAGGCAACCCAAAAAAATCTCTTGTGACCCACCCGAGGGTCACGACAAAGTCTTTGGGAAACAATGGAACAGAGCGTTTTGAGTAGGGTGACCAGATTTTCAAAATCAAAAACTGGGACACCCCCAGTTTGTGACGGTTGGTAATAATAAAATTGTGAAACGAGTGCGTAATTAAGGAATATAGTTCTGCACTCAGCCCATTCATGACTAACGTGAGTCTGTATAGTCACATTTTCTTTATGTTTTGGTCATTTTTAAGCAAGTTTTGTTTATTTTACCTTAAATAAATGACAATTTATGCCTCTCTTCACTGTTTGCATGTATCAAATTGGTCAAAAATAGGGACATTTGGGACATTTCTTATATAAAACTGGGACAAATCTATGGTTTTGGATAAATCTGCTGGGACAGGGACACAGGGCTCAGAACTGGGACTGTCCCGGGTAAAAAGGGACATCTGGCCACTCTAATTTTGAGCTTTGGTGATGTAAGAGGAAAAGGGTGTAAGGTTTGTTGAGTAATTTTAGCTTGTGACTGTAATGGTATGTGTCAGAGACTTTAACAGTTCAAAATCATCTCACCTCTTATAATTCCAGCTAAATCAGTTCTTTCTGGTGAGATTTTGTTAAAATAAAGCTCAGATTAAAGTCTAACAAAGCCTCAGACAAAGCATGCCTACAGTTAGCATCACACCTCCACCTGCAAAGTATTAAAACCTACAAAGGACCCTCCCATTTGACTGTAACGTGCCATGGTTCTGATTTGTCTAGTCTTTTCTAGGTTTTGTGGTAACTCTATTCCCCCGACCCTGACCTCCTCTGGGCCTCACATGACTCTGGTGTTTGTGGCCGACGAGGGACTGACTGACAGCGGCTTCAACGTGACGTACCAGGCCGTGTCCCTGTTAGACAGTGAGTGAAGTAATGTTGTGTAGTTTTGTCATGAATCAAATTGTACACCATCTTTGCCTCAATAATCAAAGGGCCCATATGACACTATTTTCTGATCTATGTAATAATCAAAACTGGAATGCAACTAAATCAAAGTAGTAACTGTACCTGAACTCAACTCAACTTTATTTCTAGAACACTTTAAAAACAATGCAGTCAACTAAAGTGCTGAACACAAATTAGATAGGACTCATAACAAACAGTGATACAAAAAAATACAGTGACAGGTAAAAAGTCAACCCTCAAACTGAGTTAAAAGCCAAAGAGAAAGTTTTAGTGAGTTTTAAGGAGGAACTTAAAAACAGGCAGTTAGTTGGTCAGCCTGATATGCAGAGGGAGCTGATTTCACGGCCTTGGAGCAGCCACTGCAAAAGCACGATCTCCTATCTGTTTTCTCCTGGTCTTTGGGACATGGACAAGAGCCTGATCTGCTGACCCGAGAGCACAAGAGGGGGTGTGAGCTACGAGCAGATCAGACAGATACTGAGGGGCCATAGCATGAAGACATTTAAATAATTTTAGAAAACAATCAGTGCAAAGCTGCATGGGGAGCCAGTGAAGGGACAGAGGATATGTGGTCAAATTTACACAATCCAGTTAAAAGGCAGTGAGGTTTTCCTGAGTTCAGTGTAAAGTGAGTTACAATAATCTAAACGAGAGGTAATAAAAGCATGGATTAAAATTAAAAGTTGTGACGAGGTAAAATCGGTTTTACTTCACTCACTCAAGTATACATTTTAGGTTTCTGCACTTTACTTGAGTATGTTTTAAAGTGGCTAGTTTTTACTTTTACCTCACTAAGTCTGAGAGCAGGTATCTGTACTTTCGACTCTACTACATTTTTGAAATGGACTGAAAAGTAAATTTATTTTTATGATAGTTTCAGACCTGCTGAAAAGTCTAAGGGTTTATTTTTAACATGTTCATCAAACAAATAGAAACAGCAAGATAAAAAGATTGAGTTACTTGTTTTTATTGGAAAAAGTCAGCACAAATCTGTATCAAAATCACTATATTTGAAGCTAAATCTGGCAAAATACTTTTAGATTTTACTCTTTAAGTACATTTTTAAGCAAATACTTTAATATGATTTTTTTCATGTGATACTTTTACTTTTATTTAAGTATTTCTTTGCTCTGATATCTGTACTGTACTGTACAAAAACACACTTCTGGCTCCTTGTCTTTATAACTGCTGTTGTGAGCCTCGTCATTTTGGTCTTAAAATACTCGTATTAACCTGCTCTGCATGATTCTGGTGTTTTTATTTCATTGTTTTGTCCGTTAATAAAGTTTCATTCCTAATATCTTCACACATCACACTTATACAGTCTATTTATTTATTTATTTATTTATTTATTTATTTGAGACAGGCACAGCGCACAATTTATGTCAATTTATCTATGCAGTAACCTTACATTTTATTTCGGTAGTAGTGACATTATTCAACCCCAGAGATGTGGTTGTTGTCAGATAAAAGGACTTTAAAATATCAGAAACATTTGCTGCATTTGTGGTAACAATCCAAACAAATAATGATAAGCTTCAACATTTGTGGACATTTTCTAAACTATTTCCTTCAAAAACAGTACTAGTAAATCCCCCGTAGAGGTACATACTGTAGTTCTCTGAAAATATGACTTTGAATTCAAGAACGTGAATACTAAAACTAAATACACTGTTTAATCATTATGTATTGGCTGTAATAGTTGTGTATGTGGTTTATCTCAGGGACTTGTGAGCCGGGGCAGTTTGCATGCAGCTCAGGTGAGTGTCTCCAGAGGCAGTGGCTTTGTGACGGATGGAACGACTGCTCAGACGGAGAAGACGAACAAAACTGTGATAACTCCACCTATCCTTCCTTCAGTGAGTCCGCCTTATCTATGGACTGTATCACACAAGCTTTAGTGTCCTTTCTCTGAACAAACACCGCACCAGGGACGAGGCTTTCACACTGTTATCCAGATCTGACATGGGAAAACTTCAACCTGGTTTGTTTACATGCTGTCAACAAATGATTTTATCTTTGAGTTACACAGACTGTCACAAATATGTAAAAGTATCTTGATACAAAAAAATTGAGGCAAAAAAAGATAAAATTTTTAAATATTAAAGGAATGATCCACAGTATGAAATTATAGTTTTAATCTTAAATATATTTAATTTCAGGTTAAAAAGCTAAAAACATGCACTCTCAACTGATCTGAACTGTAATTTGGTGCCACCTGCTTGTCTCCATGGTGATAGATAAGTTTAATGCCATACTGTGGAACATGCATGGCAAAGCAATAACTTATCAATAGAGGCAAGCAGGTGGTGAACCCGCCACCAGAAAAGTAACCTTTTCAAGTAATGTTACAGTAAAGTACACTACTGGTCAAAAGTTTTACAAGCCCACACTTTTTCCAGTTTTTTACTCAAAATTATTCAGTTTATTGTGTCATTGCACTCTGACATGAAAGCTTAGAACAAATAAGCAATTTGAGTTAAAAAAGAAATCATGGACTCAATTTACAGACCAAAACGTATTCTAAATTTTTGATTCAGGAAAGTGTCCATCTTTGGCAGATATAACAGATGAACACGCTTGTGGCTTGTTCTTTTTACAATAGAAATCAAATATTGTTCAGAAAGTTCATCCCAAGTCTGTTGCAGAAGTTTCCATAAATGTGTGGCACTTGTAGGTTGCTTCACTCTTCTGTCCAGTTCATCCCAAACCAGCTCCATGGAGTTTAAGTCTGGACACTGTGCTGGACACTCCATGTTTTCAAGCTTTACCATCTTGTTCTTTTTTCCTGAGGTAGTTTTGGCAGAGCATGGACTTGTGTTTTATATCTTTTGCCATTTTTTAAAATCTCTGTCTGTTCAGTATTTACTTATGCACCATTTCAAGCTCTTCATTGGACTTGCACGATTGAACTGCAATAAATAACTGGAAAAATTAGGGTGTTCTAAAACTTTTGACTGGTAGTGTATGTAATAACTGTACTTACATGGTACTCACTTATGCAAAAGGGACACATCTGTCACTTTACTTTATTTCATGGGAATATCTCTAACCTGGTGAGTGTTTACTTTATGGCACAGTAATAGTATAAATAATATAATGTTAACAAATCTAATGATGGTGTCAGTTATTTACAGTATTTATCACATGTAACTGGGTGTGTTTTTTCCTCTCAGCTTCGTCCTGTGAGGTCATACAGGTGGACATGTGTCTGGGTCTGACCTATAACCTCACCTCCTTTCCAAACATCTGGTTGTCCATCGCCGACCAATCAGAGGCAGCCTCTCTGCTGCGCCACTACCAGGTAAACACCAGCACCTGCGAATTGTGCAGAGGGGACACCCTTTTAAAACTAACACACCTACTTTGACTCAACCTTCTTTATTCCATATCCACAGGTTTTGTAATGATGAATATTGATTAATAACACAACTTCAAATGCGGCACTTTCAATGAGAACATGCAGGGGTTTGTCTATAATTGAATTATGTAAAAGGGACAGTCCGGAATTTGGGAGCAGCAGGTTGTATAGTATTTTCCGGACTATTGAGCGCACCTGAATATAAGCCACATCAAATAAATTTTAAGAAAATTTTTAAATTGTACATATATATCCCGCACCTGAATAAAAGCCGCAGGTGTCCACATCTTCAATAAAGTTTTCAAGTTTGGGTCATCTGCTTTTAACACCTCTTTTGTCATCTTTTTGCATTGAGTTAGTCACTCTGTCATCGCCAAAATCTCACCATTGGAGGATTTCAGCATGTTTCAGACTCTCTCGGGGGCGGGGCTAGTTCTATCAATCAGGTATGTGTGGATGTCCGGCTACTGAAGTTTGAGATGTTTCTTCTCGTCTTTTACGCAGACGAGTAAGACATGTTCATTTAGCATCATAACTTATTTTATCAGACAGCGAAAAACTATTTAAGTGCACTGACAATATCATTAGCTCGTGTAGCAACTTCATGTGAACTTTAGATCCATGTGTAACCGCACAGACAGCAGCGTTTTCTGCACTCAGACTGCTCATGTCCACTGTGTTGCCAAACCATAGACCGCATATATGAATGAACAATGTGCCAAACAAAGAATCTGTCCATATATTTGCCACATTGTTTTATTAGCCGCAGGGTTCAAAGTGTGAGAAAAAAGTAGCGGCTTATAGTCCAGAATTTAAGGTACTTCCTGATAGAAAGCTTGGCAGCAGTGGACTAATATCACCTAGCGCCTGTCTTACTGGCGAAGTTAAATTCCGCTGCTCAGAAAATAGTCCCTCAACATGCGACGATTCATGCAATGCAAGGTTAGTTTTATTTCAAACATTATTCTATCATCACAGACATTTACCTCAATAGTCTGGAGGAACAAAAGATGTGTTTCAGGTGTTTTGTGGAGTGGGTAAGACTGTTTTTAGTGGCAGGATAACTATGGCCATTGACATGTACTAGCCTAGCACCAGCGACCTCTGCAAATACAAAGACTGGATGGAATATTTCAAAAAAGTGTCTTCACATGTCTCCAACACTCTGTCCTTTTAAACTTGTATGTAAAGATATGATTAATAAATAAATAAAAAAATACAAATTTTTTTCAGAATCATCATGCTTTGGTCCATTTTAGTCCTGGTTTAGTTCCAGTTTTATAATGTAGAATTTAAACACAGCTTTAACCTTTCTGAATTTGAAGGACCAAATGTACAAACTGTTCGCAAACACATTAACATACTACTTTTACTTTCTTTTTTTTCTCATGCCATCGCCACATCCACTATCCTTTCACTGAGCTAACCCTGCACTTATCTCAAGCAACAAAACAGTCCATCTCACACTATTGGGTTTCATGTTTTATCTCTGACCTGTTTTCTTTCTTTTGTTGGACCAGGTGCTGACGGAGCTGGCCTGTTTTGAGCCCCTCAGGAGGCTGTTATGTGGCATGTTCCTTCCCCACTGTAGTCCGCTAGGGGGCGTCACGCAGCCGTGTCGCTCCGTGTGCACAGCGGCGGAACAGCAATGCAGTCACGCTCTGGACACGCTCTCCTTCAGCTGGCCCTTTAACTGTAACCTGCTGAGGGATTCACAAGAGACTATGGAGTGCTCCATACCTTAAAGCCCCACTGTGGAACTTTTTGGACGAAAAATAGACTGAAATAAAAGCATGTTTTTCTTTTTTTTTTCTCCTTCATTTTGGATATTTTTATTGCACTGAAAAACAAGTGTCTTTACTGTAGTGAGTATTTGTCAAATAAAAGTAAACTCAGAACTAAACTCAGATAATCACTTTTGGGCACCATGGGTTTGTGGTTTACGCAGTGACAAAAAACAAAATCAATATCCATGACCAGAGCTGAGTTTCCAAGATTTATTTCCAGTTTTAGGCAAACAACAAGGGATACTTGTTAAAGGCCTACTCCTGCTGCCTCTCCTTTTGACTGGTAAAAAACATAGGCCCATCCTGGTGCACTCCGGTCTACGTGTCTTACCCTCCTTTATCCACTAGGTGACCCAGATTAAGCCAAAAACAAAAAAGGTGCTAACGTAAATAATACCAATTTAGACTAAAATCACCGTATTTTCCGCACTATTAGGTGCTCTGGATCATAAGGCGCACTGTCAATAAATGGTCTATTTTCAAACTTTTTTCACAAATAAACTGCACCGGACTTTAATGAAACACATTCCTTGGGTGAATGGAACTTTGTTTGTGGCGTTCACGGTGACTCTGGGCTTTGTTCAGTTGTGGCGTGTAGGGAGGGTGCTGTCTGGGACCACTGGATTGTCGGCGTGTTCGCAGTGACTCAGTTGTTCAGTTGTGTCTAGAAGTGGCACATTGCACTCACTTTTTCGGTTCGTTCCTCCATTCTGTTCCTCTGTTCCTCGTCTGTGTGGAGTGATGAGTGTGGCTGTGGGTGTTTTTCGCTGTGCGGTCACTGTTTGCTCGGTGTGTGTTTGCGTGCGCTGCGATTTGTGTGGCTTTGTAGTTTACTGAAGTCGTACTGGGACACCCGAGTGGATTCGTGTATAGGGCGCTCTGGATTGTGGGGCAGGTCGTTTTTTTATGGGGTTGGAGGCTTTTGAGTGCACCCTATGGTGTGGAAAATACAGTAACAAAAATAACATTAATGTAGCAAAAATATATTATGCAAATTAACAAAACTAAATTAGTAAACTAATTAACAAATAAAAATAATAAACTAATTTTAGAATCAACAAGATAAGCAAATAGCTCCTACACTTAATGTCATCAGGCTCTCCACAAACATGAAAGGGCCTCCACTTCCTTCTCTCTAGGGCTGGGTGTCATTCTGAAGTTGCCGATACGATACATACCTTGATACATAGGTCATGATACGATACATATCTCGATACAGTGTATTTTTGATTCAATATGATTCACTAAAAATAAATCATGGCTGTGATACAAAGTCTTTGTTAAACCACTTCTTGTGCAAAGTTCATATGAAACACAATCATTTTAATCATCACAACAGTGAAAATGTCAAATGTGTCGCATAAACGATTTTCCTTTGTCTGAACTGTAGTGCTGTAACAAAATAATTTAGTAAAATATACCAAAAAATACTCTTGACGATCTATCAATATAGAAGCCCATGATATCGATACTGTATCATCACATTAAACTATACGATATATCGATATTTCAATATTTTTGCACACCCCCTATATGTCTCTGTGAAAATGTTGTTAAATATTTCACAGTATAACTCATCTATGCTTAAATGTTCCTAAATATGATTTCTATGGTTTCGATTTCCAAGATCATATTCTTGACGTGCCACATCCATAAATTTGTTGTAAATAAAGTGCGTAGGAGAGGCTTTGATGGTTTTCCCATACATTTAATATGATTCAAAAAATAAAGGTGTTTTCTTATATTTGTACATGTCAGATAATAATGTCTGTGTACATTAGTTTTGGCTCAGTTTATAAAATGGTTGTCAGGTAACAGCTATGGAAGTGCCTAGCGTGATGCCATGATTTCCAACCAAGAAGTAAAATTTTAAACCTAAAAAATATAGGGAAGAAAACTGGGGAAGAAAATGTCAAATTTGTATTAAAATCTTAAATATAAAGATCTTAAGTGTGTTTTGGTAAAATGAGTATCCCAACCTGTCATAGGCAAAGAGCTCAGCAACTGTACATGTATTTGGTGCTCATGAAATTATATAAAATGAATAATCCAGCTAGATTCTGTTCACTATAATGCTGGCATGGAAAGAACGGATTTTTTCTTTTTTTAAGAGTTCAGTAAAGTCTACCAGCCTACATTGTTTGCACTTTTATATTTTAAGCATCATTTCAGTCAAATAAAAACACACATTGCTTTCTGTAAATATGACAATTGTTAAAGTTTTCACATTACACAAAACTGACTCATGTGAGCTTTAAGTTATGTTAGAAGGTTGTTACTTCCTCAAAAACAGACCTGGAGTTGTATTTTGTTTGAGTAACCCTTAATTATTAGTCTGTCTACATCTCCAAAGCTCAAAATGCTGTTCCTCCTTGTGATGTCACACGGTGAAGCGGTAGTTTTCAAGTTAACAGCTGCTCTTTACCTTTAGTTCAGTAGAGATTGGCAATTCCAGGGCTGAAACGATCCAAATGATTCTAGTAAAGGGAACTACATTATAACATAGCTCAGAAATTAGCGTAATTTGACACCTTCAGATATAATACAATGAGCCCAAAGCAAAAGGAGGATAAAAATAACTTTATTAAAGAACAGTGACGCACTGACTATGAAGAACATGTAATAAATAAAAGTTTAATGCTTGTATTTGGATTATGTGACTTCATTTATAATTCAGGTTCAATTAAAAATGTTCAATACATGATGATAAACTATAAATACATAAAAATGGCTCAGAAAGTGCTTCAGCAGAGGAAACTGGCTTGAAGTGAGTATATTGTGTTTCATAGGACTGCACAATATCAGTTCAGGAAGGATTAAGAAAGAAAAAATACATAAATAAAAGGTATGTTCTTACTTTTTTTATATTATTAAATACATGTTTTGTTTTGTAAGAAAATAGTCTTTTCACAATTTAGTGCAAGTTTTAGTCCATGATTTAGACTTGGTTCAGATTTGACCCTGGTTTGGACTATAGTTAGGCTCAAATTCAGTCATTTTCAGCCCTACTGAAGTCTTGTTTTTGATCAGTAAAATGTCTTTAAATTCTTTAAGCCTGTTTATAAGGTGCACTATATTTTTTTTAGGCTTGCTTATCTCTAGGGAGATGTTTCAGTTTTGCCTAGAATATTCCATAGTATGGCATTTAAAGTAACTGTTTTGCATTTATCCATTGCTCAAAAATACCTTCAAATAACATGCATTCTTACTAAGAGAAGGACTGCCTCTCCGTAGATCTGTCCTGTAACTCGGCCTTGCTTGTCTCCTTGGAGATATGAAGCTTAATGCCATACTGTGAAACATTACAGGCAATGCAATAATATCTCCACCAGAAAAGTTGCATTAAAGAGGCATTGTGTAACTTTTTGGTGGGGGGTCTGTCACCTGCTTGTTTCTACAGAGTTGTCATTGCTCTGCCTGGAATGTTCCACAGTATGACATTAAACAGCTCTACCATAAATTTATTCATTTACAGATGGTTTTAGAGCTCAAAAATACCTAGAAAAACAGGCATTCCAACTGTGAGGGGTTTAATACCATACTGTGAACTATTCCAGACAAAGCAATAACATCTCCACAGAGAAAAGCATTTGACGGACACTCTACCACAGAAGTCACACAATGCGCCTTTAAACACATCCACATTTCAGATGATCATAGTTTTACCAATATTCTGCAGCCCTACCATCTTCCATTACAACAGTGCTTGGGTGTTGAGGTCTTATTGCTGACAGATGATTTTTAAAGTGCAATCTAAGGCCACAGCGGTCAGGCCCCAGACTCGGTGCTTCCCATTTCTGAAGACTGGCAAAGTGTATCCGTACTTGTCTCCGGTGCGGAAATGTGTGTAACCGCGATTCACAGGGTTACACAAGTGAGCCAGGGAGAGGGTGAAGATCTCCTCCACCTACAAGACAACAAACAATATCCAACTTCAAGGTCTTGTATTACATAAAACTGACTCTTGTGAGCTTTAAGTCATGTTAGAATGCTGTTTCCTAATTCAAATCATACATGGAGTTGAGTTTTGTTTCATTCACACGTTTGAGTAATCTTTTCATCCTGTTCATAAAAGACTCTATACTTTAAGTTTAATAATATATTGTGTAACTGGGTAACGTTCATACTTGTCCTGGTCCTGTTTGGTCCTGGATTAACCCTGATGTAGACTTGGTTTGAACCCGTGCTAAAGAGCTGGCATTGTCATGGTCTAACCCAGTTCTAGTTCCGGGTTTAATCCTAGTTTAGTCCTAATTTTTATGTGGTGTGTGCAAATTGAGGAAGTCTGCAGAGCTTCATGCTGACAATACTAAATCCTTATATGTTTAATATCTTTACTTTAAGTACCATATTTTTCGTACTATAAGTCACAGTTTTTTTCATGGTTTGGGTGTTTCCTGCGACTTATATATAAAAATTTTCAGACTGACAGCCACGTGAGGGCGCTCTAGGCTTGTGTGTTAGTATCTAGTACTACTATTACTCCTGTACCACTGTCACTTTGCTCTATACTGTGCATGTCTCCTGCAGAAAAAGCCGCTGTCTCGCTGCAAATAGTGAAATATTGAGCTGAAAACGGTGATCGAGCAGCAGAAAGAAAGTTTGGAGTGAGCGAGAAACTTGTGAGGGACTGGAGGAAAGCGGGGATGGAGAACACAGCTTCATGGCAACTGGGCGGGTGTGCCATGTAACTGTCCTGGAAATCACTGGATGAATCGACAAAGCCTGAACTACAATGACAACCAAAACCATCCTGTCGGAATTCAGAAAGACTGGAATAATTCTAACTGGAACTGATGCTGAGTCTGAAAACAGCTGCACAGAAGAGGATGCAGTGCTCCGTTTATCTCATGGATCTACGGTTTATCTCCAGAGGTCGTGCAAAAGTGACACCAAGGATGAAGAATTCAATGGATTTAGTGATATGGAGTGAGATCATGAGTTTGGTAAACTTATGTTCTGTTGTTTATGCTATAATTATCTGAATAACTGTTAACACATTAATGCCTATTCAGCCTGTTGTTCTCTGTTCTATTGTTATTACAAATAACTTGCCTGTCAAGATGAAAGGTTGGTTCCTGGTCTCTGATTATAAAATACATTTCCCCAAAAAGTGCGACTTATAGTCCGATGTGACTTATATATGCTTTTTTTCTTTATTGCACACTTTTGGCTGGTGCGACTTATACTCCGAAGAGACTCATAGCCCGGAAAATACGGTACCAGCTTTTTTGTATTATTTAATGTGTTGTCCTTCCAATTACATAAACTTCAGATATTATTTCAAGGGACTCAAACTATTATTATTTAAATGTACACTATGTAATTTTTTGTTTGGGGTCTGTCACCTGCTTTTTTCTATGGAGACATCATTGCTTTGCCAGGAAAGTTCCACAGTATGAAATTAAACAGCTCTACCTTACAGTTATTAAATTACAGGTGGTTTTATAGCTCAAAAATTCCTACAAGCAGGCATTCTGACCTTACAAGTGTGACCTGTAACTCTGGTCTGGTTTGGTCTCCATGAAGATAAAAAGATTTAAAACCATACTGTGAAACATTCCAGACATAAGAATAACATCTCCATGAAGAAAAGCATTAGACGGATCCTCCACCAGAAAAGTTACATAATGCACCTTTAAGTAATTTCTTGAACTACTTTGTACTTCTGCTTGAGTAATATTATTTTGAAACTGCACTCTTACTTTATTTATTTATGCATTTTGAATTAGAACAGAGTAGTTTCATGGCCGTACCTCCCCAGGGTTTGGTTTGAAGGACAGCTCTTCTAAAGGGCCCAAGTTTGCGAGCACTGGAGCGACCATCATCCCAGTCTGTGAACACAAACAAAGACAGGAGCGTTCAGATTAGATTTCAAAACACTGAGTTATCCATGTCTGAGTGCCTGGGGTAAAATGGAAATGAGTGTAAATGAATGTCTAATTTACTCTGCTTTTCTACCGCGCCTGAAGGTGCATGCAGACAGAGCCAAAATTAGTTTTGTTTTGTTTATATGAGCACGTGCAAATGTTGGTAGTGCAAGTATCCAAAAATACACTGTGCTGCTATGATACTATTGTAAGTCCAATTGTTGTCACTGCTGGTAATTAGGGAAGGGCGATATATCAGTTCCAGTATGGGGTTTTTAAAGCTAAATTTCATACAGACAAATATCAGATACTGGACACAGCAGCAGGCCAAATATTTGATATTGTCATTAGTTTATAAAATCCATATCTGCCCATCTATACTGGTAATATTGTGTCATTTTAAGACAGTATTTTATTATAAGTGTAAAAAAAATATGGATTACAACAATTGAGCCTACACATTTCTGAAACTCAGGTTAGGGTTTAGCCAATAATTTAATTTAAATGTAAATAAAGGGGCAGACTAATGTGTATATTTTTCCTCATCTGCCCCTTTCTAATCATGGAAAAGCCTTCTTATGTACATTTAAATTATGTATTGTTATTCATTGTACACATAGACCGTATATATGAGTGGACATAACTAATGCGCTAGCCGCCGCGTGCCAAATGTGAAGTGTGCCAAGAGGCTCTTCCGGCTGCTTCTGACCCTGGCTCCCATTTGACTTACATCTGGATCTTGTCGCCCCTCTCTCTGTAACTGCTGCTGTGAACCGCATCATTTTGGTCTTAAACTGTTCATATTATCTCGCTCTTCGTGATCCTGAATTTCTATATCACCATTTTGTCCGTCAGAAAAATTATATTGCTAATATAGCGCCTAGCTCCAGATTCGCTCCTGTAACCGTGAGCATCATGAGCCTCTTTTGAGTGGCGCTCAACGCTATGGGTGACGTCACACTCACTCAACTTCTTTTATACAGTCTATGATTGTACAACTGTATTATTATTTTTTATGTTTTTTACATTGTTGCTGCAGTCAAAAATTAAATTTCCTTCAGGATCAAGAAAGTATTTATCCATCTATATACTCTGCACCGTCATGAAAGGGAAAAAAAATATTTATGAAATAAGGTACACTTTCTTATCCACCTTCATTGCCACTGGGGTCAGGACTACCTCAGCTGGAGAACTTTCTATGTATGGAATGGAATGTAGTTCTTCTGTGCCACATACCATCTCCCTGAGCGGCTTGAGGACGCCCCACACTTGCTCTGTGCCCACATTTATGCCCAGCTCCTCTCTGGCTTCTCTCAGAGCTGTGGCCACAACATCTTTGTCTGAAGGATCGCTCTTCCCTCCAGCAAAACTACAACAGACAACAAGAGATATGAATAACTACACACAAATTGCACTGAAATCTCTTAGCATTACCGTTCTGTTCTAGTTTGTGTTGCGCTCTGCACACCTGAATAACGCAATAGTCTGGCTAATGATTTGATAGTGGCACAATGTATCCAAAATTTCAAGCTGTTGAGCAGTTATTATGTCGTAAATACGAATTTCATATTAGCATTCAGGACATCGAACTTGTAACTTTTTTTTTTCACAGTATGATATTAAACGTTTCTATCTTCATGGAGACCAAATCAAACTAGTAGAGGTAACCACACTCACAGTCAGAATTCCTGTTTTTCTAGTTATTAAAACTATGAGCTATTAAACCACCTGTAATTGAATAAAAGTAAGGTAGAGCTGTTTAATGTCATACCCTGGAATGTTTCAAGCAGAACAATGACATATCAATAGAAACAAGCAGGTGATGGACCCCCGACCAAAAAGATACATAATGCACCTTAAAGTATCAGCTATGAAAATGCGCTTGTGTGTAAACTGTGCCGAACTTTTAGACAGAATTATCTCTAATGTGATGTCATCAATAATATAACTAATTGCTTCTTGTCTGGTGTAAAACTATAATTTATATTAACAAATAATAATAATAATAATAATGATATAATGCGTCTATAGTTAAATCAAAACAAGCCTGTTTTTGTCTCACCTGACGTCTCCTTTGTGCCTGCCCTGGAGAGTACTGGAGCGCAGAGTGAACAGTAACGCCGGTTCATCCTCTACACTGCAGAGACTGACCAAAACGGACGCCCATCTCGCCGGCTTCTTCCCCAAACCCAGACTGGGACCCCTCCGCACTTTCTCCACCTCATAAAGTTTCATGTTTGGTTCAAGAATCTGTCGACATCTTTGTTCATTCATAGAAGACAGGCATTCTCTCCAAGCCGAGTCCTCCCTAGGAACTTGACTGACCGTCTTGTGAACTTGTCTTGTTTGGTGACATTTGTATGGTGCAGGATGATGGTTAAAAACGTCGGGCTTAGACAGTGATGAGCTAAAATATTTCGTTAGGCTAGGTCTACAATATAATTTACTTGGTTTAAAGGGATCACAATAAGAGGAACAATGTAGTTGAATCCAGGGGTTTCTGTGGGATTGAGCACAGTCTGTACAGTCATTGTTACCGCTCACTACAGTGCTTTTCCATTGTTTATGTTCCCTGTTTAAAAAGGTACCAGACACATGTTGAGTAGAAAAAATCGTTTTGGAAGGGAAGTCGCAAAACGGCTTAACATTTCTTGCATTAAAATAAAAAACTGAACGTCCCCCAAAACTGGATGTGCAGATTTGAGATCTTGTTTGATGGCATCTTGTGGATTGTCTTTTCTTGAGCTGTTTAGGGCCATGTAAAGCAGCAGCAGCAGCAGCGTACTGGGACAAAGCAGGGAGGTGAGAGTCTCTCTGCTGTAACAGGAACCGCACGGGACAAGCCCAATTCAAGAAATGAGGGCCTCTAAACATCCTGAGGAAAGAGATAGATAAATAATTAGATATTTAGCATTCAGAAACAGATCTGAACAGGAAGCAATAAACAAGTATGATTATGAATATAGTTAATAATGGAAAACAATAAAGTCAGAGCTAGTGACCTATAAGTTAGGGTGATCCGATTCTCAGAATTAAAAAGTGGGACATACCTGTGTTGGGATGGTTGGTATAAATAAAATTGTGAAAAGAGCATCTAACATTGTCCATTCTCGACTCACTTGTGAGTCAGTCATAATCTGAGGGACTGTTGTTGCATTTTATTTATTTATTTATTGTCATTCATTTTTTTGTCTTATGGTCATTTTCAAGCATGGTATCTATATTTTATCTAAAAAAATGACAATAAATTCCCCTCTTTACTGTTGGTGGGGATCAAATTGGTCAGAAATGGGAACAACTGGGACATTTCTTGTATAAAACTGGGACAAATCACAGGTTTTGTATAAATCCGCTCGGACAGGGTCCCGGGTAAACAGGATGTCTGGTTACTCTAATCCAAGTAGTACAAATGAGTTGACATTCCTCACACGTAAAATGTTCACGTTAAAGCAAAACATAATTTTATGCCGTGTGTATAGCTCATGTTTTGGTCATACAAATGCAGGCAGTAAAAAAAAAAAGGCATGAAATGTTAGGAAAACTAACTCGTTTCCTGTGTCTACTGGCAAGCTGGTCTTCATGACACGCATTTAGTTTATGTAACAGTAAAAATGTCAAGTTTGTACGGCTTATTCCAGCGTAACAAAGCTAGATCTAAAAAACAGAATTCTTCCTTATCATCAATCCAACTGTCAGTCTACTCCGCGGGCTGCTTTGCCGGTTAGCAAAACAGCTAGCAGTAAGCCGCAAAACTCATATTAGGACTGATTTTATTACGACTAAATAACTATTTGAAGGCGCAACACCGCTTGTGGGAATATGTTATTAAACAACCCATGAATTAAATAAAAATGGCATTAGAAAGCAAATACCTCTCACCTTGAAAGTTGCGTAAACAGCAGCTGCTCAGGCTTTGACCTATTTCCGGTTGCCAGGATTCAAGATGGCGTCCAGCGGCGTCACGTACGTGTGGTGTATGACAGCGTGCCCGTACTCTGGGACGTGAGGTAGACTCATGTTTTCTAATGTACTCATCTTCTAGCTATTTGGGGATGTTACGTTATTTTATAATGCTGGGAATCTCCACATGCAAGAACACGTTTGTATGACCGGTTTTTCTGCTTGGATTGCATGGTTTGTTCACCAGCTTTTAATGTTAAAGCTTTGCCTGGATTGTTTCACTATATGGCTGTATGGAAAATATTGTGTAGCCAAAATGCTTAACTCAATTCTCCATAATATTAATTGTATTTCTTTATAAAAAGCAGTAACTAGCATTGTTTTGACAAGCTGGTAGGACTGGTAAGAGTTTATGTTATAACTAAGCAATGAAAAAGTGAGGTTGCCTTGCAAAAAATGTAAAAAGTGTAAAAAAAAAAAAAAAAAAAACCACTCAAAAAATAAAAGTAATCAAACTTTAGTCCATGCATGAGGGAAAATGATAAAATATGTTCACTTTGTAATTCCAAATGATCTTAAACGGGATTGTCAGAGTCAATCAAAGGGCTGTATGTGGCACGGGAGTTGAACAATGCCCAAGTCTGCATTAAACTGATCTCCAAATGGAAACAAGCAGGTTATGCCACCTGGCCAAGTTACAGGTCAGATCTGTGAAGAGGCTTCTCTACAAAGAATAAGAATACAAGTTTTCTTATGCGTTTTTGAACAATAGTAACTCCTGTAATTAAATAAATGCAAGAATGCCATACTGTGGAACATTCTGGGTAAAACGATAACAATGGCATAAAGGGCTCATATTATGCTATTTTCTGATCTATGTTATAATGCTGTTTCCTCATCACAAACCTACCTGGAGTAGAGACTTGTGCCATTCACATGTTTAACACACATACCCTGCATATTTCTTCATGCACACAGAAAACACTCTGTGCCACCTTGTGATGTCATGTGACAGGAAGTGCTCCCCTGTGTTTTAATCTCACTACACCTTGAGCCCTGGAATTGCCAGTCTCTACTGAACAAAAAGTAAAATGTAGCTGTTAATTTGAAAACTACAGAGTAGCTTTAGAGATGCAGACAGACTCATAATAATGGATTACTCAAAAATTAATGAAACAAAACACAACTCCAGATATGCTTTTGAGGAGGTAACAACATTCTAATGTGTCTTAAAGCTTTAAAGAGTCATTTAATTCACCTTTAAATACCTTATTACATACATGCTGAATGGGGGTTTGTATTGATAAATCTTAAGTAAATGGGAGGTGCCTTGAAACAGCTCAACCTGTCAGACCTGCTCCACCCTGGCTCTGGTAGGTTCAGTTCTGAGCAGCATGTGATTTGTGTCTTAATGCGTTGAGACCATTACATTGTCATTGTTTTCATTCATTTGCTACAGGCCTTCTCTTGGATTCTTACACAAGAAACCACTTATTCCCAATGGCTTCAGCTTGGCCAGAAGAGGAGACTTTTACCTGTTCTGTATGTTTGGAAATCCTGAAAGACCCTGCTACTCTGCCATGCGGTCACTCTTACTGCTTGGTCTGTATCCAAAACCACTGGGACAAGAAGGACAGCCAGGGACAATACAGTTGTCCACAATGCAGGCAAGTCTTCAACCCACGACCATCACTGGCTAAAAGCACTCTTCTGGCGGAGGCAATGGAGAAATTAAGAACCAGCAGTCTCAAGCAAAAGGAGCCATCTTCTGCTCCTCCATCTTTACCTGTTTACATGGAGGTCCTACCAGGAGAAGGGCCGCAGCCTGGATGTGTCTACCCCCAGCTGCCACTCACTGTTGCCCCCCGAATGTGCCCTCAGCATAACCAGCCCCTGGACCTGTTCTGCCACGAGGATAGAGAGTGTGTGTGTGCGTTGTGTCGTCAGTATGGACACATGGGACATCGAGTGGTCAAACCTGGAGAGGAGAGGAAACAGAGACAGGTAAGCAAAAGTAAAAAAGCAATACAATGTTGATGTAATGATAGATTAAAGGTTTATTGGTCAAAAATGGCTCTAAATACATCTAAATGTAGGAATGGGCAATGGTTAATGGTGTTTATTAGGGTTAGGGTTCGAGTTAGGGTTAGGGTTACAGTTTCCAATTTAATTCAATTGTCTCAGTAATGATTTTTCATTTTGCCATATATGATTTTTGAATGTGAGATCCTGCCTATTGCTGCCAATATAATCTGACAAAAGTGCTGACAATACATTAGACGCATTTTACAAATGAACCAAAATGATCTGACATCACCTGTGTTGTTACAGTAGTTTATGTCATGTGACAAAAATGTGGTTGTGCTTGACTCTGTCACAATGACGAGACGTCACAGACTTTCCAGAGCAGAATAAACATTTGTGTTAAAACTACAGGACGGTTGATGATTCATATTTTCAGTTATTTGTTAAATGGACTGATGATGTATAGTGTCTGTCATGTTATTCATTCATTTGAGGCATTTATTTTTTGCTTTTTTTGCCCTTTTCCTGTTCCCATATTCCCAGTAACTTTTTTAATGGAGGTTCCACTATCTACTTGTGTTCTTGTTATTGCTCAGCCTTGTTTCACAATATGACTTTACAATTTTATACCTCACATTTATTCTACTATATTTTTTATTGCTGAACATTGCCTTCATACCATGCATTCTTAGTGTGAATATGCTCGTCTTTCCATAAATCTGACCTGTAACTAGGTGGTGTATCCATGGAGAGGGGTTTAATTTAATGGTATATTTTGGATGATTGTAAGCAAAGTAATAACTTTCACGTGGAGAAAAGCAGATGGTACCCTCAACCAGAAAAAATACGTAGTGCCCCCTTTAAATCTTTCCAGACTAATTTACTTGTAGAATATTAAAATGGAGAAACTGGCCACAGTTTGATTGAACTACTTGTTTGTGTGTTTGTTTTTCCAGGAAGAACTTGTCCAAATGCAGCAAGAAGTTCAACGTCGTGTTCAACAGATAGAACGGACTCTGAAGGAGATACCACATGTCACCAAACAACACAAGGTACTAAATATAACATGTGCTCAGTGTACCAGTGTTTCTCAAACTGAGGTACGGGTACTGTGGTGGTACTTGCGTCTCTCTGCAGTCTGAGTTTTACAGACAAATCCATTCATTTCTTAACACACATTCATGCACGCAGTGGCTGAAGTGTGTTGCTCAAACACAAAGACCGTATGCAATGCTGATAGTGTTGTTGAACCATCAAACTCTGTTACTGTGTCTCCCTATCTACTGATCCATACCTAGTCCTTAGTTCTACCATTAGGCTGTTTTAGATCAGTATTGTACAATGTAAAATCATGATTCATACGCATGTTGTTCTCTTGACAAATTCATTGCATTTATTGTTTTTTCTACAAATAAACCTGTTGCTTTTTAGTGAAATCAGAACCGTTTAAAGCCTAAAAAAAAGTTAAAAGGCACTGGTGTTTTGAAATAGCCTTGACTGTCAACACCGTGATACCTGCATCAGATTACTGAAATGTTAAAGGGCCCGTATTATGTTACTTTCTGATCTATGTCATAGGAGGTGTGTCTTGTTTCATTCACGCATGTTTAATACACAGACTTTTTGGATAATTTTACCCCTGATTTCCACTGAACTAAAGGTAAAAGAGCTATTAAAAACCACTACATGACATCACAAGGTGGAATAGAGTATTTTGAGCTTTGGAGATGTACTAGACAGACTAATAATAAAGGGTTACTCAAAGATGTACAGTATGAATGAAAACAAAACACAACTCCAGGTCTGTTTTTGAGGAGGTAACAACATTATGAAATCTAATTTGTGTATACATTACCTTTAATCATATTTGTTGCATCTGTTCCTATTCAAATAATCAATCAATAAATAAATATGTATTCTTATTCTCATGATATATTTTCCGCTACAGGCCCTGGTCCAAGCGTTACAGAGTGAGAGCACAGATCTCTTCTCAGACCTGATCAAAGCGGTGAACGGGACAGGGATCCAGGTGGGGGAGGAGCTCAGTGCCCACGAGGCGTCTCTGGGCACCCGGGTGGAGGGCAGGGTGCAGCGGCTGGAACAGGAGGTCGCCCGGCTCCATTGGAGGAGTGAGGAGCTGCAGAGGCTGGCTGATATGCAGGACCACGTCTGCTTTCTCAAGGTAAAGACCGGACAAGCCTCTCCCTTTTTCTGTCTCTGTAAAAGTAAAGAATTTGGGCTGAATGATTTGGGGGAAAATATCTAATCGCTATTTTTTCTGACAAGCATTTGGATTGTGATTAGATTTGTGTTTTATGTTTAACAATAGAATTCTGTTGGAAGTTTGGCTTTTAAACACATCCAGGAGCTTTGACAAATAGGGCCATGAACTGACACTTAAACAAGAATCACATTTCAGAACGTGTTTGCACAGATCAAAACTACAGGGTTAACCTTTTTTATACAGAATAAGACAGGAGATTTTGTTGTTTATTTGCTAATTGTGTCCATTCAAATTGTGTTTTTGATTTGATTGCGATTAATCTTGTAGTCATAAAAATGATAAACTACGCTTCTCCGTGTCATTGTGTAACTTTCCTGGTGAAGAGTCTGTCAAATGTGTTACTGCTTTGTTTGTTTGTTGTTTTTGCTTTGTTTGGAATGTTTCACAGTATGGCATTAAACCTTTCTATCTTCATGGAGACCAAACCAAGTTACAGGCCATATCTGTGGAGAGGTGACTGCGCTCACAGTCAGAATGCCTGTTTTTCTATGTATTTTTGAGCTATAAATTAACCTGTAATTGAATAAATGTAAGATAGAGATGTTTAATGTCACACTGTGGAACATTCCAAACAGAGCAATGAGATCTCCATAGAAACAAGCAGGTGACAGACCCCCAACCAAAAACTTACACAATGCACCTTTAAGGACTAGGGTTGAAAAATAAATATACAGCATGAGATGAGCATTTTTTTCTTTCAAAAAAGAGAAAACGATGAAAATGATTACTTTTTTTTTTTTATCAACGATGCACTTCATTTGTAAATATTGTCCGTCTTGAAGCCTTCAGTCACCATTTCAGTCTCTATCTGGTTAAAAATGTATTTATCCTAATGTTAATGTATCTCGATGGTTTGTAGAACTTCTTCCTGATGGAGCCGCTGGGCCAGACTGAAGCTGATCCTGGTCTTGGACACCAGGAGGCAGTAGTGAGCTCAGTTCGTTCAACCCTCAGAGAACTACAAGTGTCCATCGAAAACCAGTGTAAAGCTGCCCTCACTAAGATCCAAGCTTTAGGTACATGTTTGTAATTTTTCTTCTAACTGTCACATTTTGATATTTCTTTGGCTCATCATTGAAAAATTCAGTAATTAAAGACATTAACCGTTAACGATGTTTCTCTAATTGTGGAAATGCTCAGATGGTTTGCATCTCCACATGACTGCTGCTTGTTTTGATAGAACTCTTGTTCTGTTTGGCTATAATTTTCCACAGTATAGTATAAAATGTATATATCTCCACAGAGAACATTTATGATTTTTACTTTCTGTGCCACCTCCAAAAAGTTAGTGTTGCTTTAAGTTGTCAAGTAGTTTTTTGTATGTTTTTTTTTTTTTTTTCATACTAGCCAATATCAAAGAACATCCAACTGCATCCAAAATCATCTCACCATATTGCACAGCCAAGCTTCACTTTCTACTTGCTGGATAGAAATTGTAACTCACTTAAAATTAAGCTCAAGGATGACAACTTCTGTGGCAATTGTTATATTAAAGGTCTGATATGACACAGAATTGACTCTTGTGAGGTTAGAATGTTGTTATCTTCTCAAAACGGACCTGAAGTTGTGTTTTGTTTCATTCACACATGTTTGAGTATCCTTTTACTATTAGTCTGTCTATCTCTCTAAAAGTCAAAACGTTCTGTTCTACCTTGTGATGTCATGTAGTTGTAGTTTTCATGTTAACAGCTCCTTTTAACTTTAGTTCAGTAGACATTGGCAATTCCAGGGCTGAATTCATTCCTTTTTAATGATTCTAGTGAAGGTGTATGGGGTTTTCAGTTTGAGAGAAGAACAGAGTTTGTGTGTTAAACGTGTGAATGAAACAAAACACAACTCCGGGTCTATTTGTGACAAGGAAGCAACATTACAACAAAGATCAGAAAATAGTGTAATATAAGCTTTTTAAAATGGCCTTTGACATACATTTTACAGTGAATGATGAAGCTCCAGCGCCAGAAACCAACGATGAACCAGCAGCAGTTCCCAATGAGACACAGAACACAGGTACTAAAAACATCTCAAACTGTAAAAATGTGTTGTCTTAGTGTTGAATTTCACTCCTAACTAAATGGTCTTGTTTTCCAGTTTATGAAACAGTCCTTCCTGGTAAGTTACTTTTAACCTTCCAAATCGTACCTTATATTTATATTTTATATTAGGCCCCCATAGCTAACTAAACTTGTACTCTCTTCATATTATACAGATTGCGTGGCACCTATGGCTCCTCAAGGTAAAGACAAAAACTATGTCTACAGGGTTGATAATGTTAGAGTAGATATATTATGATTTTTGTTTTGTTTTTCCTTATTTAAATTCAAATTTTCTGCGCACCCAAGCCTCAAGAACAGGACAATATATTATTATTATTATTACATATGCATGAATCAAATGAAATAGAGGAAGAATAAATATAATATACATGGTTTAAAGGGCCCATATTACTCTGTTTCCTGATCACAAACAGACCTGGAGTTTGTTGTTTGATATTTAGTTCTTCTCTCAAACAGCAAACACTCTGTTCCACCTTGTGATGTCATGTGGTAATACAGGAAGTGTCCAATTGTGTTTTTTAAAGTCCATATACCGTATTTTTCACACTATAAGGCACAATATTAATAATGTTGAATTCTCTCGTCTATTTTCATACATAAGGTGCACTGGATTATAAGGCACATTAACTGAAACAAATGGACGAGACTTGAGACTGATCCTTTAGTCCAGGCGTCCACGATCCATTGGCAGATTGTGGCGTAATTTGCCCCGGTGTTGCCTCCCTGTTTTGGTGAATGTGTATTATGAATGTGAATGTCGGTGGATCATTTAAGTTTTGTTTTGTTTTTTTTTTCCTACGAGGAGGACTCAAATATACATTGAGTAATATTTTGTTTAATGCAGCTTTGCACACATATGTTTACAATTTACAGAAAGGAAATTTAAAACCACATGGCTCATTTTCATAAACTGGAAGTTCTGAAAAAACCCCAAAATAAAACGGCTACGGTTGTCAGTGAGGCACCTGACTACAGTAGCCGCAGATTTTTGAGCGCTGTGTGCCACATAAAATAGGTTGGAGATCACTAAGCACAATCACAATTAATACATAAGGCGCACTGATGATTTTTGAGAAAATTAAAGGATTTTAAGTGTGCCTTACAGTCTGAAAAATATGGTACATTCACTAGAATCATTTGGATCATTTCAACTCTGGAACTGCCAATCTCTACTGAACTAAAGGTAAAAAGTAGCTGTTAACTTGAAAACTACCACTTCATGACATCACAAGGTGGAACAGAGCATTTTGAGCAATGGAGATGTAGACAAACCAATAATAAACATGTGTGAATGAAATAAAACACAACCCCTGGTATGTTTTTAGGAGGTAACAGCATTATAACATGGCTTAAAGCTCACAAGAGTCAAGTTTGCGTAATATCCTTTAAAGCTCATAAAAGTTAACATTTACATAAGGGGTCTCCAACCTTTTTCCTCCTGTGAACTACTTTTTGTAAAACGAAAATGCCAGAGAGGTACTCATTTTAGAGGTTGCCAGAAATTTTGTATACATAAGATCCATGGTAAGCCAAAAATGAAGTACAGTTAGATAACTATAAAACATAACCCATTATCCAGTTGTCAGTGCACAAAATTAGGCATCAAAATGATACATTTAAAAAGGAAATGGGCATTTAATCGATCGAATTGTTTATCTTTTTTATTTTGTAGTTGAAGCCTCAGCACCTCCTCCTCCGCTCCCTCCTCCACGGCTTCCAGGTAAAGTACACACCATCTCTATCTTGCTCCGGCCTCTGTATCTCTTCTCAAAGCAGATACTTTATAACTCCATACATCTCCTCTTGGCCTCATGTTTGTCTAAATAAAATGTATTATTACACATATATTTGCCCCTCTGATGCACTCTTGTCTAATCCTGTCCTATTCTTCTTCATGTAATAAAGTAGTTCCAAGTGTATGTGCCATGGGGCCTGTAAACCACGAACCCAAGACCAGAGATGAAATGCTGAAATGTGAGTTAAAACATGTATAGCCTAATATACTATACTAACATAATAAATGTATGTTAATCTCTAGTGCTCCTAAGAAGGTACCAGAAGATTAAGTAATTTATTTATTGTCATTCAGTGTCAGTTTTATTTCAGAATTAGATTTTCAATTTTACTTTTGTTCAGTTGACAGTACTCAGTTTTTTTGAAATTTTTTCTTTTCATAGAACAGACTTTGTTTAATTCTGGGTTAGAGCTGAAATTACAGACGTCTTATCTAGTTTTATATGGAACCTGTTCAGCAACCAGTTTTTTTTTTTTTTTTCAGTTATTTGTGTGTTTATTTAGTCTTTTGATTATACCGTCTTTGTTATTCCTTTTTATCCACTGAGTAAAGGTTGTCTCATTTTAGTTCATCCATCTTATTTGCTGAAGTTGTACACTGCCCTCTTCACTGACTCACTTTCTGTCTTCCTTCTCAGACCGGTTTGTTCCCACACTGGATCCCAACACTGCGTATCGTCATGTCCAGATCTCAGATGGGGGTCGGAAAGCCACACTGAAAGCTGAAAACATGAACTACCCTGAACGTCCAGAGCGCTTCCAGTTTTGGAGGCAGGTTCTGTGCAGCGAGGCGCTGGGAGGCAGCCCATACTACTGGGAGGTGGAGTGGACTGGGACCAAAGTAAGTTTAAAAGTTATTGTAGTACTGTTATAGTATTATGCATTCTGGTGCATTTTTAAAGACAGGGAGAATTTATGCACACAGGAAGCATTTTTCTGACAAGTTTTTTTTGTTGTTGTTGTTGTATTAGTGTCGTCATAACAATTGTGCCATTCACATAATGTTATACATATAATTATGTACCGAATTACCTCTGCATTTGTCATATCTGCTGCCCATGTGTAACTAGAAAAATTATAAATTTCACCAAAGTTGAAAAAGTAAAAAACTTACTAAATCTGTGTATTATTCGTTCATTTGTTTTTCAAAATAAAACCAAAAATATATTGATTTTATGTTTAAATGAATAATGGAAAAAACGGATAACAGCCGTTTCCCGTTTCTGTGACTTAAGACATAAACTGCGATGCCGGACGTTTGCGCCGCATAAGGACTAAACCAGGACTAAACCAGGACTAAACCAGGACTAAACCAGGACTAAACCAGGACTAAACCAGGACTAAACCAGGACTAAACCAGGACTAAACCAGGACTGAGTGTCGGGACAGGCCCGGAGGTGTGATCGGGTGATCAGGGCTGAGACCAGGACTCAGATCAGGACTCAGATCAGGACTCAGATCAGGACTCAGATCAGGACTCAGATCAGATCAGGACTCAGATCAGAACCAGACCAGGACTGGGACTGAGACTGGGACCAGACTAGGACTGAGACTGGGACTGAGACTGGGACCAGAAGAAATCAAATACATGAAGTAATATGTGTAGCAAAAAAAAAACTACTACTAAACTTTTTATATTTCATATCCATATCCTCAAATTAGCCACCCTTTGCTTTGTTTTAGTAGAGTTATTAAACTTTTTTCTTTATTAAATAATTCCATATGTCTTGCTTTATATATTTGATGTGTTTCGTATGTATATAAAATGTAGAGAATGAAAGAAGAAAGAAAAGAACACATTGAATGGAATGGTGGCTGGTAGTGTAATTATGTTTTAAATTGTGTTTTAGTGAAATGAGTGTAACCTGTCACTGTTGCGTCCTTTACTCTTCTTTAGGTGACTGTCGGTGTGGCCTATAAGGAGATGGAGCGTGGGAGTTCTGATGACAGCAGCAGACTGGGGCATAACCCGGAGTCCTGGAGCCTGTACTGGTCTGGCTCTGGCTTTTCCTTTTGGCACAATAACCAGGAGAAACTTCTGGGCTCTCCCAAAGCAAAGCGGCTCGGGGTATATCTGGACCAGCACACGGGGGTCCTGGCCTTTTACAGGGTCACCAAAAACCAGGCTGATCTCATCCACAAGCACAAGACGGACTTCAGCGGACCACTGTACCCGGGGTTTAGGTTCTGGGCCGGGATAGGGTCTGCCATCACCATCTGTGACCTGGAATAAGACAAATCTACCGAGTCATGTTTACATCATCACAATGTCTTAATCTAATACACTTAATAAATAGATAACCTGATCTCTTGCTGTTTTCTGTTTTTTGTTCTGAAATAAATGACCTCACTATAAAAACACATCAGTTTTCACCAGTGAAAGGAGTTTAACATTTCTAGATTTTCTTTATTTCCAGATAAAGCATGCATTTTTCATTTAGTTTGAAATGTTGTTCCTTTAAATACTGATGCTTTGCAGGGACGTCACACTGGGGGTATTCTACCTATACCTAACGTTCGGCAGGAATGTTCAGACAAAAAAAGACACAGACAAAAAAAGTGTTTAGATTGTCTGAAAAACGTAAAAAAAAAAAAAAAGACCAACATGGATTTAAACACTTTTTCCAGAGCATGTGACTGTTCATGGTCCTTTTTAGGTTTAGGTTTTCAACAAAAAGGTTAAAAACTGTTGTTTGTGACTATAATTTTATGTGTTAGACTTTTTTCAGTGCACAAATCAACTCACTTATTGTAGTTCCAACCAAATCAGCTCTTTCTGGTCAGATCGTGTTAAAATAAAGTTCAGATTAAATGTGCACTATGTAACTTTTCTGGTGTAGAGTCCATTTACTCATTATCTTGTGGAGATGTTATGATTTTACCTGGACTATTCCACAGTATGACATTAAACTTATTTATTATGCTTTTTTTTTTTTTTTTTTTTTTTTTATTAGAGGTGTTTTATGCTATTGAAAAGCATGCATTCTTACTGTGAGTGCGGCCGCCTCTCCATAGACCTGACCCATAACTTAGCACTCAGCTTGGTAGTGTCACTGGCTTGTTCCCATACAGATCAGATCAAATGAATGTCATACTGTGGAGAATTGCAATAACAGAAGTGGCAGACCTCCCCTTCAGAAAAGTTGCGCAATTCACCTTTAAGTTTAACTTGAGGATCAGCTTCAGACAAAGAAGTGCCTTTAGTTTAGCTTCACACACGCATAGGAATGTTAATGTCATTGCTGCAAAATTGTTAATAGTGGTTTTTTAACTAGGGATGCACTGAATATTTGGCAACCAAATATATTTGGTCAGATATTGCCAAAAAAAATCCACATTCGGCTTACGATGGAGTGAGTTAAAAGTAAGGCCGAATATTGGCGTGTGACACAATGATGCGGTGATCTGGCGCCTTTTTTAAGATGTCACCAGTGTGGAAATATAAGTATATGAGGTTACGCGCACACACCTATTGACATTTACTTGAGCCTTCTGTTCACATTATGAGTCTATCTACTGTGGCTCAGCAGACTTGTGCCAAAAGGACAATCATTCATTTGTTGTGGGTTTGTCCACTTTAATGCACTTACATTTTTTTTGGAATTGTTGTTTTGTTTGAAGGCCTTAGCCCAGGGGTGTCCAAACTTTTTTCATCAAGGGCCACATATCTAAACACCAACGAAGCAGAGGGCTGCTCAAGGGCTGTCGACTGGTACTCAGTACAGTGAATAATTGAAATATGTGCATGTTTAACACGTTAGAATGAACCATCAGTCTTTATTCATGCTAAGATCCTTAAAACAATTTGCAGTAAGTACTTAATTTTTTAATTGATGCAAGGTTATTTGGGCCAATTGAGCTGGAAGCCTGAGAGCCAAGAAAAATTTGTCTGAGGACCGCATTTGGCCCAAGGGCCACAGTTTGGACATGCCTGCCTTAGCCTAATATGAATGCAAAACATATTGGTATATTTACTGGAAAGGCTAATGGAATATTTAAAGAATATTAAAAAAACATTTACTTAAAAAAACAACAAAACAAAAAAAACACATGTCTAAAAATGTATTCTAGGGGCTATTTATGCAATATTTTAAAAATTGTGAAAAACTTAACTGTATTTGATATTCGGTTTTGGTATTCGGTCAAGGGTTAAAAAATTTTTTCCGTTCCATCCAAATTTTCATTTCGGTGCATCTTTAGCTTTAACTACAATGCGTTCACTTCTTTGATAAGAGGTCACCAGAAAACATTGATTACATTGTGCATTTGTTTTGTTTTTATTGTAATACTATATTTATATCAAAGAGGAACAGTCTGGAACCTTTTGGCCTCCACAGATCTACCATGACCATTCTCAAATTCATAGTTACAGCTTGTTTTGAGGTCCTTGCTCGTAAATCATTTTCAATCCTGTGAATCCTTGTGTTTGCTTTTCTATACATTGTGGCCTTGTCTGAGAACAGTTTTCCCCAATGGACAGATGATACCCTGACCTAAATGCCCCGGGACAATGCCTCAAAGGTGGGATTGGGCACACCTGACCTGAGAGTGGTCCCATCTGCAGACACTGGAGTCAAACCAAAGAACAGAGCTGGACTAAGGTGTGACTAAAGTGACACACAATAGTCTTTCTGGTGTGTATATATATAACCCCCAGCCACACATGCAGGAAGAAAGTCTGCCACTGTCAACACCAAAATGAAGGGTAAGTTTAAGCAAATTCATTTTACAGGTGCACTATGTCACTTTTTGGTTGGGGGTCCGTCACTTGCTTGTTTCTATGGATCACTGCTCTGCTTGGAATGTTCCACAGTATGACTTTAAACAGCTCTACCTTACATTTATTCAATTACGGGTGGTTTTATTGCTCAAAAATACCTAGAAAAACAGGCATTTGAACTGGGAGCGGGGTTGCTTTCCACAGATCTGTCACAGGACTGAACTTGGTCTGGTTTGGTCTCAGCGAAGATAGAAAGGTTTAATGCCATACTGTAAAACATTCCAGACAAAACAAAAGCATATCAGAAAAGCATTTGACAGACCCTCCACGAGAAAAGTTACACAATGCACCTTTAATTAGAAAAAATAGAAGGGTAGCACAATTTATAAATTCAAAATTTACTGAGACTTTTTTAACTTAACTTTAACTTTAACTTTTTGGTTAAAATAACACTTAAACAGCAAAATAATCTAATTTATTCAAATCATAACTTGTTATTTTCTTTCTCTATTTATTTCTCATGCTCTTATTTTGTTGGCATTAATTTAAAGAGAACAGCAACAACAACAACAAATCTGTAAATTAACATAAATACATATTTCTACCATTATTTGCTTTGTCTTTGCTGCATGAACAAAAGGAGCAAGAAGAAGATAAATCTTATAAACCCTGCTCTTTCCTTCTTTTCATGTCATTAAGAAAGGTCCAGAAATCAGATCATAATCAGATTTTGGTTGCATGTGAACAAAGCAGGATTTTGCCGATCACGAATGCATTACCCTTCTTATTTCTGTTTTTGGATTTTACTCACTACTTACTTTTGTTGATGCTCAAGGATTTATACAATATTTTATAACAGAAATAAGAAACTACTCTAACACTGACACAGTAACTCCAATAATAGAATAACTCTACTTTTTTAGCATTTTTCTTTTGTTAATTTGAAAATAATAACACACAAAATTGAATTATACAAAAAAAAAAAAATGTGATTCAGGATTGGATTAAGTGAATTAAGATTTATTGAGTCTAATTAGGTTATGTATGTAGTTATTTTAAAGGTACATTGTGTAACTTTTCTTGCTGAGGGTCTGTCACCTTCTTGTTTCTATGGAGTTGTCATTTCTCTGCCTGAAATGTTCCACAGTGTGACATTAAACAGCTTTATCTTAGATTTATTCAATTACAGGTTGTTTTATAGCTCAAAAATACCTCAAAACAACAGGCATTCTGACCGAGCGGCGTTGCCTCTCCACAGATCTGACCTGTAACTTGGCCTGGTTTGGTCTCTGTGAATACAGAAAGAAAGGGTTAATACCATACTGTGAAACATTCCAGATAAAGTAATAACATATAAACGGAGAAAAGCATTTGACAAACTCTCCACCAGAAAAGTAAACAAACCAATGAATTTAGGTGCAGTGAAATAAAAAGTTAGTCATGTTGCACATGGTAAATGTTCATATTCTTTTCCGTTTCAGCTGCTGTGCTCTTGTGTGTTGTGGGACTGACCCTCGCCCAAGAAGATCCTCTCCAAAAATTTAAGAACAGATTCAGGTGGGACACTGGAGATGGGACCGACTCAATCACGGAGGATTTGGCAAACTCGAAGGACATACAGACAACAAATGGTAACTGTCTGTCTAAATACATTTATCTTATGTTAAAGGAGCACTGTGTGACTTTTTGGTCACCAGCTTGTTTCTATGGAGATGTCACTGCTCTGCTCTACCTTATATTTCAATTGCACGTGGTTTTATAGATCAAAAATACCTTGAAAAACAGGCATTCTGACTGTGAGTGGGGTCGCCTCTCCACAGATCTGAGCTGTAACTTTGGTCTGGTTTGGTTACCATGAAGATAGAAAGGCTTAATACCATAGTGTGAAACATTCCAGACAAAGCAATAACATCTCCATGAAGAAAAGCATTTGTATTTGACTACTTTTACTACGTTACCTTCCACCACTGTCTGTTACCTTTGGGTGAGTTGTTGTACAGTTGTATGGAATTACATTATTTTTATTGTATTCTTTTCATTTTTTTGTTGAACTGAAAGTTGATTTTGTGTTTCATCAGTGTGTCAGACGGACCCGGCGGCGTGCGGCTGCTGTCTCATGCATCAGCAGATCGATCGGATGAAGAAAAGCTTTAACCAGAGCCTCGCCGAACTCCAGAACGAACTCAACAAAGCAGTCAACTCCCTTGAAGAGTTCAGATGTGAGTTCAAATGTCAACTTACGGCATACACGACCGGTCAAAATTGTAGAAAGAAAGAGCCACGAGCGTGTTCAGCTGTTATATCTGCCAAAGACTCTTTCATGAGTCAAAAGTTTAGAATAAGTTTTGGTCAATAGTAAAAAACTGGGAAAAGTGTGTTCTAAAGCTTTTTACTGGTAGTGTATGGCAGGTTTTGTTGTGTCACAGACATGCAGTTTTTAAAAACTTCTTCAATAAAAGCAAACACAAAGCAGTGGTCAGAGATCACCTCTGATGGATAGCTGCACATCACACTACTCTGCAAAAAACGAAATTTACCCAAGTTAAGATGACCTGAATTGAGGCTACGTTTATATGATGAGGGTCTGAACAGAAGATGCACAAGTGGCGTCACATCTTCACTTTTTATTCCGCGTTTAGACGAGCAGTTTCAGGAGGAACTCTGCGTGCATACGGTGACACAAAAGTGTGTGGAATTCAATTGGGTTTGCATGCCAGGCAGCTTGGTGGTGAAGCTAAGTAGTGATGTAGTATGTGACGTAAATATGTACGTGACGTGAGCAGATCTGACCAGAGTTTTGTGTCTTGGGCAGTGTAGACTGAAACGCTATAGTGGAGTGTATTCAACTTTTCCACTCTGGAGGGTGGTTTCAGATTTTTGTGTTTTTAAGCCCTAAAAACGCTGTCACCATCTAAATGAAAATTTGTTTGATTTGAGTAAATTTCACTTCATAACCCTAACCCTCTGAAAGTGTAACCAGACTTTTTGTACTTTAAACATGAAAATACATCTTGCTAAAATTAAAATAAGAAAAACAACAACTTTTTGCACTTAAAATATGAAACAAAATTGAATGTTTCTTGAATTAAGAAAACCACAGTTATTCCATTGGTAGATAATTTTACTTGTCAAGTTGAAGCAACTCAAATAAAGTCAAATGCTCTTAATTTAAGTCAGTTTAATTTAGCTAGATAAAGTTTTTTTTCAATGTAGTGAGCATTACGCGGTTCTGCCAAATTGTACGTGTATTACCATTTAAGAAAATAAAAGAATGATGTAAGTGTCTTGAAAATAAGTGATTACAGAATGCACGAATCACTCCAAAAACAAGTCCGAGAAGGTAAATAAGAAGAGGAAACAACTATAATCGCTCTGAAAAGTCCATTTTGCATAACAGATCTGATTTAACGCTTACTTATTCTCTCTCCACAGCCACCCGCAGCGCCTTCTCTGTTTCCCTTTTCACCGACAACTCAAAAAAATGTTACGGCCCGTTCCGAGACGACACCCTCATCATCTACAAACACATCTTCCTCAACATGGGCAATAATTACGACATCTCCACCGGCATCTTCACTGTCCCTCGCACTGGGGTCTACAGTTTGGCCCTCACGGTGTACAGTGACGCCGGAGCCCCTGGGAACACCCTGGCTGCTTGCGCCTCCCTGCGGGTCAACGGGCACCTTCTGACCGGACCCAGGGAGATGTACATGCAAGACCAGGAGGACAGCGCCACCGCCTCCATCGTGGTCAAACTGAGGCAGGGTGAACAGGTGTCGGTCAATCTCCCCATAGGCTGCTTCCTTTGTGATAACAGCAATCACTACAACACGTTTAGCGGGTTCCTGCTCTACATCACCGAGTAGAAGTACATATGAATTAGTGAGTAGAATATACAGTGCTATAGACTGTAAAAGATAGGCCTAAATGCTGGACTGTATCACTGTTTTTGGAGTTCCTGTCACCTGCTTGTTTCTACGGATATGTCATTGCTCTACCCCAAATGTTCCACAGTTTGACGTTGTAGTGGACCAAACAGGAGGGCAAAAACAAGGTATAAAAACAAGTTTAAGAAAGTAAACAAAAAAGGCTCAAATTTGTTTCAATCATTAACAAAAATCTGGGCCCAACTAGGGTAACTTAAATCAAATTGAACAGAACAAAACTAACCCAACCTGATAAAGAACAGAGGTGTTTAAATCAATGAGGGCCAACTAAAACTGAACACAAGAGGGAGGAATTACTAGTGATGGCGAGATGAAGCCCCATGAAGCACTGAAGCGTTCCATCCATTTGCTCGACTCTTGAGCTGATGCTTCAATGTGCTCTAAGTGGCCAAAAAAAAAGTATAACAGGCAGAGTGATAATAGAACAATCAACATGATCATCGTGGTTCTGATGGAAAGATTTATACTGAACAAATGAATGATTAAAAATTGTTGTACCACTTCACCTGAATTTATATTATAGACCAGAGGAAACACTGTGTTGTCAGATTTGTGTATTTAGTAATATTGTTTATCTAACGACATCATTATTACTATATACTTTATTAGGAGATATCAGTTAGGAGAGAATATTCTTTTTCTTGCCGCTCCATCGCAAAAAATAAAGTATCTCAAATAGAATGTACCTAACCCAAAACCACAAAATATGAGGGGGAATCCGTTGCGTTTCACTGGCCCTTATCTTTCAAATCATGGGCCAAATTCGCGAACCACTTCCTGAACCAATCACGTGGTACGGGCGGTTCGCGAGGCTTCGAACGTCACCATATACATCACCGATACAAGCCTTGATATGTGCTTCACCAAAGTCTTCCTAGATTACTCGGAACATGCTTCGAAGCCTCGACACGGAGACACATCACTAGTAATTACATTAAATAATTAACTAAAACTACTAACTTAATCAAAGTAACAAGAAGGCAAATAAGACCACACCTCAACCGCCCTCTCCTCATTAGCAACCCACGGCTCACTTCGACCACACCTCTACTTAGAAGCCCTTCCCTTCAGTTTGTCCCAATTTGTCTCAGCTAACTCGACCCCACCTCTCCTTCGTCTTTCAGCCATAAGACGCCTACGAGGGGGGTCCAGTTCCATTAAGACGGCGGCCCCACCATGAGTCTCAACCCAGCCATTCCTGCCCCGCCTTCTACATTTATCAATAAACTTTTTCTTCGAACTATGTTGTTGTTGACGTGGTCCGAGCTAGTGAACATTAAACTAACCAAACAAACTAACTTTGCAAAACTAACTAAATAGTTCTCCTACTTTGTTCGGCATGGGTGGTCTCTGCCAAGGGTCATCCTTCTGGCCACTGAAACAAAACAAAAAAAAAGAACAAGTGTATGTGAAAATTCAGACTTATATTAACAAAAATTTGTGCACCCAAATTAGAATACAAGTCTAAATAAAGGAATTAAATTAAACTTTGTGTGCTGTAATTAACTGAATGGAAATTAAATTAAATAATACTAACACTGTGGAGGAAAAACAGGAAAAACAGGAATTCTAACTGTGAGCGGGGTTGCCTCTCCACAGATCTGACCTGTAACTTGGTCTGGTTTAGTCTCCATGAAGATCGAAAGGTTTAAAGCCATACTGTGAAACATTCCAGACAAAGCAACAACAAGCATTTGATGGATCCTCCACCAGAAAAGTTGCACAGTGCACCTTTAAAGGCGCGCCATGTGACTTTTCCAGTGTAACTTTTCTGCTTGTCTCCATGTAGATATTGTTGCTTGGTCTGGAATGTCCCGGAATGGCTTTAAACATAACCATTTGCATTTTGCATTTACTCAGTAACGTGGGTTTTTATTGACTTCTTGAATTCTTATTGTGAGTGGACTCGCCTCTCCACAGATCTGACACGTCACTCGGCCCTGTGGCGTCACCTGCCGTCTCCGTAGAGATAAATAAGCGTAATGACATACTGTGAAACATTACAGGTAACATTTCAATGGAGAGAAGCTGGAGACAGACCAACTACCAGAAAGGTTACACAGTGCATCTTTAAACTTTTTACATATCTTTACATTATTGTTTCATTTTGAGGGTTGTTCTGGGTCGGTAAAAACTCACCTGGAATAGCAGCCTAACTGAAATAACCTTTGTTAATGCAATCCAAATATTAAATGTAACTCTGGATGTCTTATGTGATGTCGTATGTTGCGTTTTATGCGTAAATAGTAAAGATCACAGATAACCTCACCACAGACTGAGAGAGTTTCATTGTTCTGTTAAAAGGGGCTATATATGTCCAGTTTTACTTTAAATAGTTGAAAGCTGAAGAACACAAGAGCAGTTACATAAAGTGAACAGTTATTATGTTAAAGATGGAACACTTAAAGACCCCATATTTTACTCTGTTTTCTGATCTCTGTTATAATGTAGTTTCCTCATCACAAACAGACCTGGAGTTGTGTTTTGTTTCATTCACACATGGTTATCACACAAACCCTGCACATTAGGCTAGGAGTTTGATATTTCTCTAATGGAAAATACTCTGTTCCACCTTCAACTTATGCCATTAAACCTATTATCTCTACAGACAAGTTTTTCAAGATGTTAGATATTTAGATATAAGCAATAAAAACACACAATTGAATAAATGGCAGATATGACAGGTTTGAATAGCATGCTATCACGTCTTTCTAAAGAGATAGTGTTTGTAGTCACTCCAAGTCTCTCTCTGAAACCTTCAAATCAAGAAAGAAATCTCAGGGTAATAATAGACTCAGACTTTAACAGCCACATCAAATCAGTAACATCTGCAGCTTTGCAAGCAAAGGTTTACTGTCTAAAGCAGACTTGGAGAGGCTTATCCATGTGTTTATCTCCAGAAGGTTAGACTATTGTAATTGTCTGCTCACTGGCCTCTCCAAACAAGCTGTGAGACAGTCCAGTGCATCCAGAACGCTGCAGCTCGGGTCCTGGTTCGATCCAGGAAGTATGAGCACATGCGTCCTGTGCTCAGGTCTCTGCACTGCCCCCTGTGGCTCAGAGACTTTAAAGCAGCTCTGCGTGTACAAGTCTCTCCATGGCTGAGCACCAAAGTACATCTGTGACATGTTGTTGTGAAAAGCAGAAGTCAAGTTTGGGAGCAGAAATGGAAAGAGGCTTGCTGATGCTGCCGGTGACGCCCTCGTAGCTGCTCATGTCATGTCAAGTGCCCTGGTCAGACCTCAAATAGGCTCGTATTGGTTCTCTCATTTCTGCTTCGACTCTGCACACCTGACTGGGCGACAGGAGGAGGAGGACAAGAGGAGAGGCACTTAACTTCAAACATTTTTAAGAAGTTAACTACACACTGTCCCTGTGACCTTCCTCAGACCTTCTCTCCCTTCCTGAGATAAAACCAGAAAAGAAAACCAAGACTGAGACAGCATGCGGGAGTCATGTTGGTTGTCCAAAATAAATAACAAACGTGTATTATCCAATTAAGTTTGATATTGTTAAAAATAAATATATTACAGTAGTTATCCACATGATTGTGTTAAACTGCATTGAGACCTTTGACTAAGACACAAAGGCCACTGAGCAAAACCTGAATTTCCCTCGGGATCAATAAAGTATCTCTCTCTCTCTTTGTCTAAACTGCGAGTCTTTGTGTGTTTTATAAGTCGCCTATTTGCCCAGTCCCCACATAAGCCCGCTATTTTTGTGTACCTGGACAAGACACCCCACTTCACTGTCTACTTCAGTCACAAAGTCACGACAGCAAACTGCCAAATAACAATAGAGCTGATTCACTGTGGCAACGTAGAGATGAGTAACGGAGGGACAAGTTAGGAGAGGAAATCTCAAGTAAATGTGAATGTAACTGGTGTGTGTGTGTGTGTATGTGTTGTAAAAGTTTCAGGGAGACCCCACGAAGCAGAGGGAGGAAGCTGTTACATCATCTGCTCATCTGATAAATTGGCCTCTCTCTCTTCCTATCAGCTGTCCAGGTGTTCGTCCTCAGTGCAGGTCAACAGGTGAGGCCATTTGAACTATTTCTGTGTTTATCTTCTTGTATTATGGATTTCTACCTGTGTCGTAGTGATAAAAGTAGTGGTACATGATACGAGCCTCTGATGACTGTGTGTAAATGTTGGTAATTTTTTTCTAATTCTACATTTAAGAGCTTTGTTTGAGATCTGGGTTGAGATGATCACTCCATCTCTTTTTTATTTGTCTATAAACAGGCCATGACAACTAAAATATGTGAAAAACCTGGGACCTCAAGTACAAATTCTAATTGATGTTTTTGTAAGAATTCAAGTGAGAAAGAAGCTCAAAACTAGTTATCCTGAATTATGAAGAAAGTATAATACATAATTTGTTTTGTTAATGTTATTTATATATTTTTTTATTATGTTTCTTCGCATCCTTCATCCATTCTAAGTTCATGGTCACACACAATTCAGACAACACCTTTCATTATATTTTGTCCTATAAAAGTGTTCATTCCATCTTTTTTCAAATATGATGTATTTTTAGCATATTTTTGAAAAGGTCTGATTTTAAAACGTAGCTTGAACTTGTTTCCTTTTCCCCTCTTTCGCTGAATGTGAACACAAAAATACTATCTTGCTCAGAAAATGCACATTTTGACCCTTTAAAAGCCACCTATCTGCTCGATAACATCTCAAAACAGAAACCCGAAATCCCTAGAAATCCCTTAAAAGACCAGATGGTAAAGTGATGTATTCACCTTCAGCTAAAGCGTACAACATTTAATTACAGTAGATTTGAGTTACATTGATTGTGTAGTTCCAATTACCATTTGAATTGTGAGATTTTGACTAGTGTGAATGTTAAATTATTGTATAGTTTTGTAAATGTGATGTATTCAGAGCCTGACTTGGTTTTACATCACATCAGCGCATCTGAGGTCTGCTAATATTGCTAATGTTCGGTCAGGAGCCGCACCCAAGAGGAGGAACTTATGACTTTTATGAGACAGTCACTATGAATAATTATCTCTAATATTTCAACATTTAAAATTACGCTGAAATTAAGACTTCTGAATGTATACGTTTTAGTTTATAGTATTGTATCTGACTCATTTATGAGCGAGTTGTAGAATGTTTTACTTTACTTTATTATATTATTTTACTTTATTTGACTTTTACTATAGCGACCTTATTACAATGTGCAATATACAGTATTTATTATGAACAGTAGTCTGCCTCTGCTGTTTTTAAATATCAGTTCGTACAGTGTTTATGTTAGTCTTATATTTTGTTATGAAAGTGCTGCATATTCATTCCCTAAAAATATTAAATAAATAAATAAATAACTCCTTTACAGTGGTAATATATTGTATTATCTTTGTATTTTTTTCAGTGTCAGAACAGCTCTTGATCCAAAATGGCTGCCTTCCTCCATCACTGCCCCTTCCTGAAGTGGGTCCCTCAGCCGGCTCTGAGAAGAACCGGAGCTGCCCTCATGTCCATGGCCGACCAGTGCCCCATCATCACGCGCCAGATCAGTGTGAGTTCCTGGAATAGACACCGGTTACCAAGGTGACGGTGTGAGACCGTTGTTAATAATTTATTTATTTATTTTTCTTTCTTGCTGTAATTTGATTTACATCATCTGACGTGTTTTTCTGCCCTCTGGTGGCCATTTTCCATGCCTACAATCCCTGATCAAATATTGCTTGTTTTTGCTCAAATGAATGATCATAGTTATATAGGCTTTTGGCGCCGCTGTAATTGGGCTGCCCCGTGGTGCAGCGCTTAACGCTGAGCTCACAGGAATGGAGCTGGAGATGCGGTCCTGCCCCGCCTGTCATTAGGACAGGCCTTGGGCTGTGATGAGTGAGACCGGTCCGGGGGGCCAACTTCTCCACGGTGCTTTGACTTTTATTCATTTACGTATCTATTTGTTTTTTAGAGTATTTGTTGTGAAAACTAGCCGCTGGCAGCTTGGAATTCTCCAGTCCCCAGACGAGCCCTGGTTGGAGTCCGAGTTGGGCCAGGTGAGACTTGAGGAGTTTGCATGAAGCCGGAGGACTTTGGCTTAAAAGATTCAATACGTCACGACTGTAGCGCCACCTGTGTAAACTGTCACTGTTTTCTTCAAATATCCATGTTCATGATGCAACAGAAGGTGCCTGATTTGCAGCTGCGCTTGTTTTCTGTGGCTGCACGGATTATGATTGTCACCACAAGGGTGCGCTGCTCCACTGTCCGATTTATTTTCTCCACGTGTACCACGTGTCGTGGTAGGTCTACTTTGTGCTGAAGGCATCCTCTGTGCCTCTGTGTGTGTTTATAATGTGCTGCACAGTATCTGCGGGTTCTAAATGAGCGCACAGGCTGCTGTGAGACGCCTCGCGAGCACTCCCACACACTCCCGCACGCTCCGCACACTCCTGCACACCACCACCACAAGTTTATTGTCAACAGCAGGGGCCGTGATGAAATATGATCACACTTGTCGAGTGTCAGACCTCGAGTAAGAGACAAGACCGAGTCCAAATGCGATCGAATTCGAGATGAGTACTACGACACTGCGATCTACCCGCACTACCTGGGCGATCGACTGGTAGATAACGATCGACGTTTTGGGTGACGTTTTGGGTGTCTTAGGCAAGACACCTTACATCACCTAGTATGAATATGGTGTGTGAAAGTTGGTTGGAGGGGCCAATGGCGCAGATCAGCAGCCTCACTTCTTGAATGCTGCACAATGCTTTTTGTGCAGTTTTTATAAATCATGCACCATGCATTTATAAATCCAATGCATTATTACCTTTACTATTATTTTATATTTTCTGATTTTACTATTATTATTATTACTATTATTTGTTTTAACAAATCTGACTTTCACACCTACAGTGACGAAGTTTGTGCTGAAAAAGAAGGAGGAGGGCAGAGACAGTGCATTCATACTGAACTTGGCTGGCTGTGATTGGCCGACGTCCTCAGACACGTGACAAGGTTGACTCCCCTCAACATAATTCTGTTTACAGGTGCACTGTTGCTTCTTTTATTAATTAATCCTGAAAAATAAAAAAAAACTTTTCGCTCCACCTTCCACAGATTTTACCACAATATACAGTATATACAGTTCAGCCCATTTTCACAAACAATAGTGACTCCCATGAGGCACGACTCATCCCTGCAGGGTGTGGGAGAGAGCGGAGAGGGAGGTGTCAAGTTCAGGAAAAACTTAAAATACACAAAGAAAATGAATAAAAGTAAAGTACGCGGGGAGGAGCCATGAGAGGGTATATATCATAGCTGTTTTGAAGTCCGTCACACCAAACCATTGCTACTTCTGACAAATAAAGCTGCTGTAAACAAGCTCCGTCATGAAAGGTGAGAATGGAATTTGAAAGTAATTTATATTTACGTTAAAATTAATGAAATTCAGAATATGAATCTTTCTTTAAATTGTTTCAAGTTCTAGTTTTTTATGTTTTCTCTTGCTTTGCTGGTATATAATTGCGCTTAAAGATAACTAAAATATATTGAAACTGATTAAACAACTTGGTGACCTGTTTTTTCAAATTTCAGTTTTCAGATTTCACTATTTACATTATTTTATTTTTTATTAAAGAGACATGTTTTATAGATTAAAAAATAGAAAAATATTTGTCTGAATTCAACCTACAAAGTAAAATATAAGCAATAATATTTTTGCAGTACATTACAGTAAATAATTATAAATCTGACAAATTTTTCTCCGTCCTGCAGCATTTGTGGTGTTGTGTGTTATATTGGGGAGCAGTTTGGTCAGAGCTCAGACCCAAAGTAAGAGCACAGGTGTACAACAATGCCGTTTGTGTGTTTTGATTTGCTTTTCTAATTTAAATGTGATGTGTTTGTGCGGCGTGTAGCGTGCACATCAGGCGTATGCGGCTGCTGTCTCATCACCAAACAGCTAGAACGCATGAATCAGTTCTTTGACATGTCCTACGACCACTTGGCTGGTGAGCTCTCCGCCGCCAAGCAGGCTCTCAACTCCATCAGAGGTAAGGACAAAAGAATATTATGTTTTTACTTGTAATTTTAGATCATTTTATTTATTTTTCTTTTCAAACAAGAGACACATGTATGACAATAAGAAAAACACGCACACACACACACACACACACACAAAGGACTATTACGTGTTTACTTTCACAGACTTTTTTTTTTACACAAAGACTTTTTATACTTTACTTAACTATTGACTTACTTTTTTGACATATATTTAACTTTTGTTTACTTTACTTACTATTTACTGACCATTTTTGACATATATTTTTTACGTTTTTTACTTTACTTTACTTGACTTACTTTTTTGCCATATTTATTTTACTTTTTTACTTTACTTTAGTTACGATTGACTTACTTTCACAAAATAAATTTTCTGAAATTTTAGGTTCAACAAGTCTGGACCGAAGAAAAATAAATTAGCCAGTATGAAAGTGTGACATTATTTTAGAAAGAATGCCATATTTGATTTCAGAGCAATCTTAGTCCAAATATCAGAGCAATTTTCTATTTTCTATTTTTATTTTGTTTTATTTTTCCCTTTCCCGAGTAAGTGCCAAACAAGGGACAGTGCAAACATACAAAACATGATTTTTCTTCATATGCATCTGCACCTTTCTAATCACAGAAAAGCTGTAATTCTGTTAGGTACATTTACATTATGTATTTGCATTGCACTTAAAAATAGGGCAACACAAGCAATGAACAAATCACATTATTGACAGCAGGTATCAAATCTCTTATAGCTATAGATAATCTCTTATAGCTATGCCATTTTTGTTTTTTGTTTTTCAGTCCAAATATTTTCTATCATACAATGTCAAAAACTCAAAGGAGAAGGTAAATTTTCAATGTGATGATTAAATTGACTTCACTTCTTTTTCTTCTCATCCTCGTAGCATCTCGCACATCTTTCTCAGCGGTCCTCAATTCCCCCACACAGGACTGCAGTAACCAGGTGGCGAGCAGCAGCCCGGCGCGTGTCAAATACAACATCGTCAGAGTCAACATGGGCAGCCACTATGACTCCAGTAACGGGCAGTTCACTGCACCTCGTAAAGGGGTGTACAGTTTTGCCATCACCCTCTACAACCTGGGCAAATATAAGTCGTGCGCCGCCCTTATGGTCAATGGGAGCGTCAAGTACACCCTGATGGAGAAAATTTCCGCTGATACACAAGATAGTGCCAGTGTGTCGCTCACTCTGTCCCTGCAGGCTGGAGACGTGGTATATGTGGAGCAGCCCGCCGGCTGTGTCATGTGTGCTCATGACAATCTCTACAATACATTTACTGGTTATCTCCTGTACACAACAGACTGAGCTCGCTGTCTGATGATGTCTTCTTCAATTAAATACATGTAGTTTGTGATCATATATTCAGTAATTGTACCTGTCCAAAACTACCCGTGTACTGAATGATGGAACCTGTGTTGGTTATAATTCTTTTCTCACAGTAAGTTGTAATCAAAGTACTAAATGTGCAATACAGCGTGTCAGCTTTAATAAACCACAATGAAAATCATTTGTTTTTGGTTCTTTGATATAAACACAAAATAAGGTGTTATCAAGTGTTCACCTCACATCAAATGATTAGATTCAACTGTTTGTACAGGAATTGTACAGTTTCATAATACACTATTAAACATTAGTCACAAACAAAGAATAAGAAGTACTTGCTCTAGATGATGATGTTCACAGCACCCACAGACTGCACAAGATCATAAACTAGAGCACCACCTGGACACCACAAACACTCACACAAACACCCATGATGTTAAGAAGAGCACAAACAACACAAGTACTGACTGAATCTGGATATTACTGCATCTTGGAAAATAAATAAAACAAATAGATAATACATACATTGTGAATCTTGATAAAACACAAGAGCAGAGAGTCTTGTTTGTTTGTTTTTAGGTATGTGCACTGGTGTTTGTGAATGTATAATAGTTGAATCTCCTCTGGTGCAGTTTCACTCTCTGGTTGCTCTCACAAACCAGTCACAGTCACTCTCACAGGTCTGAGACTCACTGGGTGCTGTTTGGCCGTGAGTGTGCAGGCTTTGCTGGTGGAGCAGAGGCAAAATCATGTATCATTTTGTAAAATGGATTACTTTTTAAAACATATTTTCAAAAGGGCCAAGCCCACATGTGACACGATTCATTCGTGTGAGATGGCTGTGATGTATTTGTGATAACCGTCAATAATATAAACATGTAATTGTGTTGAATGGGCAGCATGGTGGCTGAGTGGCTCACACTCATGCTTCACAGCAAGAAGGTTCTGGGTTCAACTCCTGGGGCACCTGGGCCTTTCTGGGCAAGAAGGTTCTGGATTTGCTCCCCAGGCCTTTCTGTGTGGAGTTTTCATATTCTCCCCATGTCTGGGTGGGTTTACTCTGGGCACTCCAGTTTCCCCCATCAAACCTAAAAAAACATGCACCAGGGACGACAGGTGGAAATGAGCTCTAGTGCTACAACCTGCATGATTCCTCTGTCCTGTTAAGGTTAAAGTAGACTGTGCACTGTCTTATAAATAAACTTTTAGGCAGACAGTAGTCTGATCATTAATATAAGGCTAAATAAAATGGACCTAAATTTGATTCCTGAGGGACACCTGTGGCAACATTATATTCCAACTTAAGCAGTTTTATTCTCATGTTGTGTTCATAAATCTGAATCACAGGGATTCATTACTGACAGTTTCAGTTTGACTATTTTGTGAAGGAAATGTTGATTTTGTGCTGAACACAAATACAGTAAATATAATGTAATGCTTCATCTATGCTCAGACATTGAGCTGTCTGTGAATGAAACTGCCCTGGTCAGTGTGTTTTTACTGAGCGAACCTGATTCAACCAATCACAGTGAAGTTTCAAAAGAACAATCCAGCTTTAGCTACCACTTAAAATAAGATCTAGGTTAACTGATCTATTAATGAATCAATTAAAATACAAGATTCCTCAAGCTGCAGATGTAAAATGTATTACTTAGCGTTTGCATAACATTCTTCAGATGATTTTGAACCAGAGTAAATCCCTCACTCAGCCTGCGTTGTGTGGTTGGCCTCTGCTGAAACAGGCTCATACTGATTTGAGGTTTTGAGGTTTTGTCATCATATTGTCACTGACCCTGAAACTGTGGCGTGAGTCTATTGTGTTTATTCTCTGGAGCTGGATCAGATAAACCAATCACAAATGACATGCGATATCTCCCACATGGGCCGAGGAGGGCGTGTGAATGTACACAAAAACAGGGAAAAGATTTGACGTTTTCCGAGGATTTACAGTGTAAAAGAGATCAGGATCAGGGTGGGGCTGTCACTCATATATACAGTAAAAGCGTCCATTTCTGCAACAGTTTGAAACCTGTCTTGTCCTCTGAAAGTGTCCACATCTCCCAGGCAAAATGAAAGGTAAGACTCACCACAGTAGACAATAGAAACATTATAACTGCACTCTAATTAAGATTCAATGTCATATGATCAATGCTTGAGTAGATTCTAGCAGCATAATTTTTGTGTTAAGCGTCTGTTAAATGGAATATGTATTTTATTTATTTATTTTTTTATCTAATGAACAATACAATAATATATTTTTTTGTTTTTTATATTTTTTTAAGCTGGGTCCAAGTGTGTTCCCTTGTAAAGTAACAACTACATGTACAAGTACATGTACTTACGCAAAGGTTACTACAACTTAGAACAAAAATGACTTGTTTTCTTTTCGAGAGTAGAGCTGGGTACTATTTAAATGTACTTGTACCTCTCTTGTATCAGAAACAAATAGTTAAAATAAAAATGTGTTACCAAAAAATAGGAAATGTATGAAAATTTAATCTGTTTTCTTATATTAGACAAAAAAGTGAAATATATAAGAGAAATCCTTGCTGTTTTTTTTTTTTTTTTTTTTTTTTTTTTTTTTTTTTTTTTTTTTTGCCATGGTCTAAGGACAGAGGGCACTCTTGTTTCCTGTGAATGTTAGTCAATCTGTTATTTTATTTTTTTGTACTGTAGTGACCTGGGGCTGTATGAAAATGCATTACGTTGAAGTGAAGTGAAGAAATTATCTTTGTATTGCGTTGTGTGTTTCTCTTTTAGCAGTGTTGTTGTTGCTGATAGCGCTGAAGCTTGTGTCTGCGTATAATTTCGATGACTGGTTTGGTGGAAAGGACAGACCCTCTTCTGGGAACTGGGGTCAATCCGAGCCAACGCATAGTAAGTTCGGTTTGGTGAGGTACATATGCACTGCAAAAACTCAAATCTAGCCAAGTCCAAATAATTTCCCTTGTGGATCAATAAAGTTTGTCTAAGTCTTACTCTAAGTTAAGAACTCAAATCTAGCCAATTAAGATTTTTTTATCACAATTCTGGTGAATTTGAAGTAAAATGATCTACCAATGGAACAAGACCTTTTGTGCTTAAAATATCTTACTATACTTAAAGGTGCATTGTGTAACTTTTTCCATCATCGGTTTTTCTCTATGTAGACTTTATTGCTTTGTCTGGAATGTTTCACAGTATGGCATAAAACCTTTCTATCATCATGGAGACCAAACCATGCCAAATTACAGGTCAGATCTGCGGAAAGGCGACCCCGCTCACAGTCAGAATGCCTGTTTTTTAGGTATTTTTGAGCTATAAAACCACCTGTAATTGAATAAATGTAAAGTAGAGCTGTTTAATGTCATACTGTGGAACATTCAAAACAGAGCGATGACATATCCATAGAAACAAGAACTGAAACCGTAACTGAAAAGTTACACGGCGCACCTTTAAGATAACAAAAAACAACAACTCTTTTCAAAATGAGAAACAAAATTGAATGTATGAAGAAAAACACACTTATTCCATTGCCAGATCATTTACTCGTCAAGTTGAATCTTCTCAAATAAAGTCAAATGTTCTTAATTGAAGTCATTGTAACTTACCTACATATTACTTTCTGTCTCACAGAACTACATTTTGATTTCAGTACAGCTGCTGATACAGACCTACTGTTATCTGCTGGCACTTTTTATATTTTTACATTTCATACTTGATTCTTTTCTCGTAGGCTTATAAATGGTTTGCCACACATTGGCTCTGTTACATTCACACCAAAATTAGATCATGATTGGATATTTTTACTTTGACATTGAACTACAAACTCTGATGTGAGTGATGAGAGGGAGCATGGTCAGAAAGAAGTCAGAGGTTTTTCATGTCATTATAGTAATGTTATACCCAGTGATAGGAAGAACACTTTGAAAATATATTTAGTTACACGATACTGAATAGGCAAATTAAAATGTATTTTGTAACATACTCTGATACATGGTCCATTCACAGTACTGCATTCTCAATACTTAGAATATGTGTAAAAATCCGTCATCTAGGTAGAATCCCTGGCAAAAGAAGAAATTTAATTTGTCAACTGGACCACTGGACATTTCTGGTCAAAATGCTGGTGGACACTTCCTTATATCTGCCTGAAGGGAGGAGCTAACTACACTGAAACTACTCTGAAATCAACACCCTACTTGTTCACAGTTTCTGTTTGCTAGCTTGGCCTACTGAACTTGCACTGAGTGTGGGCTCATATTAGCAGAATCATTATGGGAGCTCAGATCAGTCCAGTTGATGAATTTCTCCTTTTGCCACACATTGGCTATGTTACATTCAAACCAAAATTAGATCATGATCAGATTTTTGGACATTTAAAATGATTTAAATGACAGTGAACTAAAAACTCTCCTGTGAGTAATTGAGGGGTCATGGTCAGAAAGAAGTCAGAGGATTTTCATGCCATTATACTAATGTTATGACCAGTGTTAGGAAGAATACTTTGAAAATATATTTAGTTACAGAATACTGAAAAGGCAAATTAAAATGTATTTATGTTTTTTTTTTTAAGTAACGTATTCTGATACATGGTCCATTCACAGTACTGCTTTCTCATTACTTAGAATATGTGTAAAATCCCTGAGTCGTCCAGGTAGAATACCTAGCAAAAGAAGAAATTCAATTTGCCAAATGCACACAAGTTTATTTGGTTGAATATGTTTCGCAGTTCATCCAAGCTACTCCTTCAGTTCTGGTCAAAATGTTGGTGGACACTGTCTTATATCTGCCTGAAGGGAGGAACTAACTACACTGAAACTACTCTGGAACTAACACACCTACTTGTTTACAGTTTCTGTTTTGCAGAATGATTCAGGGCCATAATGGGTGCTAAGGAAATATCTACCAACATTTTGTCCAGAACTGAAGAAGCACCTTGGATGATCTGTGAAACGTATTCCACCAAAATAAACTTTTGTTTAGTTAACAAACTGAATTTCTTCTTTTACCAATAATTAGAATACTGAATTGAATTGAACTGAGTTGAATTATATTATCATAAAAACATGAGATATAATGACAAACAGCATGATCATTGTTGTTATGCATTCATTGATATACCTAATAAGACACACATGCACACTTTGCAAAAGCTGTGTTTGCCTTTTTCTCATTCAATTCAAAGCCAAAATTACATAATCAAGAACTGTAACTGTATTCTGAATAACATTAAATGAAAAAGTAATTGTAGATACTTTGTAACTGTAGATTAGTATTCGGATAATGTATTTTCGGTACATGTATGTGGCTACTTCCCAACACTGCATTTAACTTTTAAAAGTCAAGTATGCATGTAAACTGGAGCCACTGTATTGTGCAGTGTTGCATATTGCTGGGTTTTAAATGACATCACAACTTTCTATAGGCCAACATTATTTTCTACAGATGAGAGGACAGCTAAAATCAGTAATGTTCAACTGCAGATGTTTGTTATAATATAATGTAGCATGGTCTTGGGTCTAGTCAGTAAATGATCAGGTTTCATATTTGGGAGTTTACCTTTCCAATACAGAATCTGAATCTGAAAAGCACCAGTTCACACTTGTAGACTGAAGCTCTTGTGTGTCATTGTCAGAGTGTGAGACGGACCCCGGGGCGTGCCAGTGCTGCCTCACGATGCAGAGAGTGGATGACGTCCGAAGCCGCCTCGTCAGAAAACTGGACGAGTTGGAGACAGAGCTCAACCAAACCAATCAAACCTACATGGAGCTGACGAGTAAGGATCAACGTTTGAAGTTAAAGTATCTGATTTTTAAAGGGCCAGTATTATGCTTTTTTCAGATCTGTGTTATAATGTTGTTTTCTCATCACAAACAGACCTGGAGTTGTGTTTTGTTTCATTCACACAACACTAACTAACACACAAATCCTGCATATTTAGGCTGCGTTCTTCTCTCAAACTGTAAAACTAAAAGCTCAAAGGAATCAATTTTGCATAAAACGGACCTTTAAAGAGGAAACACGATGCAAAATTCACGTTATAATGTTTTTTTCCGTATCAATTTTTCCTATATGAGTGGTGAAAAATGTCTATTTTCACCCACCCCTATCTCCGCCCACTTCCACGTACTTGTGTTTGGCCCCGAGATTCTACCCTGTGTGAATGCAAGAATGAAAGTGTGCAGTACTTAAAGCCACAGTGTGTAATCTTTTAGGAAAAATACGCTCAAATAAAAGTTTTTTGGGGTTGTTTTTATTGCAGTTAAAAAAAAAAAAAATGTGTGTGTGATCAGCGAAGAGCCATGTATTTTGTGTTGGCAACGATTCCCGAGATTGAAGATTTAAAGCCGGAACAAAGAGAATGTCTGGTGAATTTTATCAAGGGGAAAGATGTTATTGCCCTTCTTCCTACGGGATTTGGGAAAAGCTTAATATACCAGTTAGCCCCGTTAGTGGTGTTGTGGAAAAAATTATATATCTCTTGAAGATAAATAATGAATCCATTTGCGAGGCCGATGAGTTTTTGGAATATAGACTAAAGTTTATTCTTGTTACAGCAGATATGGACAGGGCCTAGGCATGCGCTGGCCACAGCCCAACAGCCTCTCCTCCAGCATGTCCCTACTCCATTTGACCTGAGTCTCTGCCCAAGTATCTGCCCCAGAGCATTTGAGCTCTGAGTATTTATACAGAAATACAAGTTACATACATATCAAAGCAGAGTGACTTTGGTTTCAGAGGCTGGTGCTAAATTAACAAACAGTTGAGGACAACAAAGGGCTTCCTGAAGGAGGAGACAGTTGTGTCTGATGAGCCTTTACACATGTTAATGACTGATCTGGGTTTCAGGTAGAAATCATATTCATTTACACAAAGACAGAATGAGAGAAATCTTTCCACAATCTAAATCTCTATCACAGTGGCGCATTACATACGTCACGACCAAATAACAGCTATTGGTTAAATGAAAAAAAGTAGCTGCCAACAGTTGAGCAAATGAATTCTAATGCTGCGAGGTCAGACGGTTTCTACAAAGTGAAATGAAGTGAAACCAGCTGATGAATCAGGCTACAATTGACATGCCACCTCTAGAAAATTCCATAGAGTAACAAATTACCAGAGAATGACAAAGGGAAGATTCTACAGTGTTTTGTTACGTATATTAATAATTTACTATAATCAAATCAAATTCCTTTTATAAATTTTTATTTAATTATTTTTTTCCCTTCTGTTTCATAGCGCGGCGCTCTGCTTTCACCGCTGCATTATTTGACAACAAGAACAACCTCAACTGCCTGGGCCGCTTCTCAGACACGAGAACCATCATGTATAAGAAAGTCTTCACTAACCTGGGGGGCAATTACAGCCCCGCCACTGGCATCTACACTGCTCCCTACAATGGGGTCTACAGCTTCTCCGTGTCTGTTTTTCATGATGCGGGACAAGGGTCCGATGAGCAGTCCTGTGTGCTTCTCTATGTGAATGGGGCCATGTTGGCGGGTTCTAATGACATCCACACCTTTGACCATGAAGACAGCACTACAGTGTCCATCACGATCCATCTGAACACAGGTGACCAGGTGAAGGTGCAACTCCAAGCTGGCTGCCTACTCTGCATGATAAAGGACCACTACAATGTATTCAGTGGCTTCCTGCTTTATGCCGATTAGTGAGAAGTGAAATGTTAAATTCCTGTTTCTTATTCCTAACCCCAAAATGATTGAAGAATAGCTCCAAACCAGATGAACCTGCTGTAACAAATCACCAAGCTTAAAGCAATCTGTTGTTGAAATCAGCTGCTGTAGAAGTTGTTCATGAAAATAATAAAGATAAAACGGTAAAGGACTCAATTGTGTTATTTCGGGGGGAATTTGTATGTACCGTAGATTGGTGTAGATTAACAGTCATGTTTCTATCAGTCAGCCCCAGGGCAACCGTGGCAGCAAATATAGCTTTGGCAGTGAATTAGTAATTTAAAGAGCCCATATTACACCATTTTCTGATCTATGTTATAATGTTTCCTCATCACAAACAGATCTGGGGTTATGTTTTGTTTCATTCACACATGTTCAACACACAAACCCTGTATATTTAGACTGAGTTCAAATGGAAAACCTTGTGATGTCATGTGATAATACAGGAAGTGCGCCACTGTGTTCTTAAACTCCATGCACCTTCACTAGAATCATTTATATGATTTCAGGAATTAAATTGCAAATTTCTATGGAACTAAAGGTAAAAGGAGCTGTTAACTTGAAAACTACCACTTCATGACATCACAATAGTGGAACAGAGCATTTTTAGCTTTGGAGATATAAACAGAAGATGTAAAGAGTTACTCAAACATATAAATAAAACAAATCAACTTTGGATATGTTTTTGATGAGGTAATAACATTTTAACATGGCTTAAAGATCAGTCTTAAAGAGTCAATCGTGTGTATAGGACCTTTAAATGAAAAGGTTTACTATGAGATGTTATTGCTTTTGCACAGTCTGGCATTAGCATGGATCTTCCATGTATTCACTGGCAGGTGTTTATCTTCATAAAATACACTGAGAAACATGTATTCTTACTGTGACTTGTAACATGATCTGGTGCCTTCAGAATAAGAAACTTAAAATTTTAACATAACATGTCTCAAGTAAGTTTCATCACAATAAAACTATACTATAACACCTTTGAAACTGAGTCACATTTAGATGCCAGAGTGTCTGAGAACAGTGAAGCAAACTGCACCTGTTACATAAAGACTCTGGTTTACACTGTGCCTCATAAGAGCCACTCTCACACACCACCACCAAAGAAGGAGAGGAGAATCCTATCAGGATCATGTCCTGACAGTTTCATTCACACACGTCTCCACGGCAGAGTGTTGGGCGCACACACACATCCACACACCTGGGGAAATGAGCCATGAGAGGCAGAGCCAAAGATGAAAACTCCCTGTGCTACAACAGTGACTTTCTATGTAATACTATCATTTTAATATAACATATTCAGACATATATATATATGTGTGTGTGTGTATATATATATATGTGTATATATATATATATATATATATATATATATATATTATATATATATATATATATATATATATATATATAGATATAGATAGATAGATAGATAGATTTTTTTTTTCTCTTTTTTTTTAAGTTATATTTAATCTTAGAAAATAACACATTGCTACATGCCATAGTCTAATATTGTGGAAAATAAAATGACATATTAAACTGAACATATTTCAATGTTGGACAGCTAACATTGGTGGAAAACAAATAATCATGAATCAAGTGTCAGGTATGTCTGTTAGTGATGAAAATGTCTGCTGTTTACAGATGATGTTGTCCTGATGGGCAAATTGAACCAGGACCTGCAACATGCACTGGGGCAGCCGAGTGTGAAGCGGCTGGGATAAAGATTATCTCCTCCAAATCCAAGTCTATGGTTCTTGACCGGAAAATGGTGACTTGCCCTGTGCAGGTGGAGAGGGTGGAGAGCCCCTGCCTCAAGTGGAGGAGTTTAAGTTTCTCTGGGTCTTGTTCACGAGTGAGGGGACAGTGGAGCATGAGATTGACAGGTGGATCTGTGCAGAGTCTGCAGTGATGCGGTCGCTGTATCGGACCGTTGTGGTGAAGAGGGAGTTGAGTCCAAAGGCAAATCTCTTCATTTACCAGTCAGTCTATGTTTCTACTCTCACCTATGGTCATGAACTTTGGGGAATGACCGAAAGGATAAGATTGCGGATATACGCGTAGAATAAAGTTTGGGAGTCCCTGCTTAGTCTGTTGAACAAAACACACTGAATTTGATGATCTAACCATGAATCTAGTTGCCTGGAAATCCATCAGCACTCCCTCTGTCTCACCTCAGGTCCTGCCAAACATGATCGTGCATTAGATTTGTTTTTACAGTGACAAATGTGAAATGCAGCTTACTGGTCACATATCATTTACAAATAAAATCACATTTGAACAAAATTTAATGCTTTGCTCATTCATTCTGCAGAAATTCACCATGTTTTACAGACAGACCATGCATGTCCCCGATTGACTAATCCACATCAAGCACAGCCATTTGAAAACCAAGAGATTGAGCGGTGTCCAGACTCGCATCTTTTATATCATGATGAGTGTTAAACTAAGACACAATGATTACAAAAATAAAATTCTTACAAATGGGACACAACATGTTTCGACCCCACACTATAGTCAATGTGCCTCAGACATTTTATTTAAAGAGACAGTCCAGAAGTTTGGACATAGGACCTCATTTCCTAGTGAGCCAGAGTATTGGAGACATGTGGAGACACTTTTTGAAATATTCCATCCAGTCCTTGTATTTGCAGAGGTCACTGGTGCTAGACTAGTGCATGTCAATGGACATAGTTATCCTGCCACTAAACACAGTCTTACCCACTCCACAAAACACCTGAAGAAATCTATTATTACACCAGACTGTCCATGTGAATGTCTGCGTCGATAGAATAATTTTAGAAGTAAAACCAACCTTGCATTTGAAGGATTTATGTCTGAGCAGCAGCAGCATGTTGTACTTCCTGATAGAAAGCTTGGCAGAGGCGGATTGATATATGAGAAAATAGTCCCTCAACATACAAGGTTAATATTATTTCAGACATTATTCTATCAACACAGACATTTACATGGACAGTCTGGTGTAATAATAGTTTTGCTTCAGGTGTTTTGTGGAGTGGGTAAGACTGTTTTTAGTGGCAGTCTAACTATGGCCATTAACATACACTAGCCTAACACCAGCGACCTCTGCAAATACAAGGACTGGATGGAATTTTTTTTTAAAGTGTCTCCACACATCTACAACACTCTGGCTCACTAAGAAATGTCCTATGTCCAAAATTCCGAACTGTCCCTTTAACACCATATCATCAAGACATTAATATAAGATCAGCCTCTTACACTCATTTTGATCTCTGTAGCTGCTTTTACACTATATCTGTACTGGGCCAAGACAGGTTTTGCGCAAATACAAAGAGAAATTGGGTAGAGCCACTTAAACTTGTACGGTAATAGCATGTGAACACAACCCAGCCTCTTTACAAAGCATAAGTTTTGTATATTCCAAACAACTTTTCATCGCTAAAACATCTGAACCTATTGCTTCATTCAAACTGTTCTTTCAGGGCAGTAACTCTAGACTCCAGTGTTTTGTGTTGAAATGTCAAAGCTCTTATGATCAAGGGAAGGCTCACAGATTCATGTCGAACCGCCCAGTATTATATTTTAGCTGTGCAGTGTCTGATGAGGAGATAAGGAAGCAGGGCAGTTGACGGGGGACTGTAGACACGAACCAACTTTAAAACAAATAATACAAAATAATACATCACAGTCTTACTGGGAAACAAGCTGTTGAAGTGAACCAAACACAAATCACTTAACCAATGGGGAGTCCACATGGTACGAGGTGATACTGCCACCTATCTTACCCATGGGTTTCACAATGAGGAAAGTGACAACTGTTGCCATAGCAAAGATTTAAAACAGAATATTAGGTGACAAGTCCTCAAAATGTCAGAAATAGCAAGAATAAAACTGAAAAAATTGCTAAATTATCTATGCAACTTTTCTGGTGGCAGCTTGTCCCCATGTTGCTTTCAGTGTTCCACAGTATGGCATTAAACGTATCTATCTCCATGGAGACACGCTGGTGACGTCACCAGGCCATGGTGAAGGTTCACAGAAACAATGCATGGTTTTTTTTTAGGTATTTTTGAACAATAAAAAACAACAACAACAAAAAAAGTCTCTGATTGAATAAATGCAAAATAGACAAGTTTAAAGAGCCTATATTACACTATTTTCTGATCTGTCTTATGATAATTTTGTTTCCTCATCACAAACAGACCTGGATTTATGTTTTGCCTGAGTTCTTCTGTAACACTTTATTCCACCTTGAGATGTCATGTGGTAACAGAGGTGCTCCACTGTGTAAATACACCATAAACCTTCACTAGAATCATTTGGATGATTTCAGCTCTGGAATTGTCCATTTTTACTACTGTTGCAGCCAAGACCGCACTAATCAAGACCAAGATCAGTCTGAGACCACAGGGTCCCGAGACCAGAGCAAGACCAAGACTTCTGAGGGTCTCCATTTTATCTGATTAATGTTCATTTAGGCCTAAAATAAACACTCTGTGCCCATTTTGTGGATGCTCACCCACAGTTTGAGAAGCATTTTTTAAGAGAACTTCCACTGGTACTTTACAGAAAACTGTGAAGAAAGTGGATAAGCTGGGTAATAAACCTGTTTTTTCAAGTACTAAATTGAAGTTACATTCTCTTACAGGTTTTGCAGTGGGATTTACCTCTGTACATTTACCAAATACACATCGTGACAAATAAAGATGCATTTGTGCACTTTTATTAGGCAAACTATAACCTCATGCCACGGTAAGAAGTTAATTGCCAACAGCAGCAGCCGTAATTAAGTATAATCACACTAGACGAGTGTTAGACCTCAAGTCTGAGACAAGGCAGAGTCCAAGCACCTTCAAGACTAAGACAAGGCTGAGTCCAGGTGCCTTCAAGACCGAGACAAGACCGAGTCCAAGCACTTTCAAGACGGAGACAAGATAGAGTCCTGGCGCCTTCAAGACTGACACAAGACCGAGTCCAGGTGCCTTCAAGACTGACGCAAGACCGAGTCCAAGCACTTTCAAGACAGAGACAAGACCGAGTCCAAGCACTTTCAAGACAGAGACA